AAAAAAATCTTCGAAACAGAACAAATAAATATATATTTTTCCGAGCAAAAATAACGATATGGAGGAAATTTTTAGTAGCGTAAAAAGAAACAAATAAGTGAGTTGATGAAAAATAACATAAGAAAAAGTACATTTCGTGCGAAAAACGAGAAAAAATAAGTGAGTCCGTAAAAAGTAGAAACCATCAAAAAATCAACAAAAAGACGAAAAAGAACATAAGAAGTTGTACTTCTGGGGAAAAAAAAACTATTTTCGATGGGGGGAAAAAATGAACTCAAGGGAAGTTTCGTTTCATTTCCTGCATAGAAAAGCCGTTTCTGGCCCTTTTCTTGAGATGTTGGAAGGACGATTCCAAAGAAAGCCACATGGAATCGTCGCTCAAATTGTTCGGGGCCTGAAATTGATGAAGATACATTTTTCATGATTTCTAAGAATTCATTTTTCTTGCAAAACTCAGTTTCTCTGGGGGCAACATTTTCATGGAGGTTATTTTTCATCACAGGCGATTTCTAGAAGGACCTATAAAGGAGCTTTTGGGAAAAGGGATTTTAAAAGGCCTCACGGGATATTTTTTTTTCTTGACCCCATCAGGAGAAAAAAAAATGTTCCGAGTAACTTCTGTCAAATTTTTAGGAACTCAAGAAGCTCTAAATTCTTTTTTTTTGAGGCCCTTTGGACTTTCGCGGTTTCACGCTTGTTTTGCCAAATTACCGTACTCTTCGGTGCAAACTTCGCTTTGAGACCCACATTTTCGTATTTTTTTCACAAAGAACAGCCTCATGCAAATACCGTACATTTTCGACGTTCTCAGCAGAAAAATCGGTCTCCATTTTCTTCACAAATTCCATCAAGTTTGTCATATTATCCTGAAAATCATCCAATAATTATTTTGTCATTCAAAAAACCTTGATTTCTTTCAGAGACGCTTTCTGTTTCTGATAGATCAACTGGTCGAATCGTCTTTTGCCGAGATTCAGATAATCCTGAGCTTCCTTATATTCCGAACAGAGGTTTTCGGCCATTTTTCTAAAACCATCTTGAAACTTCCAAAAAAATGACCTTCTAATAAAAAAACCATGAAATTTTCGGCCGAGTCAACTTCTTCCTCACATTTTTTTGAAGCGCGCTCATCTGAAGATTTTCAAGAATATACTTGAAAAAACGGTCATGGTAGACAATACACGGCGCCACGCCCACTTTCTCTCCGTAAAGTGTAGTGTATCGTGTGCATGCACTGCGCCGCTTTCGCGCAGAAAATTGCTTTTTCGTATAGAAATTTCGATTCGTCCTAAGACCTCTGGCAATACGGCCCGCCTGCGCCTTTAATAAGCCCTGTTATTTACGCTCCTGGAGCCGAAATCACATTCCCATGCGGATATTTTGGCTCCGCCCACCGTGTTTTTGGTTTCGCATTTTCTTCCACTAACAAAAACGCCGAGAATATAAAGCCAAGCTTTAGGTGACCCCTACAGTAGTTCAAGTTCCAATAATTCTCTAAAAGTTGAGTAGGCCCTATAGTGGTATCGAAAAAGTGTAGGCCCTCTAAAGTTGTCACTAACTAAAACACTTGAAGACCTTCTTTGCAAATTTTAGTTCCCCTATGGGAAGAAGATAAGTGGTCCCTTAAGGGAACCTACAAGAGTCCCTAAAGATGTCACTCTAGGGTCCATTCTGGCGTTCCAAAAATTGGTTTTACGGGGAAAAATATGAAATTAAAACTTATTGAAAATATGTCTAAAAAAACTCCATCAAAATCTAGGAAAAAGCGACTATTTTGAACTAATTTTTGAGTCCAAAGTGTCAAAAACAAGCTCACCGGATCAAAAACAATGGGATCTTGGGGCTTTTCGATATTCTCCGCTTCACCAGCCTGAAATCAATTTTCTTCTTTGATAAATCGATTTTCAAAGACCGTAGTTTCCAAGTTCTGAAGGACTTTCTCGGAATCGCATGGAGTTTGTTTCAAAAGATCGCTTTGGAACTTCAGACCCTTCAAAAACTTCAAATTAATATATTGGAAAGAAATTAACCTTTTTTTTCGTTACATCCTCGTTCATTTTCTCCAGATTGTCAAACTTTTCCAGCACCTGAGGGAAGATTTTTCAACGGAAAATGGGAAAAATTGAGCATTTACCTCTCCTCCATGATCCGAAAAGTGTTCCGTTCCATCAGAATCCCCGCAACAACAAAAAATTTCCTCCCAAGAACTTGCTTCGGAGACCTAAATCCGTAAAATTTTGAAAACACTTTTATTTAAATAACAATTTTTGAAATTCAACTCACATTATCCGATGAAGTCTTGTTATTTGCAGCGTAATTCTATAATTCAGTATTGAATACTCGAATTAGAAGATTTCAAATATCACTTCAGGGTCGACAATATCGACAATTTTAGGAGAATTTTTTGAAAAATCGGTAAAATATCTCTGTGGAGTCGCATTCTCAGAAAAACCGTTCGCGCGTTTCCGAACATTCAAAATTGTTCCAAATATTTCCCTATAAGAAATCGAACCTCCTCGTCGAATTTCTCATGAACCGAAGCCGATTCAGAGAGTTTGCCTGCATCTCCACTTTTTTCAGTCGAATCCGACTTTTCGAACGTCTTCGGCTCTCCAAGCGATCCTCCATCATTTATCTAGATAAGCTCAATAATTTTTTTTGAAGAATTGCAATATAAACTACTTCATTTTCTTTATCATAGCCGCTGGAAAAATCATTCGAGACGATGAAAGAGTTCAGCTGAAAAGTCAGTTTTTGGGTCGAGAAGTTTCTTAACCGGAGAAAGTTTTAAGCTCACAGTGGGAATTCTAGATGAGACTTGCCTCCCTATATGTAGTTTCTAACTTTTTTTTCGAAAATGTGTTAGAAAGTTGCCCTCGAGGCCTGTGAAAAAAGTGTGGAGGCCGAAATAAGACCTTGTTATGCCGTTCCGCCGTCTTCTGGAGCTTCGAAAATCAATATTCGAGCTCCAAAATTTGTTTGAAAAAAATTGAGTGGTTTTTGGTGACCAGAACTATTTACTCTTCAAAAATCGGAGACATCGAATTTTTCAAATTTGACAGCCCCTATCTTAGGGACCGCAGACGAACTTTCAAAAAAAATTTTTCAGCATTGAGCTTTGTATGGTTTGATAGCTGTTTCGATTCCAAACTCAGAACCGTTCAGTTTTTCGAAAAATATTGAGGATGAAAAAAGTTATGACGAAAAAAATGTGGCGCGCCGCGCACCATTTTTTTAGTACTGAAAATTTTGGTATTATCCATTTTGAAATTTTTTTCTCGATTTTTTTCTTCTAGAACAAGTTTTTGATACTGGTCTATTATGATGTAACAAATCATAATAGAGTGCTAAAATGATGCTCATCAGCTAGTTTGCCGAAAAAAAGTCGGTATTTTTCCAGAAAAACAAAAAAACTGACGCTTGCGGGCATCGAACTCGCGACCTCAAAAAGAAATTTGGCAGCGCACGCGCTGCGCCAAGCTGTTAGGTCTAGCGAGGGGAGCTTCCATCCGCCATACCCTTGAGCCGTTTGAATAGCACAGATTGCCTATTTCAAAAAAATAAAAAAACTTGAAGTAATCAAGCTATTTTTATCAGAATATGTTCGCAAATCTTTACTCAAACTTTCCGTGAAAATTCACTTCGAAAAAACTGTTTTTTTAGTGCTTTTTTCCTCGTTTAACGATCGCTGCCTTCAAACGGCCCCGTAAATTTTTGGCAAAGACGAATTTTTTATTTTATTCTTTTAATTGAAAGATTTTTTACTAATAAATGTATATAATCGTTTAAAAAACCTGCGTTCGACCGCTTTCTGTATGATAAACGCCGCTAATTTTATTCTCTAGTTTCAAGAGCATTTTTTTGTGTATTAAACAACTTTTTCAAGCACATATTTTGTGGAGAAATATTCAAGTAAGCCCATGATCTAAATTTTTGAAAAAAAGAAAAAAACTCGATTATATTTGCATATTAACGATATTTTGAATTACGACTTTCGGCACTCCCTAAAATTTTTGGCAAAGACGAATTTTTTATTTTATTGTTTTAAAATTACCGTTACTTGAATCAAAACCATTATTTAAAAAAAGAAAGAGTGCGTTCGACCTGAAAACACATAAAAAAGCAAAAAATGACAAAAATTTTTAGTTCCATTCACGTTTTTGTACGACATTCCGCGAGAACGCATCAAAAAAGCGTGAAATATTTTTTAAACGAAAGAGGAAGCTTTTCTGTACATGTGTGTCAAATTTTATAAGCCAGTTCCACATATTTTGCAACTAAAACAAAATGAAAGTTGAAAACCAAAAAAAAGCCACTTTTTCTATCGCGAAAAGGGGCGTGGCTTTGCGGTCCCTACCCTATCTTTTTCATCAGTCTCTAGGACAAATTTTGAGCACAGATTCGGGATCAGCGTAAATCTAGTGAAGATAGTCTCATGCAGAAGTCTCAGCTGAGAATATTCCCTGGTAAGATAACCTCTTCCTCACGTGGACGTTGCTTATAATCATCCAAAAAACGTTTCAAAGAGGCTCTGACATCATTAATTTCTTTCTTATGCTCTCCGATCATGTTCCATCTTTGACTGAATGCGGCTATCCAGTCGTAAAAAGCCGTTTCGACCCCTCTTTCAGTCTCGTTCAAGACATAAAGGCATTGCCGCCAGTTGACATGCCATCCGTGATAGTTATTCCATGTATTGCTATGTTCTCGGTCGATCTGGACCATCTTCTCGGTGCTTTCAACCAAAAACTTCAGGAACGAGCTGACGTTTTGGATGCAGTTCTTCTGAAAAACAATTATTGGTCGGGGTGAACCATCAGTTAATTTTCTGAATACTTTATTCAAACTTGATTCAGCGTAGCTTGAAAAAACTTGTCTTGTAGCATCAATCTCGTGTTTCTATGAGTTTCAGACGCGAAGAATGGAGATACAGAAGGGACGGAAAATCATCATCAAAAAAAAAATCAGATGAACTTTTGACTGAGTTAGGATTTTTACAGGGGAGGTCATTTTACTTTGCGGTTGGAAATTTCCTGAAAAACGGCCAGAACACTTCTTGATGTGCCAGATGAAGACCCTGAAAGTCTCAACCTGCAAAACGTTCTAGTTTTCGAGGAATAAGGAGCTAAAGTCTAAAAATAGCTTATTTTTATGGGTTTTGATGGTTTCCTTCGACTTTGAGGCGTCTTTTCCCAAAAACGAAGAATTTTTGCAGGATGAAGCTTTCAGGATCTTTATCTCGTACATCAAGGAGTGTCCTAGCCAATTTGCATCCCTTGTCAGATACATAAAAAAAAATCTTCCATAGGCAAAGTCGGAAGGACCCTTCACGGGCCCTTTGAGCGTCCGTTACAGATCCGTTTGTTTCCATTATTTGTTCCTAAACAGGTGGCAAAGGTTTCCTTTTTACTGCCTTTTTGCGTCCTTTCATCGGCCTTCATCCACCCTTTTTGGACCCTTTGGAGAAATACAATTTTTTTTTAAATTAGGAATAATTTTTACAAGGGACTGTGTATGAACCATAATATGCAACAGTAATGAAATCGGAAATTATCAATAGAAGAGAATTTCAGGACCCTTTTGCACCCTCACTCTTTCTTCACCCTTTTTGCGACCTCTCCCTTTTTTCGCTCTTTTATGACCCTTTTTAACCCACCAAAAATGAAAGGCTCAATAAAGGCCGTAAAAAGGGACCCTTTTAGCGGCCATTTTGCAGTCACTCCCTTTTTGCACCCGTTTTCCGCACTTCCGACTTTGGCAATGTTCATCTTGTTCTCGAGTTTCGCTTCAAAGTCCACAATCTACACATGTTTAGTCAAAAATCTGTTATTTAAAGATCTTGAAGAGCCATAAGCCGGAAATAGGATAAACCGTGAAACATTTTTTCTATTTTTCTAGAATCAGGGGGTTGGAAAAGTTGAATCGAGGGCTCACAAAAGATTTCATGTTATGAAAAGATTCAAACGAACCCCCAGACAGTCTTGGGTGAGTTGATCCAAGAACATAACACACGCCTCCTCCTCACGAATAAAATGACTGAAGAGTATCTCATTGAAAGAGTAGTCCGACCATCTTATAGAGGCCAAATTTCCCCGATGATCGTGCTCCAACTTTCTCCAATACTCCAACCGATTTCCCTCTTCTTGGTGATTCTGATGGAGATAGTAAAGATCTCTTTGAACTGATGAAGGGAGGTATCGGCCGGGGAGAACCGGAGCGGAGAGTCCGCATTTTCTTGTCGAAGTCTTTGTCGATGGCCCTTCTCCGCTCGTTGTATGATGCCTCGATTTCGCCGTTTTTTTCCTCAACTTTCCGCAAGAAAGATACTAAGACGATTTCTAGCCGTTGTAAGACGTCTAATTCCTTTCATCAAGCTTGAATCGCCATCCCTCCATCTGAAAATATCAGCTGAAAAGTGTCATTAAACGGGATTCTCAACTCTAAAAATATCGAACAACTCATATATTCACGCCTGTTCAAAGTGCCCGTAGTTTAAGAGCTTTTTCTCGGGTTTAAAATGAAAGATTATTTTCACTTTTTGAGACGTGACTCATCTTGTTACCTCGCAGGGTAGGTTCTAAACAAATTGAAAAAGGAAAAAAAAAATCTTGAAACATTTCCTAGCTCCGAAATAGACGGCGTAATTTTGAATTTGATTTTGAAGAGTATTTTTTTTAACCTAAAACTCGGAAATTATAACGACAGATTCATCGATTGTTGAATAAAAATTAAAATGAGAAGGTTTTGGTCGTTCTTAAACTATCAAGTCCATCAAGTTCACAAAAAGACTACATGAGGTCAAAAAGAGCTTTTGAATTATATCGACGCGAAAAGGTACCGTCTCAGCAGGGGCGGAGTTAGGTGGTTGACATTTAAAATATGAACAGACTATATTTACCGAGCTGACATAAAGAATATATTTTTAAAAATTCCAGTGCTCTACAAATTGAAATTTCTGTTATAGATGAATTTGAATCAGATACTGAAAAAAAACCAACATCTAGAGCATGTTTTTGAGTTCCTAAAAAGGTTTCAAAAGTTTTTCTAAATCTCCTTTTGCTCATTTTTCCATCTCTTTCCTTTTTTCTCCTAAAGAAGTTTTATTTAAAAAAATGGCATGTAATTTTTTTTCTTTTTCCAAAAGTTCTTTCTAGGTTATTCTGTGCTTTCGCTCGTTCAACCTCATCAAAACTAAATTAAAAAATTATTTTGCAATTTTTTCTCCGTAAGAATTTTTTTCGGTATGTTGCTTTGAGAACTTTTAAACTTTCCATTTCTCCTGCAAATCTTAAACTTGCAGTTTTCTTTTAAGTGTTCTCAGATTACTTCTGAATCAAATAGAAGAAAAACAACTGAACCTTTGATTGGATTTCGGTAAGTTTGAAGGGAGGAGCTTTCTTAGGCCGCTGATCCATTTTCTTTTCGTATCGCTAGACCTCAAAAAATTTCAAAATTTTAGAGCATTAGCCTCAAAGTTAGATTTTTATCAAATTTTCAACTAACCTTCGATAGTTTCAAAAAGTGTGAAAAAATTTCGAAAAGAACAGCAGCAAAAAAACTCTTCTAATAAAACTGATTCAAAAAACATAATTGATGAATTCTATTTTACTTTTTTTGGTCAAAGCTACCAATTATTGTTTGAAATGCGTGAAAGAATCACTTGGAAACTCGATAAACTGGAATAAATTGGAATCGAACCAACCGGGAAAAAGAAATAAAATTTCGCAAAAAAATAAAAAAACTTTATACATCAACCAGACAAAAATGAATAGTTAGTAAATGAGTCTTGTAAAGTGGAAGACGATGGAGTCACATGTATAGTCCGTTCAGAATTTGTCAAGCCTTAGCTGAAGCTCCGCCCCTAACGGCGTGAGAAACCAATCAAAGAGCGAGTCAAGCCACAGAGCGTTTTCGAATGACGTCATTGTACTTGACCTTTAAAAAAATGAACATAATATAACATGTAAGAAAAAAAAATGTTCAGTGCAAAATATCAACAACAACAGACGAATAATATAAAAAATACAAAAGATAAATATTTTTCCAGATCAACTAGACGAAAGAAAAAATCAAAGAAATTGAGATAAGGAGTCTTGAGAAGATAGTCGTTCGGTAGTCACAAAAAATTCAAAAGAAAAAATTTTCGACATGCAAAATGTCAAGAAAAAAGATGAATGACCATACAAAGGAGACAAATAAATTTTTAAACAGTAACGAACTCAAGAAAATTTTCTTTTGAGCTGTCTAATAGCAACTAGGTTTTTCATGATCTTCTCCGAACATTCCACGGAAGATTCCAAAGTAGTAATGATAGAATCTTCGCTTTTCGGGAGCTGAAATTACGAAAATAACTTTTCAAGTGTCCCATAAGTAACCTTTATCAAAGAGAGATGGGAATTTCGAAAAAAAAAAATGCAAAAAACGCAAAAACCTTTTTCAACCTTGGTTTGAATTTTTAGAAAAATTCACATACTATTGGATTATATAGCATATGGGCGGAATTGATTTTTGAATCGCGAATTGGGAAGTTATAATTATTTTGCGGACTGCACTGACGATTTTCTCAAAACAAAAGTAAGCACGAATTTTTGGATTCCGAGAAAGAAATTATGCATTTTTTTTCAAATGATATTTTCAGACTGTTATAACTGGTTCACTGCTGGCTTGACCCATAGAAGGAAGGGTCCTGACACGATAAGAAAAGAGAAAGAGCTTAGTTGATGGAGAGCGCAGACAGGCCACGCCTTTTTTCAGTTCCAAGCTAACCGTTAATCAGCTGTAGCGGGTGGAAACAGAATTGAACTGTAAAAAAGTTAGAAAAAATTAACTTATTCTTGAGAAATCTTATCGAAAACCGCGAAATGCGGCAAAATATTATTTTCGCGGTATGCGCAACTCCAAAAAAGCACCAAATTCCACCCATCTTTTATATACCTGTTTCATATATTTTTTCTAATTGCGACAAAGCCAGTTTTTATTTTACAATTTTAAAGTTCTCTGTTAAAAATCTACCAAAACCTCCGGGTCACTTTCTTCCGAGAAGCCAAGCTTCATCTCTTTCACAAGTTCCACCAAACTCGTCACATTCGCCTGAAAATTCCCATTCTCGTGAATATTTCCATAACGATCCGAAATGCCTCAATCTCTTTCAAAGAGTCGTTTTGCTTTTTCTGAATCAATCGATCAAGGCGTTTCTGGCCATTTGTGCAGATTTCTTGCAAGTTTTCATAGCCCAAAAGACATTTTTCCGCGCGTTCCTAGAACATTTTTCTCGAAAGTTCTAATAAGAACAATGAAAACCATGAATGTATCGATATCGGCCGAGCCAACTTCATCCTCGCAATTTTTGAGCAAGCTGTTCTGTAAAATTTCCGCTACTTTAAAATCTTTTAAAACTGTTTTTTCGTTCATCAAATTCTCACTGAAGTGGAAATAGTTCAAAGCAAAATTGAGCGATCAATAAAACAAAAAATATACTACATTAAAAAAAATAAGACTTGAAAAATATGAACTGGCAAATTTTCAAAATTATCTTTTTCGTTTGTCTAAAATTCCCCACATTTGCGTATATCAGAGCTGCTGACCAGACCGGGGCGACCGCAACGCGCTTCGGGCGCCCCGCCCTGAGAAGCGGTCACACTGTTAGAAGATTTCTCCAATATTACTCAATGATATAAATGAATTTTCATTTCCTTCGACCAATATAATTCTTTATTAGTCGTTACTTTACGGTTTTTTTCACCTAAACTTTATTTTAACTTATCTACCAGCAGGGGCGCCCCGGTCAGCAGCACTGGTGTATACTTTCAAAAGAACAGTGAAACCTTTTCTCCGAAAATTCGGAAAACATCTTTAAGGGATTCTGGAAAGTTATCAGAAACTTCTTTTGAAAGCGCCGTCCGGATCATCGTCCGGCGGCTCCAGAGCCTTCAAAAAGATCATAAAACATTCACATCATTTCTGATTTTCTTTTCAATGTAAGTTTCGGTCCCAAAACTTTGCAATAATCGATAAAGTTTTTTTTTAACAAAGCAAGATTTTTCGACAAACAACCTGCTCAAAAGTGATTTCCTGATCTCCCTTGAGAGAAACTGGTTCCCGTAAAAAAGCTTCGACATGCTCTTTTTCAGTCGATTCCAATTTTTTCAACGTCCCCGGCTTTCCGAGCGATCCTCCATCAGTTTTCTGAATGAAAATAAATTCTCGAAAAAGCTTCGTTTTTAGTACTTCTTTTGGATTGAAATTAGAACTCATAACCTCGGAGAAGCTGAGCTGAAAAAAAGGATTTTGAGAGTCTTCAAGGTTCTTTTAAGAATTGAACCTCTTTTTCGATTTGACGTGACTTATATTCATCCAAAAACTCCTTCAGGATGATTCTGAGAGTCTCCCTTTCTCTATTGTCAAATCCCATCATACTCGATCTTTTGTCGAAGGTGTACATCACATCGCTATGAACTGAGCGAACGTCGAAGTCATAATTAGGGCTTCTCTGCCATTCAGAATTTTGACTTTGCAAGATATTTTTTCGATCCGTGATTTCTTCCGACAGGCGAGTCCTTGGTTTCTCGATTTCTTCCAAAAACTTGAGAATCGACTCAAAGATTTCGATGAAATTCTCCTACAAAATATAAAAAAAATAGCGATGGAACAGTTTTTTTCTTTTTGAAAAAGCCTAAAATTTTCGGAATCTCAAAGGTTTCAATCAAAAAAATTGACGGAACACTGTTAGCCCAAACTCAAGTTATCAATAAGAAAGTATCAGAAAAAACTAGCTTTTCTTCCACAAATATAATGAAAACGGACCTTTCCAGGGGCGTCTTTGAGTTGCTTCGGAAAATTGTCAAAAGTCTCCTTTTCCCAAAGCAACTGTTCCAGAAGGTTTTCATGGAATTCACAATCCGATCGCCGAATAACAACTATGAATTCCAAATAGACGGTCTCCCTTTTCTTACAATACTCCAAATCATATTTCCTACATTGATAATTATTTTGGATATTATCAAGGTCGTTGTTAAAAAATGGCAGTAGGTAGGGAAAGCGCTTAGGGCGACGGGAAGTCAAACGAAGTTTTTCACGATTAAATCGGTTTTGATTTTCCTCTTCCAGGTTGTGGAACTTCAAATTAATCGATTTTTTTTCTTCTTCCGCTTTCAGCAGCGAAACAATGATCCTTTTATTATAGACAGACAGTTCTTCAACTCTTGCAATGAGATTGGACTGTAGATGATCCACCTGAAAGGTATTTTTTTGCCGGTTTAAAAATTGAAAAGGAGAAATTGTTGTGCTCTAAAACTTCTGATTGTATACATATATTAGTTATGAGATTCGCAACAAGCAGTTTCCGAATAAAAAAACAGACCTTCTTTCTTATTGCTAAAATTTTGCGATGGGATGATTTCTCTGGTGGTTGGTCTATATCCATTTTTTCGAAAAAGTTCAAGCTGAAAAATAAAATATTTCTTGCTAGTTGGAGGAATCACTATCAAAGTTTGATTTTTATTTTTACTACAACTGGAAAATTAGAGAATATTAACATTAAAATACGACTTCAAAAGTTTTTTTTTTCTGATTTTGAAACGCAAACATTCTTTTTCTAAAAGAGTCGGACTAAAAATTGAAAGGCACAAAAGTTATTTAAAACCTCGGTCAAAGAAAACGGTGGTATGAAAAAAAGACCAGCGAAAATTCAAATGGCGACTTTTTCAGATTTTTTTCACAACTCCAGGGAACTTTCCGACGAATCATTTTCTGACTTTTTTTCTCGATGAACTTTTCGTTTTGAATCTTCCTATATAAAGTAGGTAGTTGGTTCATGATTAAAAAAACAAGAAAAAAAGGAAAAAAATCTTGATAGTTATTTTTATAAACCGAAAAAAATTAGGGAAAAAAGTCGGAAAGGGATTCGTCGGAAAGCTCCCTAGCGATTTGAAAAAATAGGAAAAGTCGCCGTTTGAATTTCCGCTGGTGTTTTTTTTCATACCACCAAGAAAACAAAAGAAAGGATTTTACAGTTTGGCTCGTCTTCTTGAAATTTGTCTGAAACGTTCCACGTATTTTTTTCTTTTTAACCAGCAAAAAAATTATAAATGACTACCCATCACTGACAAGCTAGTGTTGAAATGAAAATGATCTCTGAAATAAGGAAAAGAAAAAAATAAGTTTGGTATCGAACCAAATCAAACAAATCAATCAAATAAAAACAAAATTTTTTTACATCAATAATGGAAAAAAATGTCAACATAAATGAGATCGTTTAAAAATAAAAAAAGGGAAAAATTGTTAAATTATAACATCAAAAAAATACATAAATACCGGTAAAACGAAGGAAAATTTACAATTGATAGATTATATCAGGAAAAATGGACTTAAGCGAATTTTTCTTTGAGTTGTCGCATGGAAATAAGGATTTTCAAGATGTTTTCCGAGATTTCGATCGAAGAATCCAAAGAGATACTCATCAAATCTCGGCCAGGATTTATCGGGAGCTGAAATTGACAGAAATGTTTTTTTAAATAAAGTTCCTGGTTGTTGTTTGATAACGTACGTAGATTGAGACGCGATATTTTCTCGGCGAAATGAAAAAAAAAGTTCAAAAATGCTTATGAGAAGTTGAAAAACAGACTTCAATGATTACTAGAAGCTTCAAGAAAAAAAGCCTCTTAATTTAAAAAGAAATTTTTTTCTAATGAAATAATTTTCATTAAGAGGAGAAGGACAGAATAAAATTTATAAAAAAATAAAAACCGACTTCGAAAAAATCTTTAGAACCAAACCCACCAAAAAATTCTCCGCATTCTCTTCGGAGAAGCCTATTTCAATCTGCTCTAAACTTTCCGACAATCTCATCATATCATTCTGAAATCTCTCATTTTACACGTCTGTCGTGGGTCCAAAATACCTTAACTTCAAGCAAACTGTCAATTTGCTTCTGTCGAATCACTTTTTCCAGGCAATTTTTGCTACTCATATAGCTTTCCTGCAGACTTTTGAAATGCACGAGAAAAATATCTACCAACTCCTGCAAAATTTTCTGGAGCGCTGATTAAAAAAGAAAAATAACCATAAAGTTGGTGCAATTTTCAAGATCCGCTCCGTTTAAGGGATCAGATGAGGTCGAAACTTCTTGATCTACGGCGATCGGCTGAATCTCAACAATGAATCATCCACAATGTTCCGGAGCGGGACGAATTTGGAGGGAAGTTTGGAAGTTTAAAGATCGCGGCAACGCGAGTTCTTTTCAACGCGAAGCGTGCGCGTTGCGTTTTTTTTTCTGTTCTCGGACATTGGTGACGCGAAACGAACGTGCTCCGGACGTTTCTGGACATTTCTAGTGACCATTTTAGTAGCGTCAGCCCTCTTATAGTCTGTTCAGATTTTAAATGTCAAGTAGAATGACGTCATTCGGAAACGCTGTGGATGGCTCGCTTTCTGATTGGTTTATCGCGAAAATTAGGGGGCGGAATTCATATTTGAAATGTGAAAATACTATAAACTTTCCCTAGAACTGCCTAGAAAAGTCCGGAGCACGTCCGTTTCGCGTTACCCATGTCTGAGTTTTTTTTTGGGGATCTACACACCATTTTACTAGGGTTTTCTTCCAATTCGATGCTTTTTCACACTATTATTGTTAACATAACGTAATTAAAAAATTTTCTATGAGGTTTGTGAATAATGTTGATAATTATAATTATTATATCATTCGCAGAACTGCTTAATAAACTGCAAGAAAGCTGTTTCTACCCTGAAAGGTTTTTTTTTTCGTTATTTTGATGAACCTAACTTTTTTCCTATCGCTGAGGGTATTTCAAGGATTTTCTTGTGGAAAAATTGAATCGATCTTTGATTTATATTCTGAAAACGGGGTAAAATACAACCAAATGCTTCCGAAAAATGGATAAAAATATAAAAGTGCATAAAGTTTCAATCTCCCAAAAACTGCGCGCTGTTCACCTGAGAGTCGAAAACCTCGACGACTTCAGCAGAAGAGTTTGGAATGACGACAGGATCTTCTTGGGGGTTCTCCGTCTCCGGAGCGTCGTTTGAGATAATGGGAACCTTCCCAAAAGGTTCAAACTTTTTTTTTCAAAAGGAAAAAATCAAACCTCTTCTTTCAACCGCTCTTCCGTGACGATTTCAAAACTTTGGAAAGTCTCAAACTTATAAATGAAAATATGAACATTTTCTAAGCCAAGACCTCTTTCAAATGGTCCGCGAGAACTGCATTCATGTCGAGAGAGTCGATTTTGTCACAAATTGCTTCGATATATTCGAATTTTTCGAGCGTTTCAAAGTCTTCCCAGCTTTTTTCGGTCTGTGATCGGAAAGAAATTATGAAAACCAGAAAAAAGTTTCCGATTTTTTTCTGGAATTTAAAGGCGAGATGGGTATGATCGGTATGAGTGACGCGCTGCGTACGCGACGCGGCTTTTCGGCGGAAAACTATAGTAAAAATTTAGAAAAAGGGCCTTTTCTGAATTTTTTACTTGCATTCTTCAAACTGAATACTTTCAAAACCATGAAAAACTATAGTTTATTGAGAAACAGTCAAAAAATGGAGGCTCGTGTTCGACTTTATTTCAAGTCACGCACGGCGTTCCCGAACGGAGTAGGAAGACGTCAAAAAAAAATTTGGGGCAAAAATTCAAATCTCGAATACGCAGCCAAATGTGATCGAATGAACAAGTTATTAACGTTGAATACTCAGTGTAATTTGTGACGTAGAATGACGTCATTTTTTTTTTGTAAATTCAGAAACTTTGACGCCTCGCTCACCTTCTCTCACTCCATTAGGAATACCGTGTCGAGATGGATCGACTATAAATTCTAACTTACAAGATTTGAAATTGGAGCTGACGGCCTTCCGACATTTTCTTTGTCTGCTGCCTAAACTCCAGAATACATTTTTATCGAGTCTCGTAAGTTTTCAAATACCTCAGGGCTAAAAATTTGGGGAGAATTATCGGCATAATTCGGAACATTGTCAGAATTGCCTTTAAGAAGCGCCTTCTTCTGTTTTTTCTTAAACTCTAATAAATGAAATATACACAATTAATTCAGACCTGCTTTTTATCATTCACGGTTGAAGTCTTCTGCGAGGTGAGTTTCTCACAAAACTGCTTGATGAAGCTCAATTTCTCGCACTCCGTTATTTTTTCCAATTCCGCTTCCAGAAATGCAATTATTATTTTGACGATTCTCTCCGCTTTTCCGAGACCCTTGGCGAACTTTGCCTCGAGGGCACTCAACTGAAATTTTAACCACCAAGTTGAAAAATTAATTGAAACAATTTTTCTTGAGCCAAAAAGAAGTTTATATAATTCAGAAACAGCAAAAAGCGAACCTTCTTTCGGATTTTTCGGTATCAATTCGTCAATGAGAAAGACACTTCCGGGCTCTTTTTCAGTCATTTTGAGCTGAAATAATCCAAATAAAGAGGAAAGATATAAACTTGAAAATATTGTACAACGCGTCCATATCGAAGAAAAAAGGAAAAGCTCTGACATATTTTTTTAAAAATAAATTAGAATTCTCACAAGTTTTGAAGCAATTATCCGCAAGTTAATTGGTAAATCGAAAGTGGTTTGACAGAAAAATTAAAGAAAGAAAAAAAATTGCTAGGAATATAAAATGCGTTTGAAAACTTCTAAATTTTGAGCGAAAAAGTCAGGAAATCCAACAGAATATCTAGAAATGTGAAAAAAAACGATTTTTTTTTGGTGTGTTAAAAGTAATTCAAAACTATCTCTGACCCTCCGAAAAGTAGTTATCTTTTCCACTTTCTGATGACGTATTCAAATTGATTCCGCGAAACACAAAACGGCGGTCAGAAAAAGAGAAAGAAAACTAAATTTTGGAGGGTCAGAGACCATTTTGCATTTCGCGGAAATTACTTTGAACACGGCATCATCTCAAAAATCGCGGATGACAAACGGAATATTTGGCTCTTTTCTAGTGACCACTAAAAATACTCCATTATTCTCTCGCGCTGAACTCATTGAACTTCAAAAAAAAAGAAAGATATAAATTAGTATAAAACCAGTAAAATCGCTATAAAAACACTCTAACAAAGAACACTTTATACAATTTTCAGGCAAAAAAATCAACAATGAAAAAACAACAACAGAATATAGGTCAGTATCGGAATTGAAAAAAAGAAAAAAAGTCAATAGTTGTTAAAATAAAAAATTGAGAAAAAAATTGATTCAGGAAAAAATTTCTTTAAAGTGGCTAACAGATGGGATGTTTTTAGCGATTTCTTCCAGATCTTGAATCGAAGATTTCAAAGAAAGCCACATCGAGTCGTTGCTCGGGTTCTTTGAAAGCTTAAAAATCAACTTTAAAAATCAAAATACGTTTTATTATGGCGTGCTCATCGGACAAAACGAAAATTGCTTCGAAACGGTAAAAAATTGCTCCAAAACAAAAATTAGTACTGTTTTGGAGCAACTGGCGCGCCGATGAACACGATTTTTCGTTTTGAAGCAAAGCATGTTCCGTTTCTCCAATAGACACCATTATAAAAAAATAAGTAATTTTTTTCACCTAAATTGGGCTTATAAAAAAATTATTGCCGCATAACTACCCTAGGAGCATGTAACATCCGCAAAACGGGCTTTTGACCAGATAAAGGAACAGCCGCGATTTGGGGAATTAGGCCTTCGCTCATTTTTCGTTTTTCCGAACTGTTTTCTTCTCATTGAATTTTCTCTAAATATTGAAATTATGGAAAAAAATTTGAAAAACTTCAAACTTAGCAACCACAGAGTGGTCCCTGTAGGGGCTCTTGGAGTGTCCTCCGTAGCAACCACTTTACCGACCTCTACAGGGGCCACTGAACCTTGCAAACGTGGTCCCTATAGGGGACATGCTAGCCCTATAGGGGACACACTTTTATGAACTCATTGCGAAAAAGCCATAGGAAAACTAAATAAATAAGCGTTTTTTGAAAAATATAATCGAAAAATCCCTATAGGGGCCACTTGAGCTTCTTTAAGCCATTTAGGGACCACTTTGACTTCACACATTTTATTTTTAAAAATTGCAAATTTTTTCGATTTTTCCTACGATGGTGTTGCGACAACGGTGCTTCAACAAAGGTCATATTAATTATAAAAAACCTCCAAAAAAAACAACTTCCAAGTGACAAAAATTTTCAAAAATCGATATTTTTCTTTCTTCATCCACTGAGAATGTTTTGAAGTCATTTTTATGAATATTTCTTCTAAAATGAAGCTTCAAATCTTACCAAAAGATCTTCGATGTACTCCTCAGAAAAACCATGATCCAAAGTCTTCACATTATCCATCAGACTCATCACGATAGTCTGAAAATCTTCATTTTGTTTTCAAAAATTCCTAACTCTAAAAATACCCGGATCTCTTTCAAAAACTCCTTCTCATTCTGCTCAATCAAACTGTCAAGGCGATTTTTGCAGTTCGTGTAGATTTCCTGCAGGTTTCGACACTCCAAATGGCATTTCTCAGCCAACTTCTGTAAATTTATCGAGAAAGTAATATTTTTGAGCAGAGAAAGCCTACCATGAAATTATCCGTTTTGACAGGGCCTGCTCTTTTCTTACATTTCTTGAGTAAGCTGATCTGAAAAATATATAATTTTTTGTGGTTCTGACTCGAAAATTCAATAAAAAAATGAGAAAAAAATAAGCCGAGAATATGTGCGCAACGGCTAATAGAAGAATACTGTTTGAATCAAATTTTCATTCTGGAAACTTTCATCTTGTAGAAAGTAACTCATGTCGAATTAAACTTGTAAGTTTGTTTATGGTTAGAAACAATTATCGAGAAGAAAAAATTCTCTGAATTAGCAATCGATCATACTTTCAGACTCCGACTTTCAAGTAATGTTTCTATTTTCTCCTTGATAAATATTTTTTCAACTCTACTGCTCACCTCATAATTAGCGAGGCCGAAAAGTCGAAGCAACTCGAGGACAGACTTCCGAAGAACGGCCAATTCTTCGTCCCAAGCTTGCTCCACGGCCAACGTCCGTTTGAACTCGCCGACGTTCTTCCCAAGCCGATTCTCCTCATCTTCAGCCTTCTCCGCGAGCTGGACCAGCTCCTCGTCCCACATTTCCTCCTGCTGCAAGTGCCGCTGCTCCAACTCCTCCTTCTCCTGCTCCAACGCGTAGTCGACTTCTTTCAGCTTCTCCTTCTGGTTTTCCGAAGTTTCTCGGATTTTCTGCTCCCGTTCGAGCTTCTTCCATCGGTAATCTTCGGCGATTCTCTCCGCCTCAATTTCGGCTTGCATTTTTCTTTCTTTTTGTTCGTCCAGCCGCTTCTTACTTTCCGCCAGGGCCTTTTCTAATTCGCCTTTCTGCAATAACTCTGGCTTTTATAATAAGACCTTTTCTAATTCGACTTTCTGAAAAGATTCGATTAAACTCAGCAACCAGTAGGGGAATCTGTCAGGATTTTTGTAGCTGATTCCAAATTTTAAAGAAATGATAAAAAAGTTCGATCCAAAAAGATTTGTTTTTCCATTTTTTTCTAATAGCAAATATTATCTGTCACTAATTTCCATGTGGAGGATTGATGCTTTTCTTCCGATCCTAGCTTTATAATTAAATATTAATCGAAAAGCCAAACGCTCATTTACAACAGACACAACTAATAACTTCAAAAATCGATAAGGCTCACTTTATCTCTGGAAAAAGACGGAGAATACTTCTGCGCGATGAATGGTTGGGAATTTCTGACCGGAGGATTTGAAAAGCTTCCGTCTGACTGAAAAAGCCGTAATTTTCCTAGAAACGAAATTGTTCATCAACGATATTTTCAGGTCCCGGAGCAGCGCTGGACATTTGGAAAGAGTAAGAAAAGTACAAGTTTTAATTTTAAAAAATTGTTAACAGGCTAAGTTCAAAAAGTCGTGGTGAGAAAACTTCGTACAGACGTACCATCGAATATCCTGATTTTAATTTCATCGAAAAAAATGAGGATTTTGCGTTAAAGCCGGGTAATGTGCCTCACACTCCGAAATCTACCTTCGAAGGGAGAAAAAGAGGGTTTTTGGGTCTTTGAAGCTTTAAGCTTTATAGCTTTTTATGTGGTAAAGATGAAAGGGATAGCAGAAGCTCGATCAAACGTAATAATGAAGTAACTGTAGAAAAAAAGTTTTTCGATTATATTTAAAGCAAGATTTCCGAAATTACACCTCTGTGCTGGGTTTTACTAAATTCTGTTACCAGCCTGTAAAATTTAAAATTTTTCCAAATTGTAGTCATTTTTTTCGACTTGTAAGGCGATATGGGTGAATTGAAAAGGGTGGAGCTTTTTATACTTTTATTCGTTCAACTACACTTTTTCGAAACCATAGAAAAAAGCCAGAAAGGGAGAAAAACCTCGAGTTTCCCGCGGAAAAGCCGCGTCGCATACGCAGCGCTTCACGCCTTCAACCTTTCAAGTCGGGAAAAATTGATACCGTGTTAAAATTGATTGCGCAAAACTCGTTAGAGAAAGAAAAAGATAACCAAAATTTGGAGAGTCAGGGATATTTTTGTATTTCGCGGAAATCACGCCATGAATATACTCCGACTCACATTATCTCTATAAAAAGACGGAGGAATGTTCTGGACGAAGAATTGCTGTGGATTCCTGACAGGAGTATTGGAGAAGCTTCCGAAAGAACTGCTAGAAGAAGAATCGCTCGTAGAACCGGCAGTAGAGCCGAAATATCGCCGGTTTCCATATTCAAAAGGCTTTTGAATGTAAGAATTATTTGCGGGAGGAAGTTTCCCGAAGTGGGGCGATATTTGAAAGCCGATGGGTCCTCCACATCGAAGCGTGCCAAAACCGTCGTTGACTGTCTTTTCAGTTTCAGAGGTGGGATTCGGCGAAAATGAAGGCTTAGAAGTTGAGACAGGGGGAGAATTTGAGCTCGATGAATCAAAGTTTTCTGTCCTGAAAATGTTATATTTTTCATTTTTTATTACTGAAAATACAAGATCATACTTTGATTTTCCTTTCTGGACAGTGAGTTCGGGACATATTTCTTTATGGTTCGACTTTTGATCGGTATTCTCGACATTTTCAAAGACATTCGAGGAAATCTGTAATGAAATTTGAGCTTTTTTATATTGTCAATCCTTCCCGACTTAAAAGGCGAGAGAGGGGGTAAGAGTGACGCTTTGCGTACGCGGCGCGGCTTTTCGGGGAATACGGAGGTCAAGTGGTCAAAATTTTCAATAATTTCAAAATTGGTATGATTTTTTTGAAAAAAATCAAGTTGAACGATAAACACTATGAAAAATAATAAAAAAAGTATTTTTCTACATTTTTTTCATGGTAACGTTCGACCTCGATTTTCCCGCCAAAAAGCCGGGCCGCGTACGCAACGCTCATCCCTTGCCAACCTACCCATTCTCGTCTTTTACTTAGGAATCCCATAGTGGTACTTATAGGTGTTAGAAGGGAAAACAACCCTATGGGCCAAAAAAGGGGTCCTTATAGGGGATTTAGGGTCTGAATCTTTAGCCCCTAAAGCTCAAGTGGGCCCCTATAGGGTTAATTTCATTCAAAAAAAAAAGATTGTTTTTTCATGGAAATGCTTTTTCGCTTGGAGTTCATAATAATTATCGACTAGCATGTCCCCTATAACTAAAACCCTATAGTGACCAACTTCACGACTCTTATAGGAGTTGGTAAAGTATTCCCTAGAATCTTAGGAATTTTCTTCCAAGGGTCCTAAGATTGCCCCTAGAGGGATCAGTCTGGAGTTCCTAAGTCGGAAAAAACTTACTACATCAAAATTTTGTACTTGACAGAAGGCTTCAGAATACTGACTTGGTGAGACTTTTTTTCAACTCCAACAGAAACTCCATAAAAACTTACCGTTTCAGAGGATGAAGAAGAAATCTCTGGCTTAGAATTATCCAGACTTCCGTGTATCTGAATTTTGATGAGGATATAAAAAATTGAACAAAAAGTCTGATATAACTCGAAAAAAACGCCATTTTTAGTTTCAACGTGGTAGAGCCTTCTCCACTTTCACAGAAAATCAATGATTATCTTTCTCAGGCTATTTTCCTTCCCACAATTTTTTTCCAAGCGATACAACTTTCCAAAAAAGTCATAGCATTAAAGTCCTAAAATTAAAGGTCCATCGACCGCAAGGCGACAGGTATCTCGAAGCGCAAATTGTGGTCTTTCTTGAAAAATAGCGAGAATCGGTGAATATATTATCAATAAAAATGACCAGAAAGTATTTTAAAAGAATGAGAATTAGGCCTTCCATAGTTTCATTAACTGGCTTCATGATTTTTCACGATCTATTTTAAATTATTTTTCAAACTAAATTTTCCATTTGATCACAATTTTTTCAAAGACGATTTCGCATGGATAACTGCACAAAAAACCAATAACTTCACCCCAAAAAGCCGGTAAACATCCTCAAGAGACGTGATATCATCCGTTGGAGGATGAACCTTCTCCGTAGGAACTTTGGTGGGTTTCGTAACCTTTAAAAAGTTTTTTGAATCATTTCAATCAAAAGATAAAACTTTTGGGGTAAGATTCTCCTTGGCGACGTGCTGTGTACGAAGATTTGATGATAGAGGATCGTCCTAGAAATTTAAATTCGTGACCGCGAAATTCAAAATAGCCCTCAGAGAATGAAAAAGATAACTAAATTTTGGAGAGGCAGAGATAATTTTTGCAAATTACTCTAGAAGTGCCAGAAAAAAGTTGATTTAAAGCATGAGAAACTTTTTCGATACTCATATTATTCTATAACTATAAAAATGATTAAATATCACGAAAATGGTCCTTAAACAACTCATAAAAATCTCTACAGTGACCTATGCTTGGGTCTAAATTTTTTTCGAAAAACCAAATAATTTTTGAAAAATAAACAAAAGGGGCGGGGAGCGTTTAGAAGAAAAAGGAAAAATAGAACTTATCATTTAGAAATAAATTCCTAGGAAAGTCCATTACTCCGAAGATAAGAATTCAATATTATTCTAATTTCCCTTTACCAATAAATCTTTTTTTTTTTGCGTACCCAATCTCGCTTTTCTTCTTCATATTTGCTAGGCAATTTCTTCGATGCAACTTCGTTGTCTTCAACAAAATCGACAGGAATCTTGGACTTTCCAAAAATTCCGCCTTTGTTCAAAAGTCCTCCAACAGTCTAAACTCGAGAAATTACAGAAGAGCAAAATGTAATTCAAATACTTCTTTTTCTTTCTCCGCACGAAAATCGGAATCAGCTTTTTCTTCAGCAAAGTCGTTTGAGATATTATTGGAATTTACGGAGTTTTCCTGAAATTGAAACCGAATGAAACGAAAATTTCACAATATCAAGATACTCGTATTGAAAGCTTAAAAAAAATCAGCAATGGCTGGAATAATTACGAAAAAATACTTTTTTTTTTGAACTTCACATCGGAAGTCAAAAAGAACTTCCTTCTTTTTTTCTTGCAAAGGTTTCTCAGCTCAATTTTTATATTATCGAGCGGACCTGAGGCTCCCCCGTGAGACGTCGCTCCATTTCGTCCAAAAAGTTGTTGATCAAAATACGGAGCTCTTTCATCTTCTCATTGTCTTCCGCGATCATGTTCAATCTTGCATTGAAGTGGGCCAAAACGGCTCGGAAAGACGAATCGATTTTGATTTCAGTGACGTTGCGGACATCTAAGCGTTGAGTCAAGTCCATGTGATGACCAATCAAACAATTGTATCGATCGGTATGTCTTTGCGTGAGTTCAATTCTGTTCTTTTCGTTTTCCTCCAGGAAACTAAGGATCGATTCAACGATTTGAGTAGAATTTTCCTGAAAAGGAAATTTACATTTGATATGGAAAAAGTTCGAATTTAGTCAGTTTTTCCCGACTAGGAAGGCGAGGGAGCCGGAGAAGGAGACGGGACACTTTTTCATTATTTATATCCAAGTCTCTACACTAACGAAAATTTGACTTCATTGGTCTCTTTAATCCACCTAGTGGTCTCATTCCCTCCCTGCAACATAACCATAATCCCGATGTTGCGAAAATAAATTGATTGATTGATAAAAAAAAAATTTGCTCAACTTCTCCAAAAGTGGAAACCAAGGTTCAAAACTAACCTTTTCTCGGTCGCAAGTTAGTCGATTCAAAAATCTTCCGAAATTTTCCTTTTCACGAAAAAGTTGGCTTAGAAGTCTCTCATTGAGTTTGAAGTCCGATTGTCGAACATTGACCAAGAATCCCCAATTCTCCTGCTCCCGTTGTCTCGAATAGTTCAACCGATAATCTTCATTTTGATATTCTCGATGAAGATTATTAAGATCTCTTTGAACGAGTTGCGGGAGGTTGCCGCCGTAGTATCCGCCAGTTAAATTCCATTTTCTTCGATTGAATTCGCCTCGAATTGCATTAGATCGCCGATAATAAAAAGTGTCGATCATTTCCTTCTCATCAATGGCTTCTTCCATTAAACAAGCCATTCCCTTCTTGTCGCGCGAAACTTCTCCAATTCTACCATCAAGATATAATTCGAATGCAGTCATCTGAAATTTCGTGATCATTATTAGTATTCCACTTTTTTATCTCATTTTAAATATTATTTAGTAACGAAAAATTTTCCAATTACATTTTTCAAGGTTTCGAAAATGAATAAAACTTTTGAAATCTTTTTTTTGTTATTGATTCTCCCATTTTTTCCTGTTTGAATCAAAAATTCAAAAATTTCATGCCTTTTTGTATTCAAATAATTCAAGCTCAATGATAAATCTGCTGAGACGAGGAACAAACCTTCATTTGTATCTCCAAAAGTGTATTATCGCTTTTCGCAGAACTGCCACGAGCTCGATTTTCGTCCATGCTGACAGACTTGTTCGAATTGAACGCAATGTGAAAACAAAAAAAAATAAAAAGGAATCGATAAACCCAATGAAAAGGCAATATCAAGGAGTTTTTTAATGTATTTATGAGAAAACGATAACAAAATTAGAAGCATTTTGAAACAAGAAATTAAAAAAAAAGCGAAAGGCCACAGTAAAGAGGACCGTTAATAATTTTGATTAGGAATGAGTAAATTTTTACAACCATTGGCAATTCAAGATCAAAAAAAATACATAGGGTCTGAAAACGTAAGAACGTTGTTGCAACTTTTCAAACACATTGAAATTTAAAAAGAAAGAAAAAAAATAAAAATTATGCGCGAGATCGCTTTTTTTCTCGTTAAGGTCTGATTAATTATGTACCATCATGATAAATAAAATGATTATGTGAAATTATGATATGGGATACCGAGAACTTAATAACACCACAAGAAATTACAAAATTCAAAATTAAAGTTATCACATATTCAACTACAGAAAAAATATCGAATCGAGTATTTTTTTTTTCCAAAAGTACCTCGGACCTTGGTAACGCGAACGGGACGCGAATCGGACGTGTCGGGGCATTTCTAGTGACCACTTTAGTAGCCTCAGCACTCTTAAGGAATCCCTAGAATCGCCCAGAAACGTCCGGAGCACGTCCGTTTCGCGTTACCCATGTCCGAGACCCTACAGCGAACACTCGAGGAGCTAAATTTCCTTGCCAAGGATTTTTTTTTTGGAAAATGGATCCTTTTTTTTTCATTGTAAATCATTCAAAGTTACTCTGTTCTCTCTGAGTCAATTTGGACCAAATATCTTCCTTGAGAAAAACGGAATCATTCTAAACGATAGGTGGGCCTCCGTCAAAAATTTTCCATTTCATCACTTTTTGTACAAAAATGTTTTTTCGATTCAATGGAGTATGCAAGTTAGCGCCGTTCTGTGTGTGCACCAAAGACGTCATATATTACGAAAACTGTGGGACGGGGAGTCGTAAAAAAGAACGCCGGGGGGCGAAAGGCTGTTCGAGGAAATCGACGCAGAAAAAAAAAAAAAAATCGTTTAAAAAAATCAGGGGAATCGAAAAAAATTACAGATAAACATCAGAAATTGATTCTTCTAAATCAAGCTGAAATTGGCTGTCGAGAAATCCTCAAAGTTGATCCGGATCAAGTTCTACCCTGAAACCATCAGTTATTCCTTTTTCAGATATTCAAGCTCAGCTGTTTGTTTTCCTTTGCAAGAAAGAATCCAAGAATGTTGTCTTGATATATTGGCGACTGAGGGTTCTCCGAATTCGAAAGATTTTCAGAGGTCTCCGGAAAGATCTAAAAGTTTGTCAGCTTTAGTGTATTTTTCGCGAAACGATCGATTTTTTTCAAAAACAGCTTTCAATGAAAAGCTATAAAGTTCACGGCTAGTTTGGCAAGCAAAAAGGCGTGGCCTATCTGCGCTCTCTATCAACCAAACACTATTTCTTGTTCCTTATCGTGTCAGGACCCTTTCCCGATGGCTTAAGCTATCAACTATACCGTAAATACAGACTCCGCGCTTTCGCTTCGAGACACTTTGACAAAAATTGCTAAAAACTAGGTCTCAAAGCGAAATTTGGAGTACTCTTATCACGACAGGAAAAACAAGCTGGTGTGAAATCTTCAATGATTAACCTCGGAATTGTGGCTGAAAACTTCGCCGGCTGGACCAAGTAGCGTATTATACATATAGCTTCTGAGAACGAAAAGAAGCAAGTCCAGATGTTCCCCATCTATTTTGTTGAGATGCAGCCTCGTTTCAAAATTGGCGACGACTTCTTCGTAATCAAGTCTGAATTCGGAATCGACGTCGAGGGGAATTTTAAAGTCTTTGGAATGTTTGGCACGGTCTCTGAGCAAGGCGGATTCGCAGTCGAGATCATCTTTCCTGACTCGGATTCTTTCTCGCTCGACTTCCTCCAGAGGAAGCATCATCCGACTGACGATTCGCAGGGAGTTTTCCTAAAATTAAAATCGGTCGTTTTTTTTAATTCAAAAATAATCCGAGGCCGTATGTCTTTCCAATGGCAAAAAAAAAACACCAATGGTTCAAAATTGTTCTTCGCTAGTAAAAATGAGACTTTCCTAATCAGTCGCTGGTCTGCGCTCTCCACCAACCAAAAAAAACCCCTTTTTATCGTTTCAGGACCCAATTTTTGATGGCCCTGGACCGGCTAATGGTTAACCACTTTTTTAAATAAAAACTTCACTTAAAAAATTTCTTGTGAGTTAAAAATAAAATAAGCCTAAAAATGTCAAATTTCTCTCGAAAATTTACTCACAGGATTTTTGACGAACTCCCAGCGTTTTTTCGACGACCCCATTTTTTTTCTCCGTAAAGTGTCGTGTGTCGTGTGCATGCACTGCGCCGCTTTCGCGCAGAAAAATTGGGTTCATGTAGAGGGAATTCAATTCGTCTCAAAAACCTCTGGCAATACGGCTGCCTGCGCCTTTAATATGCCATGTTATTTACTCTCTTAGCGCCGAAATCTCTGCCGTTTCCATGACGTCACGTGGGAACTTCGGAGATTTTGACTCCGCCCACCCATTTTTGGTTTCATCTTCCACTAACAGAAACGCAATCATGAACTAAGATGATTATAATCAAAAATCCAACGAACCCCTTCAAAGTCGTCTTCGGTCTGTTTGATGAAAGTGTCGAGCGCATCCTTGAGATGGCATAAAAAAGTGGAAAATCGTTCCTGGGAGTCGTAGTCGGTCTGGCGGATTTTCAGTAAGAAACGAAGATTTTCGTGTTCCCTATCGGACCAAGAATCCAATCTTTTCGCATCGATCTGGTATTTTCTATCAAGTTCTTCGATTTCTTCTCGAGCCGTTAGAGCCGATTTCGTCCGTTCGTAATCGTCGTCCATTTTCTTCCTCCACCGTTCGATTATCTCGTCGATCCGTTTCTCTTGGGCTTTGGCCTTCTTGAGCGATAGAGCTATTCTCTCCATCATTTCCGAGACTTGTTGAATTCTATCGGAAACCCCGCTTTCCATCCAGAAGATCTGAAATTTGAGGTCTTTATTTTGGTTTATATATCCAGCTGAAAAATTAGCTTTTTGTTTTAATCTTATTCGTTGAAGTTCTGTTTTTCGAGGCGTAAGTAGCTTTAAAAAAACTGTTACGAAAACGTTCAAAGCTTTCTTTTTTCCCGTTTATTGATTCTTTCAGTGAATTCTAGAGAAAAAATTGATTTTTTTTTATCAAGCCTAAGCTGTAACAAATGAAGTAAAAAATATTTTCCATTTTAAAGGCGTTTTTTTTGACGACGCCCCGCCCTTATATTTTCCGTAAAGTGTAGTGTGTAGTGTGCATGCACCACGGCGCTCTCGCACATGCCGCCGTGTTCAAAGTAATTTTCGCGAAATTCGAGATAATTTCTGAATTTCCGAAATTCAGTTATATTTTTCAACTCTTTGGCGGATACTTTGAATTTCACTTTGAACACGGAAGCAGAAAAATCGCGTGTTTTAAATGAGGAATCGACTCGTCTTATGACCCATTGAACATGCGCCTTTAACTCTACGCTTGTTTCTCATTACGTCACATGCACGGTGTTCCCAAACGGGGTGGGGAGACGTCAAAAAAAATTTGGCGCGAAATTTGAAATCTACAGTACACAGCCCAAGGCGATCGAAAAAACAAGTTATTAACGTTTGATACTCAGTGAATTTTATCCGTAGCGCGCACTAATTTTTTTTTGTAAATTCAGAAAGCTTGACGCCTCGCCACCCTGTTTGGGAACGACGGAGTTTTGGCTCCGCCCCCTTCATTTTTGGTTTCGAATTTTCTTCCACTAACAAAAACGCCGTGTGCCGTGTTTAAGGTCCGCGAAATTCAAAATAGCCGCTTGAGAAGGAAAAAGATGACAAAACTTTGAAGAGTCAGAGATAATTGGCATTTTCCGGAAGACACTTTGAACACGGCATGAAAAAAACATTCAAAAATGTCTTACTTTAATTTTAATATAATTGGTATCGAATTCAGAGAAAAAGTTCCGAATAACTTCCATGATCGCTTTCAGAAAAGCTCCTCGATCGTTCTTCCTCCATCCTGACGGCTTTTCGAGTTTCCAAAAATAATGGAAATGAAAAAATCGGAGATAAATCGTGGGAAATAAAGACCACTTCAAGAAAAAAAAAACGAAAAATAAGTATAGTATTTATGAAAATTGATAATGACGGGAAAAATAAATTATAACGAGTGAGCAATTGGAATGTACATTAAATAGGCAAATATTCAGTTATTGACCGTAAAAATGATTTATTGAGACAGGCATTTTTGCTTGAATTGGCTGGTCGAAGGGACATTTTTAGCCAATTCCTCCAGATTTCTGACGAGAGAGGTCGCTTTTTACCCAACAGGAGCTTTGTTCCGAAGGAGTTCTTGACTAAAAATTGAAAAATTTATCATATTTCCTCAATAATAAGTATATTTTCGAGGCTTTTTTTCTTAAACTTGGATCAGAAATGAGGCTTTTAAGAGCCACAAACGGAATATTAGCCGTCAAAAAAATGGCACGATTTGTAGTTTCATTTTTTTAGTTTTTTTATTTCAAAATTACATCTTCAATGTATTCTTACATTGCAGTAATCAGTTAAAACAGTTAAAATTTCAAAATTTCCATGGATCATAAATTTTCCTTTTTTTTAATGGTCTCAAGGAAAAAAAAAATAAACTTCTAATTTTGAATTAGTACACGAAACTTTACGAAAAATCGTTAAAAATCTGTGGCAAACCGAAAAAAATTAAAAAGATCAACACGGCCCGAAGAGGGTCCAGACAAGTTATAAAGTCTCTCGCTGTCTGACATCTCTTCATGAACCCTTATCTCTCGCTCAGACTAGCCAAAAGTCTTACCATTTCCCCTGCTTCGGACAGGGAATGCTTCAAATCCACAACAACTGTCAGCATTTGCTTCAGAATCATCTAAAAATTAACAAATCGTATGCTTTTTTCAAAGAACTTTCAAACCATGATATCCTGAAGAAAATTGGCTGGATTATGTTTGAACAAATTCTCAATGTGATCCAAATAAGCGCTGTAGAAATTCTCCAGATTCCCGCATTCAAGTTCGCACTTTTTGTTGATTTTTTGGAACCTTCTGAAGCGCTCGTCAAACTCTTTAGTGGTGGCTCTTCCGATCTAAAACGCAGGATTGGAATATTTTAGGACTATAGTCAATTTTTTCAACTTAAAAGGTGATATGGACCCTTTAGCGGGAAATTTGGAGACTAAAAACCAAGGTGGAAAAAAATTTTTTTTTGTATGCTTTTAGTTCAACTAATGTTCCGCAGACCATAAAAAAATTAAAAAAATTTATCGAAAAACGTCGCGAAAAAAAGGAGAAATAACAATGGAAAAAAAGGTGCCTCCCGTTTGAAATCCAAAGTTTCCCGCCAAAAAAACGCGCCGCGTACGCAACGCCCCCTTGCCAATATGCCCATATCGCCTTTCAAGTCCGCAAAAAATGTTCATAGCGATCCACCTCATGACTAGCAAGGCCAAAAAGTCGGAGCAACTCGAGGACAGACTTCCGAAGAACGGCCAATTCTTGGTCCCAAGCTTGCTCCACGGCCAAAGTCCGTTTGAACTCGCCGACGTTCTTCCCAAGCCGATTCTCCTCCTCTTCGGCCTTCTTCTCGAGCTGGACCAGCTCCTCGTTCCATTTCTCCTCCTGCTGCAAGTGCCGCTGCTCCAACTCCTCCTTCTCTTGCTCCAACGCGTAGTCGACTTCTTTCAGCTTCTCCTTCTCATTTTGCGAAGTTTCTCGGAATTTCTGCTCCCTTTCGAGCTTCTTCAATCGGGAATCTTCGGCGATTCTCTCCGCCTCAATTTCGGCTTGCTTCTTTCTCTCTTTCTGTTCTTCCAGCCGCTTCTTGCTTTCTGCCAGGGCCTTTTCTAACTCGACTTTCTGCAAAAACTCTCGCGTTCATGAGAAAGTTAATAATAGTTTTTTAAAACTTCAGAAATTTCCAAAAAATTTTATCAAGAAACAATAAACTGGTTGAAAATGTTTAGTTGTGGAGAAAAGTGTTTTAGAAGGTTCTGGAAACAGCAAAAAGGCATAAAAATCCAATTTTTATGAGATAATTTTTGAAACCTCTCAAATTTTCAGGTTTTGTTTGAAAGAATTGGTATGGAGAAATATTTTTAGTCAAAAACTTCTAACTCGGAGATTGGTAGCGCGAAACGGACGTTTCTGGGCGATTCTAGGGATCACTTAAGAGTGCTGAGGCTACTAAAGTCGTCACTAGAAATGCCCCGACACGTCCGGTTCACGTTACCAAGGTCCGAGAATTTTCCTATACGCGCCTCAGGATTATCCGTGGAGCGCGAAAGCCTGTTCCGCGGCTATTTTGTCCCTCAAACTAACCTTTTCGTTAGTAAAAGTAGCCGTATTTTCCTCATTTCTCCATCCTCCGCGATGACGTGTTCCCGAAGAAGATGACATTTGGTAGGAATAATTGGAAGGAAGATGAGCAATTTTAGGACTGGATAGAAGAATCTGATTATAGTTGACAGCTTCAAAAGACGAATTCAATGTGGTTCCAGTTCCAGGGACAAAACTTGGTCGAGAAGGTTCAAAAGAGCTTTTTGTGACTTTTGGAGGCTCAACGACTTCCAAAGCCACAGGAAACGTCTCAACTCCTTTTTCCTCAACAGGGGTCACGAATGCAGGGAAGCCGGCGATTTTTGGGAAAATTCCAGGAATATTTGGGATTTCTTCGCCTTTTTTAGGGTTTTCGTCGTCATTATCCACTGCGATGAGCTGTGGCTCTTCTTTTTGTTCCGAATGTGAAATTTCAACATGTTCGACGTCGACCTTAAGATCGAAAAATCACAAAATTATCATCATAAAACTTTCTTGGCCTTAGATTTCCTATCAAACTAAACTTCAATAAGCTTCAGAGGTACAGCAAAGTTGAATGTATGATTAAAAAGCAGTTTTTCTCGTTTGAAAACAGCAAAAAGCCATGAGAATGTTCCAGGAAGGCCTAAAGATTGAAAAATGACAAAGTTATTATCATGAAATTTCATTGAAGTTTTCAAAAAGATTCCCTTTTTTTCATAAATTTCTTTATGAATAACATTCAGAGAAAAATCAGTACCTAAAAAGACAGAAAAACAAACTTTTTGAGCATCTCCTAGAAAAATTGGCTTGAGATACTTGATGAAAAACTTATTCTGATTTTGTATGAGCGTTTTTGACGCGCTACCGTAATCCTATCTCGCCTTAGAAAATATTCCACTCGTCGTCTAGAACTCTCTTTTTCTCGTTTATGAAGGCAGCAGTCTACTGACTTGAGTCAATTTCGAAGGATTCTAAATAAAATAAAGACAGAAAAGAGAATTTTGATGAACTTCAACAAAAAAAATGCTCTTTTTCGTGCCAAACTAGAAGTAAATAGACATTTTGAAAAAAAAACACACAAATCTCCAGCCCGACTAATTAAGAAAAAACTATCGTATTCAAGGCAAAATAAACGCTCAAATTAATCTTCCTCATTTTTTCCTCGCTTTCTCTTCAAAATTACAAAAAATTTACCTTCGATTCACAGGGAATGCCTTGAAAATCCAGCGGATCATTCTCTTTCCCGGCCTACAAAACTTTTGTCAACGCCAAAAGAAAATTTTCCCCCGTACCTCAGTCGCAAAAATTCGCATGACGTCATCCAGCGACTGTGGAAAATCTGATTCTTTGTATTTTTTCTTAGGTTCAGAAGGGTTCAAATTCTGAAGTTCGGAGTTTAAATGAGTCAATTGTTTGAAACAAACTATAGAATCTTCCTTCGGTGAACAATTTTCCTTTTTTGAGTTTATCGGAGAGTTCCCGTAATATTCTTCCACTCTAGGGGGTTTGAACGGCTTTGGCTCCATGCGAGTTTTTTGCTGAAAAAAAAGATTGGATTTTTTTTTCTATTTTTTTCATTAGGTACTCAAGTTTGTAGAAAGTAAGAGTCTCTTACTGTAAGACACAAGTATTAAAAAATAATTCATATTTTCAAAATAATCGCTTCAGCTTTCAATTAATAAGTCCATAGGCAAACTAAGCAGCCTATAATAATTTTTTTGTGAATAAGAAAAAGACGAAATTTTTGTTGGTTTTGGAGTTTCTGACTGAGCTGAACGGCGAGAATTACTAAAAAAATTAGATATTTCCTTTTTTCGGAGATACTATTTTGCTCATAACTACTTAGGAAAAAAAGGGTTTTGAACGAACTTTTTGAACATGTTTTTTTATTGAGTATTAATTAACACATGAATAAATTTTTTTTCAAAAAAATTCTTCTATTTTTTTCCCGAACTTGAATATAAAAAAATCTCCTCACTACCGGCTTTCAGCTATTCGACTGAATTCGAAAAAAATATTTTTTCTCATCTTAAAAGACTTAGGAAAAATTCATGAAGAAAGCTAGAAAAACCGTTTAATAAGAAATTAAAATTAAGTTTCTACACAAAAATGTTCATTTGTCCCTAGGTTTCGTTTAAAAAAAGGATCATTTGATTTGGACCACCGAGAGCGAAAATTAGGATTTTTCCGTATTTTGGCTACTGTAATCTTCAAAAGGGGCGGAGCCTGTCAAAACCTCGACTAAAAGTTTCAGAGAGTTTCATAGTAGTTGTAATAAAAGAATGAACTTTAAAAAAAGCAACATTCGAAACTTATTTAAAATCAAATCAAGCCTAAGAAACTTTTCTTCCCTAAATTCATCTTTTGAAAAATTTTCCTGAAGCAAGTTCCATCAAGAAAAAACCTGTGAGCGCGAAAAATGGCACGAATCGTCATAGTTGTTGGAATTTGGCTTGGAGCGTCCATTAGAAGTTGCCGGCTTGAAAAAAATTCATAGAAAATTGTGAATAGAAATGCGAATAACTGAATATTTCGGACAATCTGCGGCTTCGACACGTCTGCTTGTGGGGGATCGAGACCATCGGCGTCGATTTCGAGTGTGAACTTTAGGGCTTGGGTCTGCTCTATTGAGGAAATCCTGCGATTTCTCAATATCCATTTCGATTTGTTCGGCTCTACGACGGAGCGAATCATCCAAATCATTTGATTTCTTCTCGAAGAAATCTTTGATAGTGAAGATTTTCTCTTCAATCTTCCGATAAAGAGGACTACTCAAGTTTGAAAGAGAATAGTCGCTCAAAGTCTTTTTGAAGCTTTTTCGGAGCTCTCTGACTTCCCGCTTCATACTGAGACAACTGTTTCTTTCAATAGAAAGATCCTTCACAAGTTTCTCGATATCCTCGATCAGCGCGAGATATTCGACGCCTTCGGAAACCTTCTGGAAAAGTTGATTTCACTAAAAAAAAATTTTCGGTCTTTTTTTGAAGGTCTTTTCGGTGGTATGAAAAAAAAGACAGCAAAAACTCAAACGACGATTTTTTCGTATCGCTAGGGAACTTTCCGACGGCCACCTTCCCGCCGAATCCCTTTCCGACTTTTTTCCCTTATATTATTCCGTTTATAAAACATCTATTAAAATTTTTTTCCTATTACTGTGTTCTAATCATAACCCAACTACCTACTTTATATAGGAAGATTTGAAACGAAGAATTTATCGAGAAAAAAAAAGTCGGAAAAGATTCGTCGAAAAGGTGGCCGTCGGAAAGTTCCCAGCGATATGAAAAAAACGGAAAAGTCGCCGTTTGAATTTTTCGCTGGTGTTTTTTTCATACCACCGTCTTTTCACTCTGCAGTTGGGAATTCCTTAAAAATTGGTCAGAGAAATTCTTGCTGTATTTTGAAAGTCTCAATGTGTACAACTTGCTAGTTTTTGAAAAAGAACACCTCAAAAAAACTAAGAAATTTTGCACCTTGAGACTTTCAAGTCCTTAGTTGGTAAAAATCCGACAAAATTTAAAAAAAATTCCCAACCGCAAAGTAAAATGGCCTATGTATTTTTGCCAAAAAAGCAGGTTTCCGAGAAAGTTTTAAAACTTGAGGTTTTTAATTTTCATTACTTCAACTTTTCCATCAAATCAGAAGCATAACGCAGTGCAAAAAAACCGCAATAACTCAAAAAAAGAAAAATTCGGCACATAAACTGGAAAAAATTTTATAGTCATGAAACTAAATATTTAAAAATAAGTCTTTTTGATTTAATATATTTGATAAAAGTCAATTTTTCTAATGTTTTTTTATTCGCGTTCTTTTTCTTTACTAACTTAATCGTAATGATAAAAAAATACATTGGAATTAATTTTTTTCTTGTTTTATCGCCCTCACTGGTAGATAATATTGCAAAGAGAAAAATAATAATTTTAATGGTTTTTTTCGCTTTCCTCATCGAAAGTGCTCAGAAAAATGAATTTACAGCTCAGAAAAAAAAAGTGAAATATGGAACTTTTTCGAATGAAAACGAGGAACACTGTTTTTTTTTTTTCATCTCTTTTTTTTCAATATGTTCTGGTTTTGCCTGTGAACAAATATATAATCCGAATCCAACTTACAGGAGACAATCGGAGTTCATGGGCCTCCAACGAACGGATGTAGATTTTTCTGCGCCTCAAAGCTTCGCTGGGCGATTTTTCGGAGTTTCTCGAGTCCTCGTTTTTCCAAGTCCAATAAGCCTTTCAAAGTGTTCCGCCGGTTTTCGTCCGGTTTCGAGGATAGACTGTTCGAATTTCGTTGAATGTCTTGCAGTTGTCGATCGATTACATTGATCAAGAATTCCACCTCTTTCGTTTTGACGGCTGGAAGATGTCGTCCGATTCGCTCTTTTTCCTTCTTCAGCTCCTTGTTGATCTTAAAAATTTTAACGAAATCAGAAAAATATGAAACCTTTTTAAAATGAAAAAAAAGTGATGCTAAATAATTCCCTCATGTGCTTCTTTAAAACTTAGATTTCAATTATTTAAAAATGACCGTAAGAAACGTCGCAGCTCAAAAATTTTCATTATAAAACTTGAAACTTCCAAAATTTTTTACAAACTTTCGATTAGAATCAGCTTTTCTTCAAAACCGAAAGGAACACAAAAAGTCTCCAAGGTTGAACAAAAAAAGAAAACCTTCGCTGCAAAAAAATGAGAAAAATTGATCTGAATTAAAATTGCCCAAAAAAACGATTCAAAAAAACTCATATTCAAGGCTTATACCTTTAAAAAAACCATAGGGGCAAAATAATTAATTAAAAAAACCTCATCAAGTCCTTCGATTTCACTGTCTGTCCCCATGACGTAGTTGCAAACTGATTTCACCCAAAATAAAGGTTTCTGAAAAAAAAGCTGCCTGAAAACATCTACGCAAATATTTCGGATTAAGTGAGCTTAAAAAGAGAACCTTTATTCAAATTCAAAAACTAATTATTTTGCAAAATCAATTTATTACGATAGTACAGTACTTCTTCAACAAAAATCTCAAAATATCACTTTTATTTTTCCAAGAAAATCTCAAACTTGGACAAAAAAAAAACGTTCAAATTGGCCCTAGACCCAAAGAAAAGATAAGAAGTAACTCTGTAGAGTTTTGCCATTTTTTGAGAAGTTCATTTTATGCCGTTTCACTTTTCAAAAAGAAAAAATGAACTTACTTTTATAATTTCCATGGTCTCCAGCTCGTGAACATGAAAAGAGAGAGAAAAAAAAGATAGTCAAATGATTGAAACGATTTCTGAAATCTATTATTTCGAAATTTTTAAAGGTAATAAATTTTATGAAGTTGTAGACTGAACGAACATAAAAAAATGAGAAAAAATTTTTTTTCCGGAATTAGGTTCAAATAAAAGTGAATGCGATTGGAATAAAAAGAAACTTGAATCTGAAAGAAAAAAATTAACGATTTTTCTGTTGTTTCTTCACAATTTTTTTCGGGAATCAGCTTTTTTTAAACGATTTTTTTATCGAAATTTTCGGTTCAAATCAAAAAAATATCATCATTTTAAGCACACTGCTACCTGAAAAACACATCATATCCACATGACGAGAGAGAAAAAACATCTATTAACCTCGAAAATTTTGAAATACATGAAATTAAACACAAAAAAGTTTACAAAGTTCAAAAATATCACTTACATACCAAAAAAAATTCGATAAAACAGCGAAAACAGAACATTTTTCTAATATGAGCAAGCGGCGAGAGAGCGTTCGAAAAAGAGGTATATAAGAGAGAGAGAGAGAGTTTTTTTTTCGCCTGGAATTTGATTTTTAAAAAGTGCGTATTTGCGAGTTTTCACTACTGACCAAAAATTTGTAGTATGTTGTGTTCAAAGTAGATTCCACGAAATGCAAAATGATCTCTGACTCTCCAAAATTTAGTTATGTTTTCCTTTCTCTAACTGGCATTTCACGGTGTTTTTTTCTTTACGCAAGGTCAAGACTTTTCGTAAATTATGATGCTTAGGGTGTAAGCACACCGAGACGCACTATCGCATACTCAACATGTTTTTTTCAATTTTAGAATTTGCGATTTCAGGATAATAGCTCCTGAAATGTTCGAAATTTGTCATTTTGAAGAATATGATGTGAAAAAACATTCACTTACGTTAAAAAAACATTTAGGAACGATTTCGAAAGGGGAAAAACTCTAAATTACTGATTACAAAACAAAAAAACAAAAAAATATTATGAAGGTGAATCAGCTCCCATTGAATGAGCATTTATAAATACGAAAAAAATATTGAAATGAGGAAAAATTCGAGGAGCAAATGAAAAACATTTTATATACCTCGAAAACCTAGCTTCAGAAAAAAACAAATAATGGATAGAAAGCAGAAATTTTAGAAAAAAACCTCGTATGGCGAAATTTTTTTGTTTAAATCCGAAAAAAACCATCAAAAAAACTAGAAAAAAATATATAATTTAGATGATGCATATATCAAAAATCATTAAACTGCATCAGCAAATTCAATTTGGCTCTAATTTACGCGAAACCGGTTTTAAACTACGTCAAAGGAACTAGATAATAACTTTTTATTATTAACTGATTAAATTAAAAAAACTATAGTTTCCGAAATAGAGTGACTCTTTTTCATGTCGCGAAACAGATTTCAAAAATTTTTGAAAAAAATTAGGACTTTTAGAAAAAAATCTTCAACTCTTTTTGAGAAAAAAAGTTAAAGATCTGAAACCGGTTTAGAAAAAAATGCGCAATTTAAAAGCTCCACAAGATGTACCCATAGAGAGGCGGATCACATAAATGCAAGAAATAGAAAAAAAGTAAAAAAACCAAGAAAAAAAGTGAAGAAATTCAATTTTTTTGCATCAGAAATCATGAGAAGGGCGCAATAATGCGCCACGGATAATATGCCGCTGGGACCCAAAAATTTCGCATCATTGCGCGGAACACCGTGATTTTTGCATTTCGCGGAATCACTTTGAACACGGCATTAAAAATTTTATCTAAAAACTTTTTTTGCTATGCCGTGTTCAAAGTAATTTCGGCGATTTCAAAATAGACGCGTTATTCGTTTAAAATGAATTCACGAAATAGGCAGAATTGCTATTCCGGGAAGGCGAACAAAAAGTGAGTCCTACAACGATATATCGCTAGATATGCATTATACGGTGAGTTTTACGCGCGAATTTGAAATTTCAGTAGAAAATGCCCAAATAATTCCAAAATTTTGAGTTCCCGCGAAGAAATTACGGTAAAAATGCATATTTAACGATATATCGTTGTAGGAGTCATTTTTTCTTGCCATTCTCGGAATAGCAATTCTGCCTATTTCGTGAATTCATTTTAAACGAATAACGCGTCTATTTTGAAATCGCCGAAATTACTTTGAACATGGCACAAGAAACACCATTTGATGTCGTCGAATATGGCGCTTGGGTTCACACACCCGCGACGCACCGCCACATACTACAGAAATCTCAATATTTCGAAAGTTTGTTCAAAAAAAACCATGAGTACAGTGTAAGTCTTGATACACAGATATCATTGAAAAAAAAAATTGAAGAAAAAAAACTTGGAAAAGATTTATTCAAAACGAGGATGTCATTGAATAAAACTAGCAATAACAAAAAAAAAACAGTTTCGACAGGAAAACATGCAATAAATGAGAAAAAAGACGAGTTAGAAAAATCAGTAATGATTACAGTCAGATATTTTAAAAACTTAAAAAAGTTGACAGATTGAAAAAAAAAATGACGGATGTTTCAAGAAAGGTTGGCAGATCGGTTAATTAAAGCTGCGATGATCAGAACATTCATTTAAATGACCTGGAGGCTCGTTTTGGTGGCGAAACCGCTCAAAAAAGTTTCCAAATCAAGGGGAACTCAAAAAGAAATAAAAGATAAGAGAAGAAAAAGCGGCTGGAAGTGAGCTGGATTCACTATAACAAAACGAAAACAAGAAAAAAAAACGACAGTCGATTCAACTAAAATAAAGAGCGAAGAAAGTTGATGAAAAGAGGGTAATTTTGGAACCAAAAAAGTTCAAAATTCAAATATCGATTTTTTCGAAGAAGGAGAAGCATTAGTTGTGTGGATCTTCGACATCTCCAGAGGTCTCGGAATCCTGAAATTATTTTTTTTCCTTTTTTTAAACTTTTTGGAAACTGTATTTTCCAAACTTCGGCTAATTTTTGTCTATTTTTTTCCCCTTTTCGTGTTAAAAAAATCAAAAATTTTTTTATAATTTCAGTCTAACTTTGAATAAAATAGCATTTGGGTCGACATAAGAAGTCTTACGCCCGACCTGAAACGACTTTCGCATAGAAAAAAGTTAGGAAGATGTAACAAGTATCAAATTTCAATTATGCGACGTTCAATACAGAGAAAATGACCAAATAATAAAAAAAAACCTGTTGCTCGATTCCGACGCTGGACTCATGGACCGGCCCCTTCACTCCCACAAATTTCACCAAGAAATCAGAGAGATATTTCTCATGCTGGTTGAAATAATCCAGCACGTTCCATCGGGACTTAGACTTGCGCTTCAATTCTTCGAAAGCGGCTTCCACTTCTTCATTATATATTTGAAGAGTCTTTAAAGAACTCTTTTTTTCCAAGAGTCGGTTCGGCTCCTTGCGTTCGTCGTCTTCTTCGATCCCATTTCGTTCTTTTTGCCAGAACTCGAACATTTCCGTGGCCGGCCCGAGAGCTTCACTCTGGAAAAATTGCCGTTAAATTGATCACTTTTTTCGTCCTCATTCTTTCATTTTCTCAAACCATTCACAATCCTTGTTGTACGTCGACTTTCACAGTCTTATGTACTTTTAGAATGACTTTTTCAAATTCGGCAGGGAGCGCTTCGCGAATTGTCAATGGAGCGCAACTTAAAATTCTCTCACTTAGGAATTCCAGAGTGGTCCTTATAGGGGTCTTCCAATTTCATTCAAAAAACGCTTATTCGTTCAGTTTTCCCCATGGAAATGCTTCTCGCTTAGAGTTCATAAAAATTATCGACTAGCATGTCCACTATAGGGACCACTTGCAAGTTTTATTGGCCTCTAAAGGGTTAGTAAAGTGGTACCTAGAGGAGACCCTTTAAGGGCTCCTAAGGGTGCCCCTATAGGTACCACTCTGGAGTTCCTAGGCAGGTTTATTTCCTTGAATATTGAATTCTTAAAATTAGACAAGAAACTCGACATTAAATTAATTCTTCAGTCAAATCCCCTTTTTTCACGCCCATAGTTTCAGATGTACAATGGGAACGCCTCGTCAAAGAAATTTGGGTCGCATGGGGAATGAGTCAAAGTTTTACGGTTTCGAAGAAGTTTTCAACTAGCGTAAACTAATATACAACAGTCGTTGGAAGCTGTAAACTTCTACTCTGAGCCGCGACGCGACCGCAACGCTTTGAGCGATTGAAGAGGCTACTAGTGACTCTCAATCCACTGAGGTTGAGAAACCCCTTATTTTCCAGAAAACTAGTCAAACCGACCTCATTTTTCATTCCCACTATCTTTCTCGAAAAACGACGAATCTGCGTTCTTTCAACTCGCAAACGCCTCAAAAGAAGCTCCGTCCGGAACTCGTGATTTCTCCGTATTTTATCCAGAGATGTCCAGTCCGAAAGTTTCTTGTTGTAGAGATTCGTGATCTTCTCTTCTGCGGCCTTCCTTTCATTTCTGAGTATTCTCAACGAGTTCTGGAATTCTCTCGGGGAGGCGAAGAAAAATGTCATTTTCTTGATGTCTTTCTCCTTGTTTTCGAAACGTTTCCGGAGCGTGTTGAGTTCGAAATTCAGAGTTTCCTTGGCCAACTTCTTATCATTCCGTCCGGCCTCGAGGAGCTCCTCCAACTGGCGGCAGGGCTTCGAAAGCCGCTCCAGCGCACGGCGATTACCCTGTTCCATCGCATTGATCTGAACACACCATTTCGAATCGCAATCGGAATGGCTCAACGCGCAACGGCTGACAAGCGGCCGTTCCAAAACGCTCCTGGTCATTTCACAGCAAACAAAAAATGTGTTGAGCCATTCCAAATGCGACCAAGTTAGTTCTTTTTTCCATTCAAATAATCGGAAAGAATTTGAAAATCTAGAGATAGCGTAACTCAAAAAATAAATTACCCTCCACACAAGTTCTTTCATAACTCCTGACCGCTCAATGTTTTCTGGAGCCCGGCTCGGCGGAGCGGCCTCCTGAAAATGCAAATTGGTATCCTGGTTGTTTTTCTTTGAATGAACGCTGAAAGTTTGGTACTCAATCCCATTAACCACAACTTAAAACAGTCTGACCTGTCTGCGCTCTCTTTTTTCTTACAAATGAAGTCATAGAGAAAGAAACATGCTGAGAAACTAGAGAGCGCAGAGAAATAGATTATTTGCTCGTGACGAGACAAGAAGTTGTTTCCCTTTCAGACATAGATATTCTAGAATGGTCCCTATAGGGGTTAGGAAAAAACAGTATAGTGGCCAAACGGTCCCTTAAGGGGTTTACCACCTGACCGCTTAGCCCCTAAAGATCAAGGGGTCCCGATAAGGGTCTTTGAACTTTTTGTTCAGATTTGAAAAGTAAAAAGTGAATTTTCGCATAGAAATGCTTCTTCTCATATAGTTCATAACGATAATTATTTAGCATGTGCTCTCTAGGGACCATTTTACCAACCCCTATAGGGGCCACTCAAGCTTGCCGATTCCTCCAACGGCTTCTAAGGTCGCTCCTATAGAGTCCATTCTGAAGTTCCTAAGGACCATTTCGAATAAAATAGAGAAGTCGGGGCTTTTTTTGAGTGGTCACTTGAGTAGTTTTCGGACTCTGACAATATTGAACTATAAAACTCAGAGCTTTCTCTATCAGATCGAAATAACTGCAAAAAACAGCCACTTATCCTTTTTAAAAAAATCAATAAAAAACGAACATTTTCGGAGTCTTCTTCCACTTCATTCTCCGTGGACGAACCCGAAGAAGCTTCCTAGAAAAGTTAATTGCAAATAAATTCAAAAAGAAAATAAAAAACCCTTTCAAGTTCTTGCTCGCGCCTCTGCTCCTCCTGGTATTCAGGGTATTTGAAGGTTCTTGTCTGGAAAACATTGTTCTTATTCATAAAGTCAGCTCCGACTCGTAGCGCCTGCTTTAAAGCGCGCCCGACAAAAACTGACTTGCGCTCGAAGTGACCAAAAATTATTGAACTATGTTCTTAAAGGCATAGTGGCAGTAAAAAAAGGTGTTTCAGTTCAAAGCAGTACTTTGTAGAGCTTTTCATTGCGAATCGAACGGTGAACTTGGAAATGTACCAAACTTCCTAGTTTTAGAGATAAAATAATTCAAAGTCGGAGAGAGGAAAGTTTGAGTTCCCGCCAAAAAGGGCGTTTTGCAGTAAATTCGCTCTAAGGACAACAGGCTTCGCCATTTTTCGGATTTTCGCTTTTTCATTCGTTTCTTTCAATTTTCTATAATCAGAAGAGCTCAGATATGCACAAAAATTGGTCCTTATTGGATGGGGTTAACAAAAATAGAATTGTGATCAACTAACACTACCTTATCATTGATTTTTTTAATAAAGTTACCTTTCCTCTGATTCCAAATCCTAAAGGAGACTTGACGACACTTCCATTGACTTTTTGAGGCTTCTGGCTGAAATTTTGTATTTGTAAGAAAAAAATCATAAATTCCAAGAAGATTTTTTTCTTCGAACTCTTCGCTTACAGGAAAAATTAAAGAAAAAAAAAGATGAGAAATAAATTTTTCGAGTATTTTTGGTTAAGGAAAGGCTACAGATCACCAGAAAATTCACCATTTGGGTCGAATTTCGGGCGGCAATTTCAGACGTCGTTGGCGGAGGAGGAGAATCGAATTTGATCAGCTGAAAATTTGACAGATTCAGTTTGAAAATATTTATCGATTGAAAAAATACCCAGTCGTCAGTATCCGAAGTTGCCGGCTGACATTGAAAATTCCAAGAGTTCGGCTGAAATTTTCATTTATTCCATTTAAAATTTTTTTGATTAAAAAAACCGTTTCATCAGGTTCCCCCTTGCCTGCTCGCTCAGTTTCCGGTTTTTTTCTGAAAAATGACTTTTTTCAAAAATTCATGATTCCATCATTTTTTTGTTGAATTTCAATAGATCATTGATAAAAGGAAAATGGATCGAGATATGAATTTTCGAGCTTTGTACCGTAATATTTTGGACTACCGTAACTCAAAGATTGATCCTACAATAATCACCCTCTCACAAACAACTCAACATTTTTTTCAAAAATAGAAAAAAATTATCGTTCCTTTTTTTAAAAATTAGACTAGACCTAATGATAGTGGGGATAGAAAAATTCGAAAATGATGCGAAAAAACTAATTTTCGTAGTAGTTGTAAAAATCTGCAGCTACCGTATCCCCTAAAATCAACAAAAAAAAAAACCGTTTCGTCAGATTTCCGCGGACAATCGTGGCCTGCTCCCCTTCTCTCAAATCCAAGCTGCCAATCGTGGCCTGCTCCACTTCTCTCAAATCCAAGGTTTGTCTGGAAAATTGATCTTTTTTAAACATCAATTTTTTTTTTTGAAGATCCAATAGTTCACTCGAAAGAACAATCAATCAAGAGCAAGTTTTACTTTCGCAAGGATTACTGTATGTGCATTTGGCATTTGTCCGCATTTGCCGTGTAAACTTTGCGTGTTTGCACAGATAATCAATGCAATTCGATTTTATCTGCAGGTGTGATTCATCCCGATGAAATTAAAGCAAAAAAGGAAAAAAAAAAACGGATATGGGATCGCTGAAAATGTGCGAACACGCGCACACGCCAAATACAGACTTTCACATACAGTACTACTCGGAAAAGAAAAAATCGCTCATAGCACCGAAGTGTGAGCTTTCGAGCTTTCTACCGTAATTTTATGGATTACTGTAGCTCAAAATTTGATCCTAAAACTTTCATCCTCTTTCAAAAATTAATATTTTTCGAGAAAAATTAAAGTTATCGGTTTTTTTTTTCCAAAACAGTCTAGGAGAAAAAGGAGAAAAAATTCTAATTTCAAACGCTAAAAAACACTTTTAAAAACTTTCCAGATGCATGTAAAAATGCAGAATTTAATTTTCAGGGTAGTTTTAGTTGAGGAAAAACAGTAACCTCATAATAATCAATATAAGAACACCATTTGGGCGGCATCATTCAGAGGATTCCGAAAAATCAGAAATCCTTGGCTGAGATTGAGGTTTGAAAAAAATCCAGACTAATTTTTAAAAGATACAATTTTGTCAGTGATTCCCACCAAAAAAAGTGAATAAAAATGAAAAAAAAAACAGTACCAATAGAAAAAAAGTGAATTGAGTACGCAAAAAGCAGGAATTTTCGCAGAAAAACATAAAGAAACACATTTTTTAAGTATATTTTTCAAGAGAAAACCCCAACTCAATAAAATTTGATATAAAAATACCATTAGAGCTGCACCTTGTGGAGGATTTCGAAAATCCCTCGGCGGAAAAGGATAGTTCGGGGACATTCCCTTAAAATTGAAATTACATTTAACCCAAAAAAATGAATCAAGTGAGCAAAAAATCACAAGTTTTGTGCAGAAAAACTTAGAGAGACCGAATTTTGGTTGAGGAAAAGCCGTGAAAAGTACCATTTGAACTGGATTGTTTAGGGAAATTTCTGGAGTATTCGGCTGGATGGAGAATGGATTCCCTGGCTGGTAGACAATTTGGACAAAATCGTTCTGAGCATTCCAAGAATTCCTCGGCGGAAAAGGAAAACTCGAGGCTTGTGGCTGAAAATTGAAATTCTATTTTATCTATTTGAAAAAAAAAATATTAGCAAAAATTTGATTCACTAGCACTTCATACAAAAAATGAATTGAGTGAGTAATTTTGGATGAAAAAACGGCGTTTTGTTAGTGGAAGAAAATGCGAAACCAAAAACACAGTGGGCGGAGCCGAAATCTTCGACGTGCCCGCATGACGTCATGGGAACGGTAGAATTTCCGGCTTTAAGAGTATAAACAACAGGGTATATTAAAGGCGCAGGCCGTCGTATTGTCAGAGGTTTTTGAGACGAATCAAATTCCGTCTACATAACGCAACTTTTCTGCGCGAAAGCGTCGCAGTGCATGCACACCAGACACGACACTTTACGAAGAAAAGTGGGCGGGGCGTAAAACCCGGTCATAATCAAACCAAAAAGTACCAGTTGACCAAAATTGCGATCAGGCGTGAAGAAGACGTTCATAGGTGGCGGCGGGACGCGAAAATCTGGTACCCATGGCGGAAAAGGATAACTTGAGGACCTCGGCTGAAAAAATGAACCTTTTTTTAAACAGATATCTGATAAGTAAAAGTTTTCCTTCAAATCATTTTTTTGAATTACGGTTTGAAAAAAAATCACTCTAAAAAAGGTCATCCCGCGTCGAACCCTCGGTGCACCCCGTCTAGCTTCAAATGCCTATTAAGGTACTCGTTCTGTACACGATTTCGAAATGGCTTATTTCCCAATACCACTTTCTACAGTTTCATACTCGGCTGTTACGGTATCTCAAAAAAAACTTTTCGATTCCACCCGGTTGCCCCCGGAGTGCACTCCGTCCAGGGTCACCCTCTTTTTTGTTAGAGTAGGAAAAATGCGGTCTTTTTTCTCCGAAAACCGGTCAATTTTTTTTTCGATTTTTCAGACTTCCCTGTATAATTGTTTAGAAAATTTCCTTATTTTTGAAGGTTCAATTCGCGGTTTACTTTGGATTCCTGTTTTTCAATTCAAACAATTTTCGGTTATTTTATTCGGTGTAAGCACACTTCCAACTTACCGTATGATTATCGGCCGATCCAACATTTCTTTGAGCAAAGTTGTCATTGGCATCAGCACGGGAATTTGAAAATACTGGCTAGAATTTCTTATGCTCACAACTTATAAATTAACCGAGATTACCGTTTCTTGAGAATTTTCAACTTGAGTTCCTCCTGCTTCGTCTTGAACCTGCTGTTCGGCCTCCTTGACCTTTCCCTTAAAAATCGAACTTTTCAACTTCCTTTTTAATATCCATATTTTCTGTTCAGAATACGAAAAATAATCGATGCTGCTGAAAAAAGTACTAAAATATACTTGTTACAAAGTTTTCATGAAGAAAATTTGTTTATGAGAAACTCCATCTGCGGTTGTTTTTCTCATTGAAAATCAAGTTTTTTTCTCTTTCAAAATCAGTATGAGAAACAGTAAAACTACCTTATACCAAAAAATGGAATGAAATACCTCTTCAAACGTTTTCTTCAAATTTCGCGATCTTTTTTGCTCTTTTTTAGCGTGGACCGCGTTACTACACAAGAATCGACCCTGAAAAAATTTGAGTCAATTCCAAAAGTTCCAAGCTCTTATTACCATTTTCCAATTTTGTTTGTCGAGTAGAACTTGCCTCCGTTCAAAGCTGAAAATCGATAAAAATTCGTTTTAATCACACGATTTTCTGTGGGAAGCTTTACGAGCAGGATCGATGAATAATTCTTTAAGAAGGTATCGTTCAGAACCAAAAGTACTACTTAGATTTCTAAAGATGCCAATTTCTTATAGCCACTTGAATGGTCACTAATCCGACTACTATAGTGGCCACTGAATCGTCAAAACGTTAAAGTAGCCACTATCTTTTAGTCCCTTCAGTGGCCACTTGATAGTCACAGCACTAAAGTGGCCACTAAAAATTTTCCCTGATCAATAGAAGTGTTCACAGGTCACTCAAAATAATGTTTATCGCCTCTTTTTTTTTGAAGTAAAGTTTTCAAATTTGATTTTCGGTCATCTTGGGTCAAAACCATAAGAGTTAATGGATAAAAAGTCAAATTGAATTTCAAATCAATTAACACACGTTCTCCTAGATTTGCAAAAAAGGCTTGGTACAAAAATCTCATCTTTGCTCTTGAGGGCTCTGCTTATTATCACAGATACTATACAATTTTCTGAACAATTCACACCAGGCTTTGATAAGCTCCGCCAATTTTCAAGCGTACTTTAGAAAAAATACCGTAAAAAGCAAACTTTTTTCCTAGTGGAGCAAATCGTTTCAAACAACTTTTAATGCAGAGAACATGTCAATTTGATCATTTCTTGTGTTGAAAGTCACTTTAAAAACATTATTTTCATGGAGAAAAATTTCGATGAAAGTTGGAAAATGACGATTTTTCGACAGTTTTGAGTTTTTAAGGTCAAGAACCCCCGAAGGGTAACCGCGGAAACCGCGAAAACCATCAAATTTACTTTTTATTCCCCTTGATCCTTACTACCTACTGTATGTGCAAGGTTTAGATCTAACCAGATTTAGGTTAGAAGATTTGGGAAAGAAAACTTTATAACGGATCTTAGTGCGAATATATTGGATGGATCCACTTGAAAGTTAGCAATGATATTTTAAAAAATCGGGGCTTAAAAAAGTGCATTTTTAAAGAAGATGTATTGCAAAGGTAAAACGGAAAAGTTCCTACTTTGCCAGAATGACATACGGTGAATTCCGTCGCAGACCTTGGTAACGCGGATTGGACGTGTCGCGCATTTCTAGTGACCACTTTAGTAGCCCACCATTTTCCCACCATTTCAGGAGTTTTTGACGATACCTTCCCAATGGGTTATGCACCCCGGCGGCAACAAAAAGTCACCTAGACCAAATTGCAAAAAGACCTCGGACATTGTTAACGCGAAACGGACGTGCTCCGGACGTTTCTATGCAATTCTAGGGATCACTTAAGGCTACTATAGTATGCCCAGACACGTCCGTTCCGCGTTACCAATGTCCGAGGTCTTTTTGCAATTTGGTCTAGGTGACTTTTTGGTGCCGCCGTGGTGCATAACCCATTGGGAAGGTATCGTCAAAAACTCCTGGTGGGAAAAAAACATAAAGGATGGAAAAGTGAATAGAAAACGACCTTCAGAAGGTCAATTTCAAAAAAATGTTTCGAAGAGGTTTGCCGTTTGCCCGAGTGGAAAAGCCCTATACGTTCCAAAAACATAGACAATAATGTTTACATCAAGGTGTCCGTAGGTCAACCGCCACATGTTGCAAACCACGGCTTTTCCCGTCGCCGAGCAATTTTTCAAAAGGTCAGTGGAGAAGGGAAAAAATTGGGAGAAGTATAGGTGATCGAATCTTTGACAGCAATGAAAAAGGAGGTGTATCCCACAAAATTCGCTATTTATTCATTTGGAAGAGCATGAAATTTAAAAAAAAGATGCTGCGAAATTGACCAAAAGTGCAAGGAATCACACAAAATTAAAACTCTTAGAAGCTAGAGAAAGTTTCCATGAGTGTCTGAGACTTTCTGACCATTACTAGAGCCGCGAAATTCTACCGAAACTCTCGGAAAACTTCCCTTCTACTTTTCAACTTTTACATTAGACTTAATTTTAAAAAAAAATTCGAAAAAAAAAATCCGAATGTAAAAGGACCACAGGAAAGCCGCAAACAAAAAAAAATGTCGTGAAAAAAATTCGAATGAGAACATTCAAACAATCTGATACACATCTAGGCGGGAAGCGTCAGGTGTTCTCTTTTCGGCCGTTTTTTGAGCCAGAGCAATCACTCAAGTGGTCTGCAAGCCTCTTTAGCGTTCCCTTTGAAAAGCCTGAGAAAGAGTGAAAATTAGAAATTTGGCAGGGAGAACTAATTTTCTGTAGAAAAGCGAAAAAATAGCGAAGAGAGCCTAATTTTCAGATATTTCGATACTTCTGTGCTCTCGAATACTACATATTATATCACCATTTTCCAGGGCTACAGAATCTTTTCAAGTTTGCTATTAGAAGAGATTTTATGATGAAAATGAAGCGCTCATGTCGATCTTTATACGAATTGCCACTGTTTGGTGTGATTTGAAAAACGGCCCTTATCAATCTGACCTTCTTATCAACTCATTTGTGTGGCTCGATCGAAGAAAATGACAAATTTCACAAAAAAAAGGGTGGAGAAAAAATGGGGAACACCGAAAAAAGCGCGGAAGGCTCTGCGGTGGGCGGGGCTTGCGCGGGACAGTCTGGAAGCGTCCGGCGCAGAGAAATAGTGTTGAAAGAGAAGATGGCCGCGGGGCAGAGATAAAAATGGTAAGTTGGCCCTTCTTGAGGGAGCTTTCCTGCTGATTCGAAGTTGTTTTATCTGATTTCGAGACTCCCACCATGAGGACGGTTTCCGGACTCCAGCCATACATCAGCTGGATCCCACCCCAGCCTTGCGCGCAAAAAAAAATTTGAAAATGTGCGGAAATAGGCCGCACTTTTAAGGGAGTAGACAACACCTCGGGGTGGGATGCAGCCGACCTATGGCTCCAGCTACTAAATCTGCTGTTTTCTAAGCTCATCAAGGCGCAAATGAATGAGCAACGCGCAGAGAAACGAGGCCGTAAGATTATGCTTTCAACTTGATCAATGATTCTCTATGGTTCGGAAACATGGACTCTGAAGAAGAAAGAGAGGGACCTTCTGGCAACGGCACAGCGGAAAATGATGCGATGGATGCTCGGAGTAACATTGCTCGATAGAAGAAGAAACTCCTGGCTCTATGAAAAGTTGAAACTACGCGAAGTTCGGTCGGAAGCTGTGAAGAGAAAATGGCTTTTCGCCAAGATTATCGCTAGGGGAGAAGACACGTGGGCGAAGAAAATCGTGGAATGGCGTCCATGGGCAAAAACGCGTGAAGTTGGACGACCTAAACCTCGTTGGCGAGATGACCTACGAGCAGTTCTTGGTGAAAGATGGGCGACAGTTGCGCGAACCGACAAACATCTCTTCAAATATTACATGATTTAGCAGATACAAGGTTACTCTGAGGACTGAATAAATTTTAAATGTTAATGTTGATCAACTACACGTTTGGACTTCAAAGACGGTTGTTCAATATAATAAAATATTCTTAGGATCACCGACTGGTCGATTAAATCTCCGATTAAAACAAGAAAAAACAGAAGAAAAAATAAAATTAGAAGAATGAATCAAGAAAAAAAATGACGACGGAGTGGCTCTGCGATGGGCGGGGCTTGCGCCGGACAGTCTGGAAGCGTCCGGGGCAGAGAAATAGTGTAGGGAGAGAAGATGGCCCCGGGGCAGAGATAAAATGGTAAGTTGGCCCTTCTTGGGGAGCTAGGCTGCTGCCTCGCACGGCCGTAGAGTTGGCATTTCTTATTTTCCAATCGTTTCATGAACTTTTCGGCGTTTCTGACGAACCGACCTTTTTAATTGCGATGGAAATGTTACTCTGCAGAATTTTTGAACGGTGCAGGCTGTTTCAGGCGATCCACATGGTGTATTTTCTCCGTTTTTGGTTCAAAGGTTCAAAGGTTGTGAAAAGCGTGTTCTGTACAAAATACACCGTGCAGGTCAGGGATTCACATGATTTTGAGCTCGAGAAGAGTTCGAGAAATTTTGATTAAAAAAATGTTTTGCCTCAAAAAAATCTCGGAAACGACCAAAAGACGAAAACCGTAGGGAAACGGATTTCATTGAGATACAGGATATTAAAAAAAATGGACCGATGAATTCCCAAATAAATATCGTTTCTGAAAGAGAAGTTTTATTATCACTCCTTCTCATGCGAAAGTCTGAAAAAAGTCTTTCAGGTACTAGAAAAAGACGTGGCCAGTACGCCTGAACGTCTTATATTGCGCCATATTTCCTTAGAAAAAAAAAGATTTTTTCCATCTTGAACTTTCTCGAGATAATAAATATAAAATAATTGATTTTGTTGTTTTAGTCAGATGTAATCGACTGGCTATAAAGAATAACCGCCTTTGGTGATCTTGAAGTTTAACGAACAGAAGGAGACAAGATTGGATTTATTTCTTCTTCTCGAGACAAAATCGATCCTCCTGCACCTGCTGCAGACCGCCAAAAAACGTCCTTGCAGATGCCAAGTCTAAGTTTAGACAGTAAAGCTCGATACGATCCTCGTGTACCCTGCTGTATAGACGATTCACGGCTAGCTTGGGACGCAAAAAGGCGTGGCCTGTCTGCACTCTCCACCAACCAAGGCACTGTCTCGTCTCTTTTCGTGGCAGGACCCTTTTCTCGATGGCTCAAGCCAGCCGTGAATCAGCTATAGATCTCCTAAAAGCGCCTTCACAGACTTTTCAGGATGCCACGTGTAAGCTCGGACAGTAGAAATGAAGATGAAAGCAAAACTACTAACCATGTGTGCGGCAGGACTTTGAAAGGTCATATCTTGGCTTCGAAATTTTTTTGAAAAAAAAATTTGATAGTTTTTCGTGACCAGAGGGACAAGACCTATAGACCCTCCAAAAATGAACTCAATTGGAGACACTCAAGTTTTTGACTTTTGAGGGTCCATAGCTTTTTTCACAGAGCTCCTCGGCAGTTTTTGAGACCAGATTTGGGATCAGCGTGAAAAACTACATCTGGGAAAATTGGTCTCATTGAGAGGTCCCACTGCGACCGGAGACCATTCCCTGGTAAAAAAAAAAGATCCGAGAAAACTTGAAGAGACGCCAGAAAAATTCAAACAAACTTCGTTAAACTCATCGTGATAGTTGAGAGACAAAAATCTCACTTTAAATATTGTCATACTCAAGAAGATGAGGCACTTGTAAGTGTGAGTCGGTTTTGTTCTTTCAAGTCAACCTCAAAAGGCGATGACAGCACTTGAGATGGGCTAGGAATCGTCCGAAACGCGGACGCCTGACGCATGCCCTTTTGTGTATCATATACGGTAAACAAATTTCGGTTCTTTTATATCTCAATTGCCTTTCCTATTCTATTATTTTGTCTTTTTGTTCTAATCTTTTGAAGATAACCACAAAGCAAAACTAGTTGAGAAAATATTGATTTTTGACTATTTTCCAGAAGAGATCCATCGATTCCATCTACCTTTGAGTCAATTTGAGTTTTCTAGAAAAAATTAGGAGATATACATAATTTACTTTGCCTATCACAAGGGTAAAAAAAGAGTCTAGAGATCCTAAAAAAAGGTGTCAAAAGATCCCTAATTCAACTAAATTAGTAAAATCTCTGATTAGATGGAAATTTAGCAGAACTGCTATGAAGCAACTTTTGGAATCCATTAACTGAACCTTGGAGCATACTCGGCTTTTTTTTTTAACAAAATGAACCCTAAATAATAAATTCCAAGTCTGAGTCTACTTCCCAAAGTCGCATTTCAGTATGAAAAGAAAATTCGAAAAGGTTCCATAGGGGTCATCTTGCACGATAGTCGCAAACAAAAGAGCGACGGAACAAAAAAAAACGCCTTGGAAATGGTTCGAATGAGACATTTCGAACAATACAGCCTGGGAAAGCCGAAACGCTTTTTACGTGGATAAGCAAGTTAAATTTGAATGTTTGGATGGAATTTTTTTGATTTCTCACGTTCCGCTTGTTTTATTTCACGTATATCAGCCACAAACGATTTTTCTAGGCTTCAATTTCGAAAAGGAATGACAAAAACTTTCCTTTTATTATAAACTGATTGAAAAATCTATCACTTTCACGAAAATTACAAAAAAAAGTTTGATGTGGAGGAGCCTCGGAGTACAAATCTGCAAAGATTCATCAATTTCTCAAATGGCTTTCGAAAAATTCTCATTTCCAGTATAAACTGTTCTATTTGAGAGAGGTACAAAATTGAAAAAAACGTGTCCAAACATCTAATGGATCTCAACGAACAACTGAAGTTTCTTTAAAGAAATTTTCTTACATTTCGTAAATTAATTATATTTTCATATTTAATACCTTAAATCAGCATCTGTAGCGTTCAATTCCACTCGATTTTGATGTTCAGAAGTTTGACAAAACCTCGACGAAGGAACTTTTCATCCGTTCCTTGGCGAAATCGATGAGATTTTGGACGCCGTTGCTCTTCGCTTGTCGGATTCCCCCATTTTGCGACAACATATACCTCGATTCCCGCTAAAGTGTATGGTGTTCACAAATTGGAAAGTTTCCTGACTTACAAAAATCGCATTCTGGTTTTCCAAACTGGTTCGGCAATGTGCTAAGATCGATTCGAGTTGGGCTTTTCATTGTTAAACTTTATTCACTCTTGAAACGTTTCCGAAACTCTTCATCCACATCACTTTCTTTCCGACAATACTAGAAAAAATTGTGAAATTTGAAAAAAGTCGGCGTGATGAAAGAACCACAGACTGGCGGTGAACAAAAAGGAAGAAGACAAAAAAAAAGTCGCGAAAATGATTCTAATGGGATACTTCCAACCAACTGAGCCGCAAACAAAACGTTGAATTTTTTCGCTCCGTAAACAAAAAGGGCAAATTCGAATGTCAGAAGGTTAACCAAATTTTAGAAAATCGCTCCTAGTTTATATAAATCGGACAACTATGGAAATCGTAAAAAAATCGAGATATTTAATTTTTGAAAAAAATTATTGTTTCTAGATAATGAAGATCTTGAAAAAAATATTGGAAAAATTGGTTTCTGTGGGGTGAATTTGCCTTTTTTTCTGAAAAAAAATCTTGGCCATTGTAAAAAAATGATCAAAGGACTGAAATCTCATTGAATGAAGAAATTTTTTTTGAATTTAGTATTAAAAACGAACTCCAAAAAAATGAGCCGGTTTTAAAAAAATATCAATTGAGGCTGAAAAAAATGCCAACAAAAAAACGGAACAAAGTTCACTTTCAAAAAAGTTCATTTCATACAAATTTTCAAATAAATGCGACAAGTTAAAAAAAGAAATAATGGTGAGTTTCAGGCAAAGTCAAAAAAATTAAAGGTATCGTTAATTTTCGATGAGTAGAAGGGGTCAGAAGCCGCATCTGAAAAAGACCAAAAATTAGCTGAGAATAAAAAAATGCCACAAGCCCCGAAAAATCAGACAAAAAAATTTATTTTTTTCAAAAGCCTCTCTTTTTTTACAGCTTACTCATACTGAAAAAATTCAAATAACTGTAAAATTAGAAGAGAATTTTCGAGTTGAAAAAAAATAAGCAGATTTTCATCGTCAGGAGTTTTCAGTGATTTAACTTCATGTTTGAAAACTCAAAAAAGTTCCAGTTTTTCATATTTTCATACGAAAAAGCTGACGGAATTCAGGAAAACGTACTTCAAATGGAATAATTCATTTTCTTCATTTAACTTTGTTCAAAATGGATCAAATAACACCTTTTCCCTATGATTTAAGCTTCATCCAAACCTTCATTTCAACTCCATCTTGATTCCAACCTCCCGGTAGTGGTCCCAACCATCGCCACTTTCAAAGTGAGACTCTCCAAAGTGCGCTCCATCGTGAAGGCTCAGCTTGCAGATTTCAGCTTCAACATTGGCGAAAGTCGTGAGAAGATATTCACAGCTGACATATTCCAAAACCTTGAATAATTATAATTTTTGACGGGAAAAAGTATTTCCTCAACCTCAAGGCCGGCTTCCAGGAAAGCCAAAGCGTCGCCGACGCGGCTGAGTTTCTCCAGAATCTTCGCCAGGCCTTCCTATAACCGATTTTTTGATTTTTAATTGTTTTGTTGATTATTATTTTTCCTTAATTTTGAAATTTGAATGGAAAATCGAAATCGCAGTCTAAATAAGTGACTCGACAGAGCCTATACTTTTAAAATTGGAATTAGTCGGCTTTTCTTCAAGGTTTCTGCGAAATATAAGTTTCCCAAACTTTCAGTTTTTCAGCAATCAGTCTCACTATCTTTTTTTTTTTGAATCGTGTCAAGACCCGTTTTTCGATGAAATTGATTTTTTATGGATCTCTTCTGTATGTTCCCATGAAACTCACGACAAAAATGGAGCTCTGAACGGAGAACGAGTGCATGAACTCTTTCTTGCAAAAAATCACAAAGTTTTGCAGATCCTTTTGAACCGATCGAGCTTCCATCAAATTACTCCGCAAAACCAAAGATGCCTGGGTGAATAAATTTTCGCTCAATTCGTCCGCTGCATCTTCTTTCGCTTTATTGTAGACGATGCTCTGAAACAATACAAATTTTAAACTTTTGATGCGAATCTATCGAAAGTAAGCATTAAATCCGAACTTTGTGATTTCATTTTGAGTCGAAAATCGATTCGAGAGATTCCCAAGCACGGAAATTTATCAAATCAAGTGTTAACTTAAGGAGAATAGCTACCAAATCAGGCCACAGTGTCTATTTTCTTCTACCCTATCAAAACTTTATTCTCTATTTATACCCTGAAGAAAAGACCTTAACGATAAGTTTTTCGATCCACTCCTTGACGTGGTTAGCCGCCACCTCCAAGTCGATGATTCTGTCAATCTGCTCCTCATCGAATTGTTTCCAGCTTCTATTCTGAAAAACGAAACTTATATTTTTTTAGCAAAAGAGAGAGAAAATCAATTTCTTAAAAAAATGTTTTTGAATAACCTGCTCTGAAAAACTGATCCATTCTGGGATTGGGTCCAGTTGTGGAATGATTTAACACTTCACAGGCTATCTTCTTCTTCTTCTTCCGTTTTTTCTTGTTAGCTACCTCAAAATAGAGAAGTAAGTATTTATTTCGATACAAAACTTGCCTTTTTCTTACTGTTCTTCATCGGCTCAGATGATTCGACCGAACGAGTTTCTTCAGTTGATTTTTTCTTCGACTGAAAGGAAAATTCAAACTCGTTGCAATGAAATCGGCCTTTTTATTGCTACATTTGAAGTATTTTTTTAGCAATTTAATAACTGAAAAAAATTTCGGATTTACTGTACCCATTCCATGCGAACTTTTCTGTTTTCTGTAAAAATAAACGGGATTTAAAGTTTGGACAACTGCGCTTCAAGACCTTTTTTGCTGTACTCTTTTCTGAAGCAGAAAACCAAAAAAAGATTCTTTTATGGTAAATTTTTTTTTGCTGCTTTCAAAACGTAACTTCACGCGAGGTAAAAAAACTTTATTCCATAAAACTTGATTGATTTTATCAAAATCTTTATACCGTTGAAGAAAAAAATCAACTTGCCTTCTTCTTCTTTTTTTCTTCGGTGCAGTTGTGTTGACCAACACGAATTCTTCCGTTGAACTTTTTGTCGACTAAGAACTTTTTGATATCAATTTTTTTAAAATTGAAAAAAATTTTTACCATTTTCTTCCGAGAACAGTGAAGACTCTAACTGTGGAGCGACAAAAATCAACCTGAATCCAAATAATTTAAGTTTTTAAAAATGTTAGACGCAAAAAATTAAGTCTAATATGAGATTTTTTTAGGCAGAATAGACTAGAATCATGCATAAACCTTCGTCAAAATCAACTAAAAAAACCAGAGAAAAACTTCTGGAATTTTTTTAAAAATATTAGACGTTCATTTTTGAATTTTTTTCACCTCATTCAAAGTACAAATTCGAGAAAGTTTCAACACGAAAGGAAAATCGACAAAAATAAAAATTTCATAAAATAATTCATTCAATACAAAAAAATATAATCAGAGTGGGAAAGGCACGTACAAAATACAAGGGGAAAAATATAGTGTAGCGAAAATGGTTGACGTTTAGAGGACAACGACACTGTCAACATCCGAATCGTGGTCGACTTCTTCAACACGGCCCTCATGATAATGCTGCTGGAAGTCCTGCTGATAGGGCATCGGCGCTCCATCGCGAAGGCTCAAATTACAGACTTCCGTCTCCAACTTGGCGAAAGCCTTGAGCAACGGCTGCGGGTCAACGGAGGCATCGGTCTGAGAAAAAAAAGATTTTTCTCCGAATAATTGATGTTTCTACCTCAATGTCGCTCTCCATGTGAGCCATCGCGTCGCCGACACGGCTCAACTTTTCGGCCAGTTTGGCCAAACATTCCTAAACATTATTTTTGTGTTCAAGGATTTGCGAAATTCAAAAAGTTTTCGTGAAACTCACCACAAGCGTTTTACCCTGTTCCGTATTGCAAGCCATGCATTTCTTCTTGAACTCGACGATCGTATGGCGCAGAGTTTTCAACATTTTCTTCGCCTGCCTTAGCTCCCCGAGCAAAATTGTGCCGATCTTGAAGATTAAATTGATTTTTGTGAGAAGTTCGACGAAAACCTTGGTAATGGCTGCGCTATCCGCATTTCCCGTGTTGACGGCTCTTTTCTTGTTGAAAACGTTGCTCTGAAACAGGAAAAGTTCAAAGCAATTTTCGCGAAATTTATAACTATATCTAACTATCCAAACTTCAGTTATCTTTTCATTAAAGGGATCACTTTAAAATTTGAACGCGGCGTAAATTATGACATCGACGTATAAAAGAAACAGACCTAATTTGAAATAAAACATCTTCGGCAAAGTAGGATTGGTGCATAATGGCTGAGAAAAGGCTCAAAAAAGGCAGCGAAAAGAGTCCTTCTATTCTTTCTAGAACTTTGAAGGCTCAAGAAATGGTAGAGAGAGAGGAAAATGCAGCAAAAAATGGTACATAAGTTCCGATAAAATGACGCAAAAAGGCAGCAGAAAAGGAACATTTCTATAGAGCTTTTTTTCCGCCTTTTTTTAGATTTTTGCCTACGTCCTTAAAACATTTAAAATTCTGAAAATTGATAACTGTATTGATAATAATCACCCTGATGATGATTTGCTCAAGAGCATCCTTGATGTCGTTGGTGGCCACCTCCAGCTCCACGATTCCCGACGTCAACTCGCCGTTCACCGTCTTCGACTTGAGCGACCCGAAGAGCTTCTTGGTGAACTGCTCGTGGACGTTGCTCAGCTGATCCAGCTCGTCTTCGTACTTCCGGAGTTCCTCTTCGTATTTGGAAGTCGAGGCCATCAATTCTCGTTCGCCTTCTTCGACTTCGCGCTGGAGAGACTCCGCTTCTTTCAGTTCCAGCTCCTCCAGGCGATAATCCAGATCAAAAAGCTGCTTCTAAAAAACTTGAGCTAGGTACATAAATATACTTGAAAAACCTTCAAATCCTTCTCCTCGCTTTTCAAAGCATCGATCTCCGCCCGATGAGCCCTGTCGAGGGCGAAATCCTCCTCTTTGGTTTCCTTGATGTAGGCCTCATTCTGAGCCTTGATGACCGCGACATCGCTTTCGCGAGCCTTCCTTTCTTCGCCGCGTTCTTCCTCCGCGATTCGCTGTTTCAGCTTGAGTTCTTGCGAGAGCTTCTTGGAAAGCTTGTCGATTTGTTGGTCGACTTCGCGCTCGCGCTTCATTCGCGACTCTTGGAGGCTTTTCAGCGTGTGCAGCTTACGTTGAATTTCCGCTTCCATCTGTAATCAGATTCACTTTACAAAATATTTTCGGTAAATAAAAACGTTGAGAAGCAGAGCGAAAGAAAAAACGAAACCGAAAAATTCCATATTCTATTTTACTGATCAACCAACAACATTTATAAATATAGCCACTGAAATAAGCTATCCTGGACACCTTGTGTGGAAAATAGAGGCGCCGCTATTTATAGACCAGGGGCGTGGCTTGCCTCACCGTAATCTTGTGCGGTGGCGCGCACATACCTACTTTTTCTCAGTCATTTCCTTTATACTCGTTTTTTTTTTTCATTTTCTTTTTCATATTTATTTTAAGTATTCCCCTTTGATTTCAATATAACTCCTTCTATTTCTTAATTTTCGAAGATATGGTTCTTCTCAAGTATTTTCTTTAAAATCACTCTGCAAAAAATATGGAGCAGCATTTATTTATTGCTTCACAATTATTAGTTTTCTAATTGTTGGTGGAGAGAAAATTGACGAACAAATTCAAAAATTCAGCTATTTTAATCACTTTTTTTTGGATTCTTCAAATTATTATACACTGCGCGTAATAAGTATAGGAATCCAAATAAGTTGCGCAATTCCATACTTTAGAAATGAGTTAAGAATATTCTACCAGCGTAAGACTTTTTCAGTGTACGGAAAGAACTTACCGTGCGAAAAAAATCTCGGACGAACTCGAATCTATATGGCAACGCGACCCAATAAAACCGAAAAAAAGTCGCGTCAAAAAGTTTAGGGTATATGCGAAATTTCTCGAATTATAACGCAGTAAAGGATTGTCACGTAGTACTCGAAAAACTTTGAAGAGGCATAAATCTCGCAAGACCTAAAAAAACACTGAAAAACTGCACCAATTATCTTTATTCAAATTGACTGTGCTTCATTTTGCAGGTATTTGCAGGTACACTAAGAAGAACTGCCGAGCTCGCTGGCGGTACATTGACGAATTCGTAAACATGTCGCTATATCTTCGCGCGGGTCTCGCATTTTTTTAGAAGCGGCCTCGCATTTATCTTGGCGCAACATCGCGATTTGAAAATATTCAAATATTTACTAATTCGTTAAAAAAAGCGAGATAAATACGAGATCCGCGCGGAGACGATATTTAAATATTTGCGTGATTGTCGATGTACCGATCCCGAACTAGGTTTTATATCACGCCCGAAAAGCCAGTTATCTTTAGTGTATCTTGAACATAATATTTAATAGGGAATTTTCTTTAATTCAGATAGAATCGCTTGACAGCGTTAAGATTTTGCATGGAGATGAAGGTAAACGACGGGCATGACCAGAGGACCGAAGTTATTCGTTCAAATCCAGGAAAATGAAGCCATCGTAACACCAATCTCAAAATAGATCGTGTTAACTGCAAAATCATCATATCTGCTTTCCTTCTGAAAATGAATTTAGGCTTTTAAATCTTTACATGCGGTAGCTGCACTTCCCACAGCGGTCTATGCTTCGAGGAGATAATAAAAAGCAAATAAACTATAAAACTTTTTAATTCGACAAAAGAAGTAGTCGTCGACGATGTAGATTTCATCAAATAGTTGGAGTCCTCTTCCTGTGGACTTTGGACACATTCGCAAAGTGTTCAAAAAGAAACTAGAAAAAAAGGGCCTGAACTTGTCAAAAATAGGACATTTTTTTCACGGAAATTAAGAGCTCACTTTTTTATTACTCGAAAAAAATCTTTATGGGAAGGTAGAAGAACCCCGAAAAATGAAATTATTCGCAATGACGTACACTCATTTAAACTAAAAAAACGACTTTCGGCCTCAAGAAATTCGTCTACGATACTAAAGACAGAAGAACCATGTATTCGAAAAATTAAAAAAATTAAATTAGATAATAGAAGGAGTTATATTAAAATCAAAGGGGAATTCTTAAAAGAAATATGAAAAAAAGAAAAATGATGAGGAAATATAAAGAAAATGACTGAGGAAAAGTAGGCATGTGCGCGCCACTGCACAAAATTACGGTGAGGCAAGCCACGCCCCTGGTCTAGAAATAGCGGCGCCTGGAAAATAGAACCACTTTTCTTATAAAAAACATACGAAAGTTCTCAAGACAAAACATCTGAGGCCGCATACATGAACGTTCTGATGACAAGAATAGATAAAGTAAAAAAATTTCAAAACCGAAAAGCCTGAAACATTCTTACTCACAAGCAAATGTGGCCTGTAATTTTTTTCTTTCCAATAAAAGCTCAGTTTGAAGGAAGTCGTTCGAACAATAATACAAAGATCATTTGCCAGCTGGCAAACGGCCTCTGGGATGAAAAAAAAAACTGTTCGCAACACTCAAGCAAAAAGAGCGTCGAAAATAGACAAGAAAAAAGCGAACACCTGCTTGCTCATACTAAACGCGTAAACGCTTGCGGATGGAGGCAAACCAAACAAACAACTTTTTTTTTTGATTGGTCAGCGCAAAGTAAGGACGCGCAAAAATTTGTTTCCCTTGGTTTCTCAGAGGGACGAAAAAAAAAACTGAAATTCTTGGTTAAAACATAAGTACTTTAATCTCAAGCGCCTGTCTAAGCTAGCATCTCTAGGTTGTTCTGTTGTTTCGAATCTCCTCAAAATTGATGAAAGATTCGTCCCCAATTTTATTTTAATAGGAGACATCTGGTCTTTAAAAAAATTAGCGGAAAGTTCCCTAGTGATTCGAAAAAATCGGAAAAGTCGCCGTTCGAAATTTCGCTGGTCTTTTTTTCATACCACCGAAAAGAAACTAGACGGAACCGTCTTCAATGTTATTTCGAGTCATGCAAAACTTTAGTCCGTAATATATTACAATGTTAATATTGAGTCTAAAACTATAGCCCGTGGCTTGGGACAGAGAACGGGTGGTTTAATTTTCGCGGCAAAGGTAGATCATGGCGAATATCCATACGCCTTTCATAAAAGCCCTATTTTATAGCTTATTTGTTTTATTATTTTATCGATTTTAAGAAAATCTAAAAACCAATGATATGAATGTAAACAAAAAAAAATTCAATAGAAACAGAAAAAATTCACCAAATGAGTCTCTTATTAAAGGAGCATGTATGGCCACAATGATCTACCATCGCCGCGCAAGTTAAACCGCCCGTTCGCTGTCCCAAGTTAGCCGTAAACGGGCTATATGCCGTGTTCAAAGTAATTTCCGCGAAATGCAAAATGATCTCTGACTCTCCAAAATTTAGTGATCTTTTCCTTTCTCTAACGGGTATTTTGCATTTCGCGGAAATTACTTTGAACACGGCAATAATTAAAAAACAAAAACACAAAAAAAAGTGACAAGCTGCAAAAAATAAATCTTGGCGCCGGGTACTTTGCGCGCCAACGCAGATTGTAAACAGGAGGGTCGAACAGCGGAAATCGAATTTTCAGTTAATTCCAGAGTTTACCTCTTTTTTTCGACTGACGCTCACTTTTTCGCTTAACAAAGTGTCTTCAAATCGTATAAATGATGTAGTTAATTGACTATATGTCTGGATTTTCCGATTTTAAGAAGCCAGAGATCAATGGAGAACTACAGAACGTTTAGAGAAAAAAATTTTGCTTTTATATCTTCGAACGCTTTAGATTCGGAAGATTAGAAGCCAGAAGGTTCAGGAATGAACTCCTGGAGTTCGATCTAGAATATTTGATTTTGTAGACTAACTTTTTTTCAGTTTTTGAGAGAATAAATGTAAAGAAGTGTTCAGATTTTTTTTTTTCGAAACGTTTCTCTCTCAACTTTATTGCCTGAGTACAAAAATATAATGGTACACCTTTCGACTTTATTAAAAATCTTTAGATTCTCCACGGCAGACTTTGGTATTCCTTGTAGTTGGTCTGGTTGAATTGTCCGGTCCATTTGACAAGTTTGGCGTTCAATTCGGGACCGCCACCATTCTGAAATTTTTGTTGTGGCTTAGATTTTTCCGAGAATTAAATGTGTGATTTTTGACGTGAAAATTCCATTAAAAACATTTTTTTTTCCACCTCTCTCTGCAAAGTCGTCATCGTTTCGATGAAACTATTGTTGCATTTGGCGTCCGTTGTCCAGTACGTCTTGCGGAACTGAAATTTCCGATATTTTCAGAGTTTCCTGGAGATCGATTCTCACACTCGCCGCACCCTCCGCGGTCAAACTCTTGGTGTCGACAGCCTTCTGGTAAAGGAAGTTGATGTATTTTTTGAGGGCGAATCGAGAATCGATGAAAGCCGCGGCTCTCTCGTTCACATATGTCTTGTTGCCGAATCGGTCTCCGGCTTTAGCCTTGACGCCTGCCGCAAACTGAAAGTTTTTTTGAGGATATTATAATAAATCCTTCGCGAAGGCGGGACGCGTAGCGTGTGCGTACGCGGTTCTTGACACGAGTTCAATATAAGCGCCAGCGACTATTTGGAAAGCTCGGTCACCGCTCTTTTTCTATATGGTCTTCTGTTTTATAATGCACAAATGAAAAAAAAAAATCACTAAATAATTAAAAAAAAAAATGAATGAGAAGAGCGAAAAACGAGCTCTCCAAATAAACGCAGTAGGTTGAATTGGACTCGTGCCAAGAACCGCGAACGCGCACGCTACGCGACCCGCCTCCCTCGCCTTTCAAAAGGGTTTAATTGATTGTAAGTTTTGTAAGAAAAAGCTGTCAATATCTGGGAAAATTTTTAGTGGCCACTATAGAGGCTCGCCAATGACTGCTTGGAGAGAACACTAAAGAGGCCACTAAACCCACCTCTTTTGTGGCCACTATTATCCGTTTTAGTTGCCACTATAGAGGTTCTATTTTGTGGCCACTTCAGTAGTTTTTCATCCAGTATTCCTTCAGTAGGTCTGATAATTAAAAAAAAAAACTTATTGGACCAGTTATATCCATTGACCCCTAAAGTGGCCACTAAAATGTTTAGTGGTCTAGTAGTAGAACTTAGACCTCTATAGTGGCCACTGATTTTCAAACCCTCAAGTGGCCACTAATTTGACTACTATAGAGGCCACTAAAAATTTTCTCAGATCAACATTAAACGTACGAAGTTCTTGGCGGACCAGTTCTTGAGAACAGTCTTCTGAGTATCGGCCGTCGTTTTAGCGTTCACATTCTTTGTCAACTCAAAATTTCACATTTTATTCCAGAAAATTGTTCAAAAACATATTCTTACCGTGTTGACTGCAGCCGGCGATGCATAGATGTAGATATTCTTGAAGGCGTTCGTAACAATTGCTTGGGAATTGATATAATAAACGGAAAGCGTCAAAAAGACGAGAGAATGTACCGTGTACATGAAGGCGTCGAAAAAATGCCGGAAATCGTCCGCACTTTCGTTTTATATCCGCTTTTCGGCAACTAAACTGTGGCACACGCGGTTTTCCGACGGATTATAGGGCAGACTATTAAAAAAATTGAGAAAAATTTGATCGCAGTCTGGACTTAGCGATGAGAAGTTCCGTTTCTAGTTTGATTGTAACTTGAAGATGCCTTTGATTCAAAAAACAGTCCGAGTTTTTTGAAAAGGTATTAAAATGCTTTTGGCCCACTGCTTATAGGCCGAACTATCAAAAAAAAAAATCTGAACTCTGGGTGTTCTTGAAAAATTTTCGTTCTTTGTTCTATTTGGTTTTTTTTCAAAATAATAATTGCAAATTATTGCTTCATTTTTACATATATCTTGGCGGGCTAGTTTTCACGGTTAGTAGAAGAAAACCAAAAAAGAAGGGGGCGTGGTCAAAACCTGCGCCGTTCCCGTGACGACATGGGAAACAAGCGAAGGGGATATTAAAGGCGCATGTTCAATGGTCATGAGACGAATCGGTTCCTCATTAAAATAAACGCTTAAAAATTTTTCTGCTTCCGTGTTCAAATTGATTCAGAGAAACTCAAAACACCGACCAGGAAGTGAAAAATATAACTGAATTTCGGAAATTCAGAAATTCTAAAAAAAAAATTTGAACACGGAATGTGCGAGAGCGCCGCAGTGCATGCACACGAGACACTACACTTTACGAAAAAAATTTCGTTGTAAAAAAATGTTCTCTTCAATCAATTAAAAAAATCCATTTAGGATTTTTTTAACGAAATCAGCGTCGAGAATCCTTCTGCATATTTATTGGTTTCTCTTTTTCTAAAAATTATCCACTTTGTTTTTTCCGTGGGTATCTTTTTTCAAAAAACTATATAATATCAGAGTTTAGTTCGAAAAGTATCTCTTTTTTTTTTTACTTATATCTCATCCCAATGAGCCAGTCACGGCGTTCCCAAACGGGGTGGGGAGACGTCAAAAAAATTTTGGCGCGAAATTTGAATCTCAAGTACGCAGCCAAATTTATTCTTCATGCCGTTGAGTACTCAGTTTAATTTGCAACGATAGGTAGCTATGACGTCACAGTCTTTTTATCCGAAGCGCGCACTTACTTTTTTTTTTGTAAATTCAGAAACTTTGACGCTTCCCTCACCTTCCCTCACCCCATTAGGAATGCCGTGCCAGTCTAACAAGTATCATGCAAATCAATTTCTTTATTTTCAAATATTTTCACAAAATCCGTTTTAAAACAAAAAACAACCATGAGTTCTATTTCTCCATCAAAGGCTCCAGGCGAGATTCGCATAGTCCTTGGGATTCGCCCTCTTGAAAGCGAACGACCAGGCTTGGTAGTGTTCCAAAATGTCCGATTTGCCAGTCTGAACATCATAATCAATGGAAAAATCAATGAACTGAAACAATTCGAGCCGCATTTGAGGTGGCAGCCTGGACGGTAGCCGAGTAATCGTTGTGAGACTCGGCGTCGGCTTTCCAGAAAAAAGCGCGCATCTTAAAGTAAGCTTTATTTTTTGGTGATTTTTGTGTTCATTCGCCACGAAATCTTTGCTTCTTTGGTTATAGCTGATCGACGGCTGGCTTGAGCCATCGAAAAATGAGTCCTGACAGGAAAAAAGGAGACAGTGCCTGGTTGGTGGAGAGCGCAGACAGGCCACGCCCCCTCCCAAGTTAGCCGTGAATCGACTATATACTGAGAATTTTTAGTGGCCACTATAGGGTTTTGACTTTTTAGTGGTCACTATAGTAGTCAAATTAGTGGCCACTTGAGGGTTTAAAAGCTAGTGGCTACTATAGAGGTTTAAGTGCTACTACTAGACCTCAATAAATTTTAGTGGCCACTTTAGGGGTCAATGGATCAACATAACTGGCCCAATCTGTTTTTTTTAATTATCAGAGTTACTGGAAGGAATACTGGATGCAAAACTACTGAAGTGGCCACTGAAACGGAAAATAGTGGCCACTATAGAGGTGGGTTTAGTGGCCACTTTATTGTCCCTTCCAAGTAGTCCTTGGTAAGCCTCTATAGCGGCCACTAGAATTTTTTCTAGTAGTCTGTTCAAAATTGGAATTTCAAATACAATGACGACATTCCGAAACGCTCTGTGGATGGCTCGCTCTCTTATTGGTTTATCGCGTAATTATGGGCGGAGCTTGAGCGACGGCTTGACATTTAAAATCTGAACAGACTACAGGATTCTCTCTTATTTGCGTGCTACTTTTTGAAGCTTTTTGGGTATAAAAAAAAATCAAAATTATCTCTGACTCTCCAAAATTCAGTTATTTTTTTCTTTCTCTGACGGCTATTTCGAAATTCGCGGAATCACGTCGAACACGGCAATAGAAAAATTAATTTCATTTTCTTTCCTGCGATCTCGATTGTTGTACGTTTCAAACAAAGGCTAAATCGTTTTGAAATGATAATTAGTTTTGATTTTATAAATGGAAATTTGTCAATTAAAAGAAAAGAATTCTCGAATTTTCAAGGATTTGATCAAATTATGCATAGTTTCATGGAGCGATTCTGCTGTAAACTACATTTTTTCATGGTTTATCGAGAGGGTAATAAATTCTATTATAGCTGATTCACGGTTAGCTTGGGACGCTAAGGGGGCGTGGCCTGTCTGCGCTCTCCACGATCTAGGCGCTATCTCGTGCATTATCGTGCCAGGACCATTTTTTCGATGGCTCATGCCAGCCGTGAATCAGCTATATTTCAATGTCGGTTAGTAAAGAGAGACATCAGGATTTCAAAAAATGACAAATGAGGCAAATTAAGGAAAGGAAAATATTGAAACAAATAGAACTTGAAACACTATGAAAACATTGAAAAGAACCTTATTCGCTTCAGCGGTCGTCATATACTTGTCCTTGACCGCGTTGTTGTACATGTAGTTCATGAACTTCTTGAGCGAGAATCGATAATCGATAAAAGCGACCGCCTTTTGCTTCACGTAGGTCTGATTACCCAGTTTGTCTCCCTTGGCGACGGTGGCTCCGGCGGCCTTCTGAAGATTTAAATCTTCCTCGAGGGTCAAATATTCGGAACCCTACAAAGTTCTTGGGGATCCACTTGTTCAATACCGTCTTCTGCTCGGCCGCCGTCTTTTTCTTGTTGAGATTTGTCGTTAGCTGAATGAAAAGCATTATTTTTCTTTCTAGTTCAATCTATATGAAGCTAAAGAATATAGGAAAAGTTTCTGAAGGGGAAAAACCTACAGCTTTGACAGGTCCGGGGGCAGCATATTTGAAAATCTTCGCCAAAGCCTCTTGTTGAATGGCTTGAGAAGAAGTATAAGCAACAGCGATTGTTAGAAAAGTTATGAACCCTGTCGATCGCATCTGGAAATGAAATTTTTAGAGGGCACTTCAGGGTTTCGACGTTTAAGTAGCAGGTCGAATTAGTTATCACTCAAGTGGCTAAATTTCAGTGGCCTTTTTAGAAGTTTAAGTGGTATAACTAAGGTTTTATTTTAAGTGAACGCTTTAAGGTTCTGACGTCTAAGTGGTCACTCTAGTAAGCGAATTAGAGACCACTTAAGTGTCTAAAACTGAGTGGCCTCTTTAAAAGTCAAATTGGTACTGTTAGACCACTAAAACTACTATAGTGGCTTCTATAGAAGTTTTTCTAGTGGCCACTTTAGAGCTCACTCCAAGTAGTCCTTGTGGAAACTTTAGAGTGACCACTTAAGAGTTTCCCAGTTTTTTTAAGAATGAAAAAAGAAATAATGAAAATCTCCTATGTAAACTTTCTACAGCGGAGAAGGAAAAAAAGAGCTTCAACATTTAAAAATAGAATAATATCCAATTATCAGAAAAAAATTAGCAAATCTTAAAAACAGTTCCTTCTTTTTTCTTCAGCTAAAAACTACATAGAAAACATCATCTTCTCGATTTTTGTCGATTTCACAATTTTAGGGTTATCCTACTGATCATCTCAATGTTGCGAAAGTCGGGTTTTCATTCGATTTTCAAAAGACTCAATGAAAATAGAAGAAAAAGTATTATCTGAACGAATTTGAAGCCTTTTTGTACCAAAAATCGCCCGAATCTCTTCTCTAAGCCGTTTTAATTGCGCGAAATCACTACGTGCCAAAAACCAAAGGTGTTATTTATGGTTGGATTACCAGGGAAAAATGGTGAATGATCAGATTTTTTTTGGACAAATGGTATAGTTTGCTCAGTGATGAACAAAGGAAGGGAATTTTGAGATTTGTGTACAAATTTTCAGTTTTTTATAGGATGGGATGATTTATAGCTTGATCTCCATCATAATCGCTGCTATTTTTAAGTTTCGTCCTTTTTACTGTGGTCGCGTTTGAAATGGTTTTATTTTTATGCTAAGATTATCTGAGAACCATTCCAAATGCGACCAAGAGACGATGAAATTGACAAGAGCCTGTTAAAAAAAAGTGGTCGCATTTGGAATGGACTTATTTTTTAAGTATACCCCACGTTTTCCTATAAGAAGATTAAAGAGCCATTCCAAATGCGACCAAGAGATGATCAAATTCTCAAAAGCCTGTTGAAAAAAAGGTCGCACTTGGAATGGACTTATTTCTTCATTTCTTGTCTCAAATTTTTTTGCACGAAAATAAACAAGCCATTCCAAATGCGACCGGGAAATGAAACCCTACGGAAGGTATGGTCGCATTTGGAATGGATCTCTTTTTCTTAACCATTCCTTCTCATTTTCTCCTTCTTTAGATCGAAGAGCCATTCCAAATGCGACCGGGAACGAGAACCCTCTTAAAAAGAAGTGGTCGCATTTGGAATGGATCTTCTCCAAGTCTTTGCTTCCCACTTTCTTCACTTAGGCCATTCCAAGTGCGACTAAAAGTCCACCAGCTTGACTTTGAATAGACTTTTGTAACCGTGGTCGCATTTGGAATGGCTCAGTGCTTCTTTCTCTTATTGATTGCAGAAAAGGGAGAAGTTCTTTATTTCCTGACATCCTCACATCCATTCCGATTGTTTCAATTTCAAAAGCAAAAAAGCAAAACAAAAACCATTTATTTGAATCGTTTATCACAAGCTCCAGCCGAGGTTGGCGTAGTCCTTGGGGTTGGCCTTCTGGAAACTTCCGGACCAGGCGTGGAACTTGTCCAGGATGTCTTTCTTCCCGGTCTGAACCGTCAGTTTCAGTGTCTCCCTTCATTTTCATCAAAAACTATTCTGGCAGCTTCTTTGGTGGCAGCCTGGATAGTGTCCGGATAGGAATTGTGAGTGTCGGCGTCGACTTTCCAGAAGTATGTTCGCATCTGAAAGAAAAGACTCTGGTTTTTCTTGGAATGCTGGAGTTTCAGAAAATCTGTTCACAATTCTTTCAGCGATTGCTTGGACTCTTCTAGCTCTAAATTTTATTCAAAAAAAAAATCCATTTGCTTCCAGTTTGAAACTTTTGAAAAAGGCGCCCACTGGTGGCTGAAAATGGAGGCAACAAGGGCGGAGTCCAAAAACCGAACTTTCGGAAAAAAAAAGGCCTTAAATGCTTTTCTAGACCTTTTTCTGAGGAGGTGTAAAAGAGAAGGCGGAAAAAGGAAGATTCCAAGGCTTTTTTGACACTTTTTAGGAGGTTTTTCGGACTTTGCCTGTGAAGAAGGAAAAAGGCCTTAAAAAAAGGCTGAAAAAAATGACGAGGAAGGTTTTGAAAAAAAGGAGACGCTACTCGAAGAGACTTTTTATAAAAAAATTCAGTATTTAAATTTGGAGTTTTTTTCTAGATCAAAAAAACTCATTTATCGTTGAGAAATATTGAAAAAAAGTGAACTTTGTAACTTTTCGGTTTTCCAAAAAGCCAAGGATCCTATTGAGCCCGATCCGAAGTTTTGGTTCAAAAACACAAAAAAATGTTGAAAGTTCATTTTTTTTAAATAATTTGATCTAATCTCTTCAGACTTTCTTCGGAACAGAAAAATTGTTATTTCAAAAAAAAAAAAAAAATTCGCGGACAGAGAATGGCACGATGCGTTGTGTGAAGCGAATACATGGAGAAAGAAATTGCGGTATCAGAAAGATTGGAAAATTTAAATCACAGCGCGATAGGAGAGATTTTCATGTTTCCACGGCTTCTCTACGCGTCAAACATGATCTCCCGAATTCCGCTTTCCACAATTTTCATCAATTTCTTCTCATGGTAGTCATGATCTAGTCTCTTCACTCTTCGGAACAGAAACTCGTTAGTTCAAAAAAAAAATCGCGGACGGAGAATGGTTCAACGCGTCGCGGCTGTGTGAAGCGGATACATGAGGGGAAATTTTTGGAAAAATAAAATGAAAAATTTAAACTTGAATCGCAGCTTGAATCGTAGAACGCTCGGACATTGGTAGCGCGAAACGGACGTTTCTGGGCGATTCTAGGAATCACTTAAGAGTGCTGAGGCTACTAAAGTGGTCACTAGAAATGCTCCGACACATTCCGATTGGCGTCCCGTTCGCGTTACCGAGGTCCGAGCAGATTTTAGTGTCTCCTCGGATTCTCTACGGGTCAAATATGATTTCCCGAATTCCGCTTTCCACAAATTTCATCAATTTCTTCTCGATCGCTTAAATTTCTGTGAATAACACCGGGTCTACTCGTCAAGCTTGACTAACCTCCCTTATTTTTAGTTCTACTGCGATTTCTTCTGTATTATTTCCAATTCCTTTCTTTTTTTATTTTCTAAAGTGAATAAACCTATCATCAAAAAATTTTCTGCATGCCTCTGTGACGTTCAAAAGCGAATGAAGGCTAAAAAACCTTGTTAGCTTCAGCTTCAGTCATGTACTTCTCCTTGATCGAGTTGTTGTACATGTAGTTCATGAACTTCTTGAGCGAGAATCGATAATCGATAAAAGCGACCGCCTTTTGCTTCACGTAGGTCTGATTACCCAGTTTGTCTCCCTTGGCGACGGTGGCTCCGGCGGCCTTCTGAAGATTTAAATCTTCCTCGAGGGTCAAATATTCGGAACCCTACAAAGTTCTTGGGGATCCAGTTATTCAAGACCGTCTTCTGATCAGCGGCCGTCGTTTTCTTGTTGATATTTGTGGTCAACTGGAAAGGAGAAGGATGAGAAACTCTAATTTACAGCTCAAGTATAGCCTGTGTACCTTGGAATTTCACCAAACGACATTCCGCTGTGCCGCTGCGCGCCTTTGCGAACCTTGGTCACGCTTTTAATTTTTTTTTTTAAAGGTACTCTACTTTCATGTGCTCCCACAGAAACAACAATCAATTGAAAGCGTGACATTCGAAAGACGCTTCGCGAACGCACGCAGCGGAGCAGCGGAATGTCGTTCGGTGAAATTTCAAGTCGTGAAAACTTGGAAAATTGGTTATTTTTCAAACTTGAGATAGCTTCTGATCGAATAAATTGAAAAACGAACAGCTTTAAGTGGTCCAGCAGCGGCATACTTGAAAATCTTAGCCAAAGCCTCTTGTTGAATGGCTTGGGAAGAAGTATAAGCAACGGCGATTGTTAGAAAAGTTATGAACCCTGTCGAACGCATCTGGAACTTTTAAAAACTCGGGCAAAGTCTGAATAACGCATAAAAAAAGGAGGGGCTTAAAAAAGGCCGCAGAAAGTCATCAAGAAGAGTCCCTTTATAGAGCCTTTCATGTTTCTAGGATTTTAAAGCTTCAAGAAATGGTGGAAGAAGGAGAGAGGCAACAAAAATGGTGCATAAGAGCAGATGAAATGGCGCAAAAAAGCAGCAAAAAAGGCAAATTTCTATGGAGCCCGTTCCACCTTTTCCGACTTGTGAAGCAGAAAAAAAAAAATCGAAAAAGAAAATTTTTTCTCCACGCTTAGAGAATCTTCAAAATCGTGAGAAAAAAAAAGAAATAATAATATTAAAAAAACAACAGCTGTGAGGAAACTTTGATTTAAAAAAAAGGGAATAATCAATTTCATTATTTTTATAAAGTCCGCAATTCTCTAAATTTCCTAAAAATAGAGTTTTAAAACACATTTTTCCATTCCTAAACTTTTTTTTCACTTCTACAACTTTTTAGTTCTACGATTTTCAACCCCAATGTTGCGAAAATCACTTGATACGACAGAAATTCAAAAAAAAAAAAGAAAAAAAGTAGAACCTGAACGCATTTCGAGCCCTTTTTGTACCGAAAAACCGCTCGAATCTCGCCGCTGAGCCGTTTTAATTGCGTGAAATCACTACCTGAACAGTTGTTGATCGTGACTGGATTAGTGGGGGAAGGAACTTGAATGGAACAGTTTTTCCAATGAAAGTATAGTTTGCTAGAGCGACTTTTTTTGAAGACGTTGAGAAGCGTTGGAGGACTTTTTTTAAAAAGTGTGTATTTAAATTTGAAAAAAACTACTACACAAAGTTATTTTTTTACAAGAATAAAAATTTTATCAAATCCTTGAAAAGTTGATAATTCTTTTTCTTTTAATTGACAAATTTCCATTTATAAAATCAAAACTAATTATCATTTCAAAAACGATTTAGCCTTTGTTTGAAACGTAAAACAATCGAGATTGCAGAAATGAAAAATAATCTATTTTTCTATTGCCGTGTTCAAAGTGATTTCGCGAAATTCAAAAAGCCGTCAGAGAAAGAGAAAGATAACTAAATTTTGGAGAGTCAGAGACCATTTTGAATTTCGAGGAAATTACTTCGAACACGGCATCATGGACAGGCCAGAATTGTGCGTCGATGCGTGTTTAGAAAAAGTGAAGTTGTGCGTTGGTGCGTGTTTAGAAAAAAGAGGTTGTGCGTTGGTGCGTCTTTTGAAAATTCCAATCAAATCATTATAAGAAGATGAAAATGTGTCTGTATACATATTTAAGAGTGAACAATTCATGAGAATTGTTGTGCGTCAGGGCGTCTTTTCAAAGAGTGTTCAGATTTAAGGTTTGATTTTTAAGGTCTTTTTGCAAAAAAAAAAAAGAAAACTGCGGATTTTCTGGGGCGTGTTTAGACTTCAAGGAGTTTGTGCTTGTTAAATTTTTTTTCGAAATTTTTTTGGGTGTTTTGTAATTTTTTTTTATCCGTAGAAAATGCCTCATAGTCCTTGAAAACCTCCTATCTTTCTCACATAAATGGCTTCAAACTCTCAGAACCACCTAAACTATCGTCCCAGTACACTTCGTTATCATTACCAGGTCAAAGATTCCTTCATTTGTACCATCATGTTCCAGGAGCCTTGTTCAACAATGAACAAGGAAAACAAGTCATTATTGAGATAAAAGAGACAAGAAATTTCAAAACAAGGTCAGAAGACAAAGTTTGAAGTTCATGCTTCTGTTGAAATTGAAATTTCCTCACTTCTTAATGATGCAATTTTGATAAAAAAGGGGAAAATTCCAGTATAAAAAGCTTCTTTTGAAGTAAAATACGTGATTTTTCTGTCTGTTTTTTTGAATTGCATACTCTATTAATCAAAAATAAGTAGATAATTGTGAAGCTATGCCTATGGGAAAGTATAGAACAAAAAGATTCCAAAATAAAGCTACCATTTTCAATAAAAATCCAAAAAAAACAGCAATTTGTTCCGCACTTTTTTGCGGAACTTTGACCTGTTTTTTCCACTTTTCTGAGCTATGACAGCCAAATTCAAAATAGCCAAATTCTTATTTTTGATTAAAACATTTTTCCCTTCGAAAAATTCTCACCTCCGCGTTTTCTTGCGGAACTGTTCCGTGCATCTCTGCTCCCTACTATCCTATACTTCCGAATTGTGAAAATTTTAGCTTGATAGTTAAAAATTCAGTAAAGTCATTAAGTTTTGTCCAAACAGTACCTTTATTTCTGATTTGACAACGCCCTATTCCAATGAAACTGATTAAGAGCGGAAATCATTATTTGGAAGCAAATTTTCCTGCTGATAAAATTTTGATAAGATATATTAAGAGATCAAGCTCAAAAATTAAAAATGTGTTGTATGAACGTTTCAAACGCACTGCTTGTCTTTTTATTCGAATGAATATTTTCTTCTGAAAAAAATTTTTTTTTTCAATCCTTTCTTGACAGGTCCTTTTTTTTACGAAGCTCATATCAAAAAAAAGATGATTCATTTGAACAATAGTATTCCGTGGGATGGAGAGGAGTCATTATCCGCGCACTTTTTGTTTGTCCCTTAAGCGATGATTCATTGATTCCTTCCTCATACAAAAATAATAAACTTTCTGAAAATTTTTCTCGGCGCGGGTTACGGTCCACAATCGTTGTCCAATACGTCCCGGCGTGACAGCTAGCGTTGGGAAATAATGTGGGCCCGTTGGTAGTGCCAGCGAATAAACTGCTTCACCATGTTGGAACAGTACGGCGCCCAGCTTGTCCAGGGCCGACGGGCGTCGGAATATTATCCCATGAGAAAGCGGCAATGAGACCGACTAGTCGACGTGATGAAATGAGATAAAAACTCCGAGTGGACGGTTGAAATTGACAACACTAGAAAGTCCATAGAGTGGTCCTTATAGGGGCAACCTTAAATACTCTTGAAGGTTTCCCTCAAAGGACCACTTTACCTCCCCATATAGGGGCCACTAAAACTTGCAAAAGTGACCTCTATAGGGGACATGTTAGTCGATCATTGTCATGATCTCTATGAGAAGAAGCATATGCCGAAAACTCAATGAACTTTTTAAATGAAAAATACCAACAGAGACCCAATAGGGACCACTTTAACGCTTGGGAATCATACCCTAAACCCATATAGCTATAGTCAATGTTTCCGGACTTGAAAGGCGAGGGAGGCGGGACGCGTAGCGTGTGCGCTCGCGGTTCTTGGCACGAGTTCAATTCAATTGCCGCCGACTATTTAAAAAGCTCGGCAACCGCTTTTTTTCAATGTTTTCTACTATTTTTTGATGCACTCATGAACATAATCAATAAATAATTGAAAAAGGAATGAAAAGAGCGAAAAACGGGCTTTTCAAAGAGTCGATGGCGGTTGAATTGAACACGTGCCAAGGACCGCGAACGCACACGCTACGCGTCCCGCCCCCTGCCGCGCCTCTCTCGCCTTTCAAGTCGGGAAACAATGACTATACCTACTAATTTACCTCTACAGGTGGGCCTTTTTGTCCCCTATAGGGGCAACTCAGGCGTTCCTAAGATAGTATAGCTTCAGGGCTGGCTTGAACCATCGAAAAATGGGTACTGAAAAAAAGAGTGCCTGGTTGGTGGAGAGCGCAGACAGGCCACACCTCTGCGATTCAAGCTAGTCGTGATGCGGCTAAATAAGGGAACGAAAAACTTTTTTGGCATGAACTTTCCCATTTATGCATACAGTAAAGCGCTTGTTTTGATATATCGGATCAAAAAATAGACATATATAAAATAGTATATAGTCTGTGTGCCACGACTTGAAATTTCATGGAACGACATTCCGTTGTTCCGCTGCGTGCTTTCGCGAAGCGTCTTTCGAATCTGGGTCGCGCTTTCAATTGATTGTTATTGCAATGGGAGCACATAAAAGTAGAGTACCTAAAGAAAAGAAAAATAATTAAAAGCGCGACCAAAGTTCGCAAAGGCGCGCAGCGGAACAGCGGAATGTCGTTCCGTGAAATTTCAAGTCGTAGTACACAGGCTATAGAACTAGAGAAAAAAAGATAGGGTCTTGTTTATACAGATAACACAATCTAACAGAGCTGTTCCCGGGCTGATAACTAAAGCGACACATTTTTGCTTTATTGCCATTGGCTGGCACATCGGTCGTTTATTTAGCACCAGTGTTTTTTTACGCCTTCCCAAGTCTTCCGGGGTCTTATTGAATAAAGTTGAAATAAAAAATAACGACACGACCGCCGATTACCATACGCCGATTGACTTTTTCAAAAGTTGCTACCCGGTATCTATTTGTATCGACTTCTCGATTCACCTTTGTACGTATCCTTCCAACCAGGGTCTCTTAAGCACCTTTTCGCCCCAAGTTTCAATCTTTGTACCCTAGAAAAACTAAAGCATAGTCTGTAGTCAGTTGTGAAATCCTTGTGGCCTGATCACAAACTCGACCAACCTCCCAGGGTACTTCGAGTGATTTTTCTAGTCCCAAATAAAAATCCTAGTTTTTCTAGTTATTTTGCGCACAAACAGATTTCATTAATGATTTCAAATCGATAATTTGTGATGAAAGCGTTTTTCTACATCACATTACAAAACTTATCAGTGTTTTCTCCGATATAGGCCATTCCGCGCCAGCTTGTCACGTTTTTCATCCCGCCAAAAGGTCAGGTCAAATTTAATCAACTTTCGCTACAAGACCTTTGTTTCTTGCCGTTATAAAAGCAGAAATTTGATCTAATTTGGTATACGGTCTTTTTGGCGGAAAGAAAAACGTGACAAGCTGAATGGAATGGCCTATAAAAATGACGCAATTTCGGTGATAAGAACGAAAATTTTGTCAAAACGGCCGTTTTTGAGCTTTCGACGAGCTTGATATTAGTGGCGGCTCGCCTAATTTTTTTGAATGGCAAAAAAAAAAAAATCAAAAAGCATTATAACATCTCTCAACCACGCCCTGTGCCTTTAAAAAATTTAAAATTTGACTTGAATACATTTTTAAATATAATCCCATTGCACAATTCCTTTCAAAACTATTCAAAGGCTACATTTTATTGAAACGGCTGTCCCAACAAAGAAGGCCATTTTACTTTTTTGTCAGGAAATTCTGAAATTTAGCCGAAAAACTTCTTGATCTACTAGAAGAAGGTCCTGAAAGTCTCAACCTGTACAACTTCCTAGTTTTCGAAAAACGACGCCTTAAAGTCAGAAGGAAAACTCTGAAAACCCGTTGAAATCGGCTATTTTTGGACTTTTGCACTCAAAAACTAGCTTGGGACTTTCAGTCATTTTTTTCCCCAAAAATGTTGTAAAATGACCTTCCTCCTAAGCTGAAAACATTGTGAGAAAAAAAGGCGCGGACCATTTTTGTTTAATTTTTTAGAAACATCCTTCTCATCATAAATAATTTTCAGGGTTCGAATAAAAAACAAAAAAATGATCAACTGGAGGATGGTCGTCTTATTATTCGTCCTCGTCGCACCGATCGCCGTCCAAACTTTCTCATTAATCAAAAAAAGCGAAGTTTGCCTGACGGAAGACAACGTGCCACTAAACTGTGAGTCCGAGTCCATTCCGCGCTAGCTTGGGACGCTAAGGAGGCGTGTCCTGTCTGCGCTCTCCCGTGCCTTATCGTGTCAGGACCCGTTTTTTCTATGGCTCAAGCCAGCCGTGAATCAGCTATAGCCATTTCCGCGCTAGCTTGTCACAATTTTTATCTCCCACCGAGGTTCAGAACTCTTCCCTTCGATGCGCGCGGTCCACCTTTGCGCATGCGCCTTTAATTTATCCTAACATTTCAGCTTATTTAAAGGCGCATTCATTGAGAAAAGCCACGCGCATCGAAGCGAAGGGTTCTGTAGCTCGGAGAAAAACGGAAATCGTGACAAGCTGACCCAAAATCAGCTGTTATTTAGTTCGGAAAAAGAAAAAAATTGATAACGTTAATAACTTTCCAGGCCCGGAAAACTTCTTCTACTACTTCGAGTGTTGTCAAAATGAGTGCTGCGTTCGAACACAGGTCAGAAATTTAACCTTTTCAGGAAAATAAAGATTCAAGTTTCAACTAAAGGACAAAAAATACAATTGAAAAAACGTTGGAAGGTACTTTTTCATGAATATAACTGAAAAGCTGAAAAATTGAAAAAAATAACATCTTTTTTGGCCAAAATCAACTTTAAAATAAAATTTGCTTTTCGGAAACAATCAACGCTTTTTCTTGTAAGGATGGCAAAAAGACTTTCAAAATTTTTTCTCCGAAATTCGCTACGGGAAGTCTCGGTGTTACGACAAGAGAGATTTTTTTCAATTTCCGCTTATTTTTTTAAGAACTTTTTTTCTTTAACGAATTGAACTGTAAAGACAGTAATCAGTTAAAATTTAGTACATATCAATATTAATTCATTAGAAAAATTTAATTAAAAAAATAAGAAAAAGAGATTTGAGAAAAAAACGCGCTCACGGGTGAATCGGGAGGTAGATACAAGTAGGTACCGGGTAGCAACTCAAGTCAATCGGCGAATGCTAATCGGTGGTCATTTGTATGCGACCGGGTACTATCTCAATGGTACCTGGATAGTACCTGATCGGTATCTCAATGCTACCGGGTATGTACCTGAAATTCGCGATTGCCACTGGCTGGCACATCGGTCGTTTATATAGCATCAGTGTTTTTTTACACCTTCCCAAGCCTTCCAGGGTCTTATTGGATGAAGCTGACACAAAAAATAACGATCCGGGAAGCAATTTCAGACTTTTCGGTTGAAATCGCGAATGTCGGGTAGCTACCCGGTAGCTACTTGCATCGACATCCGAGCCAGGTACCATAGAGATAGTACCCGGTCGCATACAAACGACCGCCGATTACCATACGCCGATTGACTTTTTCAAAAGTTGCTACCCGGTAGCTATTTGTATCGACTTCTCGATTCATCTTTGATCTTACTTCAACTTCTGTTTCAACTCGGACCCGTGGTAACGAAAATCGGACGCGCCCGGACGTTTCTAAACGATTCTATGGATCACTTAAGAAGGCTGAAGCTACCGAAGTGGTCACTAGAAATGCTCCGACACGTCCGATTTGCGCCTGGCTTTACCAAGACCGATTTCCCCTTCAAAACCAATCGAAAATTGAACTATTTGCAGACAATCCCGGCGATCGTCATCACTTTGATCGGAATCCTCATCTTCTTCGTTTGCATCCTCGCCACATGTGCATTCTGTTGTTGCGGTGACTAATCTTTTTCTATTTGTGAGAGAATTTCTAATTATTTTCTATAATATCTTTTCTCAACATCCTAACTTCAATCATCTACAATTTTCAGTTTTCAAATGCGACGGTTCCACCACGAAGCGCCTTTACAACAGCCTTTTTGTGAAAAACAAAAAGAGCAAAACTGGAAGGACCGACTCGGTTCAACCTCTAATTTTGACAGTTAAAGATTGATCCAAATTTGTTCATCCGTCGCCTCTTATCATTTCGAAAACGTTTTTACTTATTTTTGTTGGATCTCGTTGCCTCACTATGCCTTCTTCTATTCCAGGCCTTTGTATCTTTGTCTTTCATTTTCGGGAAATGGTCGACATGTAAAAACCCTCTTTGTAAATATTCTCATTCATTTTTTTCCGTATCCGAATGAATGAATATTACTTGAAACATTCTCAAAACAATCAAAACAAGGTCTTCTTCGAACAAAGGGCCAAGAAAGGAGGGAAAAACCGGAACCACGCATTTCCAACAGTTGTTCGTTGTAATTTGCGCCGCTCATTCTCATTTTCCGTTCTCGACTTTATCAGTTATGTCGAGATTCCATCAATTTCTCCAATTCTTTGTGGTTTTTCTACTCGCAGAAGCTCAGGATAATCCGGCAGACTTGGAATTCTCGCCGTTTGTTTTCAAACACGTTGAGATTCCATTCAAAAGCGTGAGTTTTCGCCAAAAATTTTGAGAAAATGGTTGATATTAGTCTATCCTTGTTTTTAAAACTACGAAACTGACAACAAGTAAATTAATAAAAATAAAAAAAGAAAAAAATCTCAATGTTCTGTTTTTTTGAAAGAAAAATTTTTGCGTTAAGAGGTTTATTAACCTTATTTCTGATTGATAATGAGTTTAAAAAAATCTAAAAATAAATTCAGAACAACTACGCGAAAGATTGGCTGGGGTCTGATGTGGCGCTTGTTCAACATCCCTTATTAGGTATATTTTTAACTTCCAGTTTTCATTTCAAACCAAAAATGGAAGAGAATGAGCAAGAAATCAATAATAAAAAAACAGCCAAAGGTTCTTGAAAAAACCAAAATTCCACATAAAATTAATGACTTTTTTCCAAAAAAAACTCACACGAAGCTGCACTCAATCATAAATTCTAATTTTGCAGCACCCGGAAAACCGGTGAAGCCAGGTAATCCAGTGGCTCTGCCAACAATCGCGCCTCTTGTCGTCAAATGGAGCGATCTCGACAACCTGAAAGTGAACCAAGAAGTCGGATGGAACTTTGAAAAACGCGTCGATTCACATGTCTGGTGGCCCAATAAGAAATGATACTCATAAATAATGTTAATTTATGCAATAAATGTTTATAAAATTGAAAAAGTTTGCAAATTTTTCAGGCAAATCATAAGTGCGCCGACATTGCATACCTAATCCCGCCTACATTTCTATGCTGCACTAATAAAGCAATTTCTTTTTGGAATTTGTCTGAATTTCTGTGATTCCGCGAAATTTAAAAATAGCTAGAGAGTGATAAAAAAATAATTAAATTTTTAGAATTTCGCGCGAATTATTTTGACCAAGGCAGAAAAGAACTTATTATAAAGAATTTTCGAGTCATTCATAACTTATAAATAAATTTTCAAGGATTTTTTTACATTCTTGACATGTCATTTTGAAATTTTCGCGTTTTGCAGCCACTTTTTGCGGATCAGCTACAATACGTTTTGTGCAAAAATGATCGCAAGAGTAAAAATTAAAACCAAGGTCGCGAGGCTCTTAAAAAAACGTTATCAGTTATGTATTTGGCGCCTTCCTCTGTCTGAAACGGTCTTATGATGCTAACAAACAAAAAATGATTCAAATAACAGGTAAAATTGTGACATTTATGAAACAAAAACAGCAAAAAGACACTCGAAAACACGGAAATCTGATCAACAATCGGCAAAGGAGGCACATTGAAGGCAACATATCGGGTTGAAAAAGCACCAAATATGGATAAATGACAAGTAAAACTATTTCGAAAATTGAGCTTAAAGCTTATGAAAGCACCGCAAACGTTGTATTCAAACTTGAAATGCAATATCACCAGCGAATCAATAAATATTCTAATAAAAGACGCGTAAAAGTTGGAAAAATTAAAACTTGTTACAGGTTTCTGTAACAAAATGAGTCTCCTAGTCGCGTTTTTGAATGGCTTTCGCTTTTTTTAAATCATTCTAGATGCGAAAAAAATTATGAGAATTCGACAAAGTGAACTAAAAACTTTCCTGGACCACCCTGCGCCTTTAATAAAACTTTCAGAGGGTTTTTGTTTTGAAATTTCAAAAATAAGTAAATAAATGAGAAGTATATTGAATCCTTCGGAATGGCTCTCAGGATTTATACAAACCCATTCCAAACGCGATCAAAGACATATTTGCGCTGAAAACGGTCCAGAAAGCTTAAGATTCAATAATTAATTATTTCAGAGCGAATTTTCAGTGCTGCGCCTTTAATAAGAAACTCTGAACGCTTCTTTAGAGACTCACCATTTTCAAAAACCACACAAAAGAAACGAATTCTACATAATTTCAGCGCAGAATGTTACAAAAAGCCGTCGATTTCCAACGCTGCGCCTTTAAAAAAGGTCTCGAAACGCCCGCAACTCTTCAAACCCGATCATAACAAACACAGAAGGTGGCGAGGAAATAGTTCTTGTCAATGATACAATGTGGCCGATCTCCAAACTTATTAACATGACTCAAGGCGGCCAGATCGAAACGAGCCGTGTCTGTCGCGTATTCGTAGAACAGGGTCACCTGAAAAAGCGAGGTTCTCAACGAGTTGTTCAGCTACAAAACCTCATAAACGGCGTCTCCAGGCGTGGTCCGAAGTTTCAGCTGAAAATGGGCGAAGGCTGGTTTCGTGGCGCCGGATAAATCCGGGACGAATCCGTCGGCGTCTTTGACGTTCTTGTAGGCCAGAAGTCCTTGGTTCGGGATTAGTCTGGAGATTTAGGGTTGAGAGAAACGAAATTCGAAAGAATTAAATGAAATTGTCAATTTTTGAGAGACTAAACGGCTGCAGGTTTTCTAAACTTTGATAAGGTTTTTAAATGCCAAAAAATGATGTCATTGTCAAAAAAAAATGACGTCAAACACGCTCGCTCTCTGATTGGTTTATCGAGCCATTAGGGGCGGAGCTTGAGAAAAGACTGGACATTCAAAATTTGAACAGACTCTATTTATCATTTTTTACAAAAAAAGGCCGGCTGTGCTGTTGCAACGCGGTCGCGAAGCGGTCAAAAATTTTCCACTTTTCGAACATTTTTGTCTCGAAATTTTCACAGATTGTGTAAATCGGGGATTCAGAGATCGAAAATATGTTATTTAGATAAAATGTGCGATGAAAAGTTTGAAATGAGAGAAAAAAAGTTCCAACGCACAGCTCTGATTTTTCCTCTTTCAGTTTCGTTCTTTTCTGTCTATAAGTTTGTAAAATAGAATCTCAGATAATTCGCCGAGCTGAACAGATTATGAATATTCATGGTTATCTTTATGATAGCGGCGAAACGTATCTGACATGTGAAGTTGTATTTAAAACGGGAAAAATATTTTAAATGCCGATTTTATGACTTTTTTTCTAGAGCAAAAAAATGGTTGAAATTTCTATTTGAACTTGAAATATTAAAGCTTTTCGTGGAAAATGTCAATTGATATGCTTTAAAAAGCGAAAAAAATTCACCGAAATCTCAATATAAAGCTCAAATCGGATAATTTTCGAGGTTCAAAAAAAAAAAGGTAAAATGAGAACGAACGTCCTTTTTATCTTATATTTAAAGTTTTCCTTCACAACTTCTGCTGAAGTTCGCCGGGATGAATAAATCCTGGTTTTTATAGGAATGTTTAAAATGGCCAAAGGTTTTTAAAATTGAGAAAAAGCAAATTCCAGAATGGTCCCTAGAGGGGTTAGGGGGGAAACAACCACTATAGGGGTAAAATTAAGGTGGTCCCTATAAGGGTTTAGGATCTGACCTCTTAGCCCTGAAGCTCAAGTAGACCCTAGAGGGGTCTTTGAATTTCATTCAAAAACGCTTTTTCATAACAATCACTGACTCTGGGAAAATTTTGAATGGCCACTACAGGGTTTTTACGCTTTAGTGGCCTCTATAGTAGTCCAATTAGTGGCCACTTTAGGGGCCAATGGATCAACATAACTGGTCCAATCTGTTTGTTTCAAAGTTATCAGAGTACTGGAAGGAATACTGGATGAAAAACTACTGAAGTGGCCACTAAAACGGAAAATAGTGGCCACTATAGAGGTGGGATTAGTGGCCACTTTAGTTTCCTCTCCAAGTAGTTCTTGGCGAGCCTCTATAGTGGCCACTAAAAATTTTCCCCGTAATTTATCCCCTATAGGGACCTCTTTCGCAAGCTTAATTGGCCCCTAGAGGGAAATCTCCAAGTGCCCTTAGGTTGCCCCTATAGGGACCACTCTGGAATTCCTAAGAAGAACTAATTCTATCAAAAACTATGGACTTTTCCGTGATTTCCAGTAGTAAAAAGATATGAGAAGAGCTTCAAATACAGTCCCTCATTCACTTTTTCAAACTCTAAAGCCCTCAAGAACTTTAAAACCGCACTTTTTCGAATCAAGCATCGAATCAAGCTTGAGAGGCGAGCAGAGTTCCTTTTCGGGCCCGATCTCATCGTTGATGGCTCGGACCACTGCTTGGGCCAGCCGAAGCGACAAATTCCGGTCTTCTGGAGTCGTCAGAGCGTCGGCCCAAGCCAGGCAAGTACACCAATGGGGCTCAATTCCGGCCTGAGAAAATGAAATTATGAGGAGCGTCAAATCAAATATAGAGGTGGTTTAGTGGCCACTTTAGTGTCCTCTCCTCCCCGAAAAGTCTTTGAGGGGTCTCTTAAGTGTACACCAAAGTTTTTTTCAGTAAATAATGTCAAGTATACTCTAGGGATCCTTTAATTTATGCGAAATTAATTTGAACACGCATTTTAAAGCCTTGAGTAACTCTGTGTCGCTGGATTCTGTCTCCATTATTAGAACCCCTCAAGATGTCACTTAGAAATTACCTGAGCACAAGTTCTCTCATCGGGCATTGGCCTGAACAACGAAAGCGATCGATCTGCTGCTGATTGGACCTGAAAAAAAATCAAATTTTCTTCACAAGTCTCCCCCAAAAACTCACTTTTTTCAGCAAATCATCTTCTGGAGGGTTCAGAATATCCATCAAAGTCGCATGGATATCGAACGGACTGGTCAACCTGACCAAAAAATCAACTATCAGCGAAAAATTTGACAAAAACCAACTTCTCCTTGTTCTCAACCAAATTCTTGTACATTTGGGCACCTTTCGGCGTCGATCGGTACGATTTCGGCAAGGCGAACGAGAAAAATGGAAGGCGCTGGAAATAAAATAGTTATGAAAAATGTGAGAAGAAAAATTACGAGGTCCATAAAGTGGGAATGGTGGATAATGGCAGTTAAAAGGGAGAGGCTCAAAAAAGGTTGCAAAAAGGCCCCAGAAAGGCAGCAAAGAGAGTCCCTTTATCGAGACTTTTATTTTTCTGGGGATTTAAAGGCTCGAGAAATGGTGAAGAAAGGGAGAGGCAGCAAAAATGGTGCATAAAGGCTGAGAAAATGGTGCAAAAAGGCAGCAAAAATGGTGCATAAGGGCCGACAAAAAGGCAGCAAAAAATGAGCCTTTTTCCACCATTTCCTACTTTGCCTGTGTAATAGCCGATACATTATATGATAAATTATAAATTTCGGATCTATTCTGAAAAATTTTATAATAATCAACGAAAATTTGCATGACGAGGTTACAAATCACGCATAGGGAAAGTCGGAAAATATGGAAAAAGGCTCCATAGAAATGTTCCTTTTAAGGCTCCCTTTTTGCTGCCTTTTTGCACCCTTTCATCGGCATTTATGCACTATTTTTGCTGCCTCTCCCTTTTTTTCACCATTTCTTGAGTCTTTAGAACCCCAGAAAAAATGGAAGGCTCGATAAAGGAACTCTTTTTGCTGCCTTTCTGCGGTCTTTCTGGGACCTTTCTGCGGCTTTTTTGCTGCCTATCTGCAGCCTTTTTTGACCCTTTTAGCGGCCCTTATCCACCATTCCTTGCCCGGGATACTTATTTGTATATACCGTCATAAAAGAAACGAAAAAACGCTTTTTTGATCAAAACTCCTTTGTATGTAGTTTAATCTTCCTGGAACCTTCTGGAGTTGTGATTACTGATATTTGCAACTCTCTGCTGGGGTTTCAGTTTGCAGAAAAAAAGGCAGCTCTAGAAAGTTTAACACAAGGAAGTTGTGAGCGAAAAGTGATTTTCTGTATTTTCGGACGGGTACAGTAACTTCTGCAACGGGGCGGCATAGCTCAGCTGGTGAAGACTTATTTCTAACGTCCGCGAGGTCGTAGGTTCGAGTCCCCCCGAGGTCGACCAAGCCTTTCATCCCTCCGGGGTAGATTAAATTGGGAGCTGCATGCAGAGAAAAGGCTTAATCTCTGCCATCGGTCTTTGGAAAGTCCATCTTTTCTTCTAGTCACCTCTTCCAGCTGTCCTTGATGAGTATCCCGAAGTTTGGCGAAACGATGTCCATGATCGGCCATCACAACCACCAGAGAGTTGTCGAACTCACCTAACCATTCAAGAGTATTTTTTTTTCCGATTTTCCCTCCAAACCTTCCTCGAACATTCTTGTCAGATGAGCCAAGACGTCGTCGTCTTCAACGCCGACCAAATTGACATCGTCGTGGGACAAAAGGCTCTGAAAATCGTGGATTATTTCAGTTAATTGAAACTTAGGAACTCCACATAGGTTCCTAGGGGAACAAATAGCCTCGGGGCCGAAAAAGTGGTCCCTATAGGGATTTAGGGTGAACCTTAGCCCCTAAAGCTAAATTGCACTAACTAAACCCTACAGGGACCACTTTTGCAAGCTTTAGTGGCCCCTATAGGGCTTGCTGTGGTGGTCCATAGAGGGGACACTGCGAGGGTCCCTAAAAATGCCCCTATAGGGACCATTCTAGAGTTCCTGAGGCAAATCGTCCATTTTTTTCACAAATTAATTGAAATTTAAAAAAAGAAATTCTTCGAAAATTTTTTTCTTTTTTTAGTGGAGTCGAAAAATCTCGATTTTTTTGTCTTGAAAATACGAGTCCAACCAAAAAAATAAATTCAAAAAAATTGAAAAAAATTCCAGCAAAAAACAAAAAAATAAAAATTTTGAATGCAATTTTTTTCTTAAGATTCAGCTCAAAAATGATAATTTAAAAAAACTTTAAATTTCAAAAAAATTTCTAAAAAATTGTACGATAAAATGTATGATTTTTCAACACAAAATCCAGAAAAACCTGTATTTTTTTCCTTTTTTTCTTTTTTCTCGATTTTCTTGAAGAAATTTGGTTCTTATCACAATTATTGAAAAAAACTGCTTGAAGTCGTGATTTTTAATGAAAAAACCAACTTTTTGCGAAAAAAATAACACTTTCTCACATGTCTTTTTGATTTCAGAGTGATAGTTTTTTTGAAAAATTTTTTTAAAAATATCCCGGTTGAAACAGTGAATCGAACCTGGTGCATCAATAAGAATCTCGGGACGGTGCTGTAGGTTTTCATGAACCTTCGGCCGGCGTCAAACCACATCTTCAAATATTCCATAATTAGGGATATTATTTTTTTGAAAAATATCGACTTTATGAAGAGGAATGGAGCCGATGCAATTGCGGTCGTTGAGTTTCTCGATTTGTTCGAAAAGAGTTCTGGTGTAGTGGTCGGCCGGCTGCTTCCGGAATCCCTTGAGTCGGTAGGTGAAGGTTCCTGGAAATACTTGTTGCTTTTCTAGGGGACTTTGAGAAACTCAGAACCGATAAAAATCCTCACGCGCGTTCAAAAAACTTTAAAAATTCTTACAGTTCATTAAGGAAAAACTTAATGTTCTTAAAAGATTAGCACAGTATGTAGAAATCAAAAAAATGAATGAAAATTTGAAAAAACCAATCCTAAACACTCAAGTTCTTTAAGAAAATACTGAAAAAGAAAACAAGCATTTTTTTTCTCAAAAAAATATCTTTTAAACTGCAATTTTTTTCATCAAAACTGGAAAAAAAGTCAGAGCATAAAAAAATTATTTCAACAAAAAAACCTTGGAAAGTATGAAAAAAATCTTTTACTAAGTATTTTTTTATATTGATTTTTTTCGGATTTTTCTTGAGGATTTTCTGAGGGACTTTGAAAAAAACTCAGAAAAAAAGACTTCGATTAGAACCGATTAAAAAAATCTCAAAGCGCATTCAAGAAACATTAAAAAAATGCTTAGATCAATGAGGAAAAAAATTAATGAACTTACCATATTTTTTTAAAAAGATTAAAAAAAGCATGTAGAAATCAAAAAAATGAATGAAAAATTTGAGAAAAAAACGGATCCTAAACAATCAAGTTCCTAAAAGAAAAATAATAAAAAGAAGTTATTTTTTTCTGAAAAAAAGATATTACCAAACTAGCAATTTTTTTCATTAAACTGGAAAAAAATTCAGAGCATAATAACTTTTTTTCATGATGTTGCAGAAATAAAATGAAATACAATACAATCAAAAAAACCTTAGAAACAATGAAAAAAATCTTTCGCTAACTATTTTTTTATATGGACTTTTTCGATTCGAGAAAAAAAGCTGAAAAAAATCTTTGATAGTTTTTTTAATATTTAAAAAAAGAAAAAAACATAAAAAAACATTTTAATTCAGCAATTTTTGGCCTTGAAAAACAAGTGTATTAAAAATATAACCTTGACAGGAAGTAATAGAGATTTCAAAAAAATTTGAGATTTTTTTCTGACTTTTTCCAATGGGAAAAAAATTATCTAAAAAAATTTTTTTAAGGACCTGAAACATAACTAGAGCAATTTTAACCACTAATTTTCAAGAAAAATAGCTTTTCTTTCTTCCAAAAACCAACCAATGGCGAAGGCGTCCTCTCCATACATGGTCATATAGCCGGCGTCCGAGAAATTCTTCCAAATGAAAGGATAGACGTCATCGACGTAGTTCGCGTTGGGGTATCTTTTCCTGGATGAAAAGAGCTTTATTTTGTGGGAAAGGAGCTGAAAACCTAGTCAAAGGGAGTTCGACTTCAGTTTTGGCTGTTAGAATTGGGATGAAAGCCTGCGGAGTTCCGTCCCCAACAATGTTGTAACCTGGAAAAATCGAAACTTTATCCAATTTATTCATTTATTTTCAAGTTTTACAAGGTATTTTTGAGCAATAGAACTTCAAAAAAATTTCAAAGTTGAAAAAATAAAAAACCGAGTCCAAACGCCATTTCTTTATCGACCATGAATATCATGTGGTTCGCAATTTTCTATTACATTTGAGAAATAAAAATAATTTTCAGTTGGAAACTATATTTCTGGCTTTTTTTCCGTGAACTTATACCCAGCCTACGCGTTGGCCCCGACCCAAAAACTGTAATCTTGAATTTTTTTTAAATCATGACATTTTTTTCAGTTCGTTTCGGTAGCTATGAAGCCATTATTCGGATTTTTGTTCTGATTACGTTCGTTGTGAATGCCTTCACAGCATGCATTATGGTGGTTTGTATGTTGATTTTTTTGGAAAATTTAAAAAAAAGGAAATTTAACAAAAAAACAATGTAATTCTGAATATTTAACGACAATTCTTCGATGTTTTCACGTGTAAAAGTGTCTATATCCTAAAAAAAGTTTCATTAATCAAAAAAATTATGTTAAAAAAAGATTATTTTAGTAGTAAACGATACAAGGATTAAAAAGAAAAAAATCAAAAAGAAGGAATTGTAAAAAAACAAGGTATTTTTTTTGAATTTTAAAACCATTCTTTTTTTCAAATTTCCGCGTGTAAACGTTTCGAGAAAAATTTATATCCAAAAAAATCGTTTTTTTAAAATTCTTTTGAATCAAAAAAATTAAGTTTGAAGAGATTATTTTTGATAAGTGAAAAAAAATAAAGAAGTCGCAAAAAAACAGTGAATTTTTTTAAATTTTAAAACCATTCTCCCACAATTTTTTTGTGTATAAAAGTGCAGATAAGATTGAAAAAAATCGAATTTTTTTATGCTTTCATGACCAAGATAATATTCTAAAAGCTTATTTTACTAGTAAACGATAGAAGGATAAAAAAAGCAAACTTCAACAAAAAGAAATAGAGATTATTTTTGAATTTTGAAACCCCTCTCCTACGAAATTTCGGCTGTAATTTTGTCGATGAAGTTCATATTCAAAAAAATTTTTTTCTTCCAATCTTTTAATCAAAAAAATAAATTGATTAGGCTTATTTTTTTAGTACGCCGAAATGGTAGAATGGGACTATTGGGCGGTGGAGGATTGGAAAAGGCGAAGACAATTTTAAAGATAGCGATGCCCTCGCTGCCGACCGCGTTCAACAACAGGTTTCATACAGCTTTCAGAAGGAATTTTCAGAAAAATGCTTTTTGGAAACGTTTTTTACATGAACTATGGAGCCATTAAACTACAAAGTACTAAATTTTCATCGCAATAAAGTGAAAAATATCAAAAAGAAGGCTTTTTCGAGCCAGAAAGTCCAAAAATCTCGGTAAAGTTGTAAGCTTTTTCCTAATATTTTTTTCAACTAAAAAAACTAAAAACAAGTCAAAAAAACCTTCTTGATGTGAAAAAAATTGAAGTTTCAACCAAAAAGGTCATGATAAACAGTGCATTTATGGGGAAAAAAATACTATTTCTGGGAAAAATTTTTAAGTGGCCCCTATAGAGGCTCGCCAAAGACTACTTGGAGAGGACTCTAAAAGGGCCACTAAACCAACCTCTATGGTGGCTACTATTTTCGTTTAAGTGGCCACTTCAGTAGTTTTTCAGTATTCCTTCCAGCAACTCTGATAATTTTAAAACAAATAGATTATTTTTATTTTGATCCACTGACCCCTAAAGTGGCCACTAAAATTTTTAGTGGTCTGGTAGAGTAGCACTTAGACCTCCATAGTGGCCACTAATTTTCAACCCCTTAAGTGGTCACTAATTTGACTACTATAGTGGCCACTAAAACGTCAAACTCTATAGTGGCCACTACAAATTTTCACAGTTTCATTAAAATCAACTTTTGAATGTCTCAGAACGAGGAAAAAGCCAAAACTTCCAGGAAATGAGAAAAAGGATGTCTCGAGAGTCGATGAAAGAAGTATCGCTGGTCGATTCTCAATGGTCGAAGGAGGAGAAACCCTCGGCCGAGAATCTCCAAGCCAACACGGCCATTTCCGACACCCGACTCAACACAAGGTCGACGATAACCGCGCCGGCGCCGTCGACGCTTCTTCAGAATCGCGCTTCTCAACCGTCTTGCGGCGAGACTGCCACGGAGCCCCTCATCAGCAGAATGGTCAGTTTCAGCCTTTTCGAGAAGAACTCCATATCGTCACAGGAATTTTGCGAACCGAGTGTTCGAAAATCCATCGGAAAAGAAGAAATCAAAATGGATCTCGCAAAAAAAAAATAAGAGTTTTTTGTCACTCACAAGGACTGCCATTTACTTGGCGGTTGGGATTTTTCTGAGAATTGGCTATAAAACTCCATAATGTGCCAGAAAAAAGATTCTCGAAGCCTCAACCTGCACAAATTTCTACTTTCCGAGAAAGTACGCTGCAATTTCAAAGAAAACGCTCGAAATCTATTAAAATGAAGTGTTTTGGGGCTTTAGACCTTTATTTCTTGAGAACTAGGAAGTTGTGCAGGTTGAGAATTTCAGAGTATTCGTCTGGTACATCTAGAAGCGTTCTGGCCAATTTTCAGGAAGTTTCCAACCGTAAAGAAAAATTACTTTCCCTGTCAGGATCTTTTTTTGACATATTATATTCAAAACTTGCAATTGCGGTTTGAACCAACGTAAATGCACTTGAATGATAAATAAATATGATTGAACATTTTGCAGAACCAACAGAAAAAGGCAACTCGGTCGGTGTACAGCGAAAACGGGAAGGTAATTTTAAAAAGTTCAACCAAAGCATTTTCTTCAAATTTTCCAGGTTACGCGACAAAAAGAGCAAAAATTGAAGAGTATACAAAAGAAACCACGCGCCTCGAGTACCAGATCCAAAGCCTTCGATAAACAAAAAAACCGATTTCGAGGTGGTCTTTTTTTAAACATATTATAGACCGAATTTTTTTACATTTTTTTCAAAGTTTTTTTAACATTTTTTTCCGTTGAAAATTCTATCATTTTACCATTCGAAAAAAATCCAAAAAAAAAATTCAAGGTTTTTTTTCTCAAGAACAACATGAAAATGGATTTTTTAAAATTTTTTCGCGGTTCTGAATTTTTTTTTTCTTGCAATTTTTACCGTGTTCAAAGTATATTCCGCGAAATGCAAAATGATCTCTGTATCTCCAAAATTTCGTTATCTTTTTCTTTCTCTGACGGCTATTTTGAATTTTGCGGAATCATTTTGAACACGACACTACGTAGTATTTTGCGTTATCGCTTCAAATTTAAAGCGTTCTACAGAAAAAATTTCTTTATTTTCACTGAATTTCTCTGATACCTCTATTTTCGTATTAAATGAGCATATTGGATTCAGGTACAGTTATTAAAATTTTTTTAGGAAGAAAATTTTACTTTCATTAGCTATAAAAGGCATTTTAATGAGAATTTTGGAATATACTATAAATATCGCAAAAAAATCTTTTTGTTGGTCAAAAAGCAGAGAATCGCGTTCTTTTTCGACTTTTCAGTATTCATACCAAACCAGAAACAGGCAAGACACAAAAAAATCTCAAAATTTTTCCCTGAATTTTTTTTCGAAAAATCTTTTTTTTCATTTCTAATATGAATAATGATTTCAAAAAAAGATGATGAACATTTTTTTTCTTTGAAAAATAATCTAATTCAGTGATACTTTACAGTCATTTTTATGGCTATGAAATTTCCCAAAAACTTTGTCTTTTTTTAAAATTTTTTTGAAGTAAAAACGTTTTTTTCCGACTTTCATGTGCTTAAACTACATCAGAAAAAAAGGATCGACCCATAAAAATCTCAAAAATGATCAGAATACGATTTTTTTAAATTGACAGAGTCTTAGACTGAATTTACAAAAAAACTCGGGGAAACTTTTCTAAAAAAACGGAAGTTTAGCAGGGCGAAGAGTTCCCGGCGAACCCGAAACTGCCCCGCCCGCCGCCCACCTACCACGAGGAAGCCCTTCGGGAACAGGACAAACTATTGTCCGACGACGAAACAATTTCATAGAAAAAAACACAGAATATTATTTTTTTCCCGTCGAAATAAACTTCATATTTTGTTTTTTCAACATCGGGCAAAATCGGAATGATGGATAATGGCCGCTAAAAGGCTCGAAAAAGGCCGCAGAAAGGCTCAAAAAAAGGCTCAAAAAAGGCCGCAGAAAGGCTCAAAAAAAGCCGTAGAAATGCTCAAAAATAGCCGCATAAAGGCTCAAAAAAGCCGCAGAAAGGCTCAAAAAAAGCCGCAGAAAGGCTCAAAAAAGGCTGCAGAAAAGCAGAAAAAATGGAGCCATCTTTATGACCCTCAGAGGGTCCTTCCAACTTTGCCTGGGAAATTAAAACCTACCATTCAACACGACGCTGCCCAGAACTTCTTCCAGAAATTTGACCGTTTTTGGAAGTTTTCGCCGGAATGACATTTGGCTCAGGGAATCGAAACTGCAAATTTGATTTTTCGTCTGATTCTATGAAATTTGAATTTTATTCGGTGTTAGTTCCGCAAAATTCAAAATAGTCGTCAGAGAGGGAGAAAGATAACTAAAATTTGGAGAGTTAGAGATAATTTTGAACATCGCGGAAATTATTTTGAACAGTGGGCTCGAAAAGAAGAATCTGGAGCTCATTTTTGAGTTCTTAAAAAGGAAAAGGTGTCAAAAGTTTCTTAGAACCTCCTTTTTTACCTTTATTATTTTTTTCTCCCAATAAAGTCTTTTTTGAAAAAAGGTCATAAAAAAGAGCTTTTGGATGGACTTTTTCCGTGTTTATAACCAAAAATAGCTGGAAAGTACCAAAAGAGCTGAAGGAAATTTCGGCTTGTGAAAGTAATTTTTTGTATATTATAGTCGATGTTCCACGAGTTTAAATTTCATGGAACGACACTCCGCTCGGTGGCCTTGTGGCCGTGAAAAACAAATGCCTTTGCGGATCTCGGTCACGCTTTCCCATTTTATAATTTGCCGTTTTCAAATACAGTTTCTTCGATAATTCTTTCAGTTTTACGAACTTTTTGGCAGTGCAATGGATGAATAAAGTTTTTCGGAATGCCAATAATTCAACCAGGGGATAAACAAGCAGTGAAATAAAGCAGATTATGAAATTTACTGTGTTCTTTCGTTTAAATTTGTACGCAATCATTTTCAACGATATCAATACATTTTAAAGAAATTAAACAATCAAAAAACGATCGAAATTAGAATGAAAACCAAAAAAATTAGCGTGGCCGAGGTTGGCAAATTTGCAAGATGCGCGCTACCGCACAAATCGAAACAGCGGAGTGTCGTTCCATGAAATTTCAACTTGTGGCACATCGACTATATTTTTCCTTTTTATAGAATTTTTCGACGGTAGGTACATGAAAACCCGAGATTCCATTGAAAAAAAGGCGTTGGGGTCATATGAATATTAGAAATATAAAAAACCAATTCAAAAATGCGAAAAATTTTTTCTGCGCAACGCGGAGATCCGCCTTTCTCTGAAGCATTTTTTTGAAAAATCTTAAATTTTTTTCAATTCTAAATTTTTTTTAGGTGTCCAAAATGCGTAAAGCTTTCAATTCTGATTAGTTTTTAAGCTTTGAAAAAAACCAAATATTGGCGGCCGACAGAGATTTTTTTTAGTTTTTTTCAATAACTTTCATGTCAACGTTTCTATTTTGACCTGAAATCAAAAAAATTTTCAATGATTTAAAAAAATTTTTTTGTGGCGAAACTGAAAAAAATTCTGAAAAAAAGGCCAGAATTTTTCGAAAAAAATTACTTCGAAACTAGACATATAATGGAGTAAATTTATAGAGCCCAAAAAACTTGTTAAATTTTGGAAATTTGAAAAGTTATGCGTCCTAAAAAAAGTGACCGACTTTTCCAACAAGCCATAGGATATCCTCAATAATGCATATTTCCTCAAAAACTATTTACCCTGAAAATGAAACTGTAAATAACGATTTTCAGCTATTCCTATGATAACGATGTTAGGAAGGAGTTTTGGGTTCCCGAATATTCGTGAGCGTTAATTGTGCATACACCAATCTTGGAGGCTGGAAACTTTGAAAATTTGAATCTTTGCAAACGATTCTTGAGAATATTCACCTCTTTTCTGATTTTTTTATAGTTTTTTTACAATTTTTTGTGAATGGAAGTTGATGGAGAATATATACAGAGTGAATGAAAATGTGGTAGCCGTTCTGCAGCGAATATTTGACTCGGTGTATGCGAGAAAGACGCATTATTTGATAAAAAAAGCTAGTTGAAAAAAATAATACAGTGTTCATTTGTGGTCGAAACACGGCATCTTCACAATAAAACGACAAAGGAAAAAAAAATGTAGGAAAAAAAGAAGAAATTCAAAAAAGAGGGGAATATTCCCCAGAATCGTTTGCAAAGATTCAAATTTTCAAAGATTCGAGCCTCCAAGATTGGTGTATGCACAATTAACGCTCACGAATATTCGGGAACCCAAAATTCCTTCCTACCATCCTGATAACTTGTCGCGGAGGCTTTCAGGGTCATCTTTTCGGTAGAATATAGCTTTTTTTCAAGAAAAAATGGCGATTCTTCAATATTCCCTGAGATGAGACACTGTTCCTTCTGTTAATTTTCCATTTTTCAATCTGAAAAACACCCAACAAACCCCAAAAAGTAGACGTTGAGCCGCGGCTCAGGATTCGGGATCAATTTCGAATTTTCCCTCATTTCTTTTTGTTTCAAGGCTTTTAAATGGGCTTCCTTGTTCTCCGCAACTGTCCAAAGAAGAGATTTCCTGGAAAAATTCAAGGTTCAATATTGAAAAAGACTTAAAAACTCTTTTGAACTTTTTAAACTCATGGTTAATGTCGAGAATTTCCAAGTATCTTGTAGAAAAATTGATGAAAGTTTTACATTTAAAGCATTTGAACACGTCATAAACATGAAAAAAAGAAAGACTTTTTTTATTTTTTTCTCAATTTTTTTCTTCAGAAATATAAGGTAAACCAAATTTTTTTCTACGTACTTCAAAAAAACGTCTAGACCTGAAAGATTATAGAAAAAAATTTTTGATTCAGAAATTCATTTTACTGATTTAGAAGTCCATTATTCTGAATGAAACAGGAAAAACTGTTTAAATTCAACAATAATAAGAAATTTTTTTTAATTTTCAATGAGATGAATTCACAGTTTTTTTCAATTATTGAGTTTTTCCTTAATTTAAAAATTTGATGCGAACAAAAAAATTTATAACGAAAAAAATAAATTAAATATTTTAAAGTTATTGCAAAAAAAGTGGAAAAATCGTTCAGAATTACATTTTTTTGTTTCCTTATCTAAGTGGGAAAAAATCTTCAAAGGTTCTACAAAAATTTTTTTGAAGGTGAATTTTTCTTTGAAAAATACGTTTTTTTAAAAAAATATTCCCTTTATTTTGAAGCTACTAATATTTTTCTAATATTATTTAAAAATTTTAAAAAAACGCAGAAAAAAACTGAACTAAAAAAATTTTTTTATTTTTCATTTTTTTTAAAAACAAAAAAAGTTCATACCATTTCTGTGTGCCTTGAGCACAGGCTACGACGCCGAAATCGGAATTCGTCATGACGTCACCGTCGAAAATGTTCACCGGCTTATCGTATTCGTTGCGGTTGTCGTCGAACCGCCGGAAGTAGCGGATAAAACATTTCGCCGTTTTCCTGAACAAATATATGGCTTTTTTTGATTCGCCTGCAATCACAAGAACAGTCAAAATAGTTGAACTAAACCGATTTGAGCTCTTTTTGTTATTTTGAACAGAAACTAAATCCCCAAATACTTTGAAAAGCCATGAAAAGGCCACAATAACTACTTTTTTATTCAATCACTAATATATGAAACAATTAATATTAAACCCGTGCTTTTCGAGTCTCAGTTGGGCTATCCCGTGAAAACAACGGGTGCAAAAAGAAATAAGTTTCCGAAAGCTTAGATCAAACTGGATCAAAACGATGATTGGGAAAATTTTTAGTGGCTACTTTAGGGGTCAATGGATCAACATAACTGGTCCCATCTGTTTGTTTTAAAATTATCAGAATTATTGGAAGGAATACTGGATGAAAAACTACTGAAGTGGCCACTAAAACGGAAAATAGTGGCCACTATAGAGGTGGGTTTAGTGTCCTCTCCAAGTATTCCTGGGCGAGCCTCTCTAGTGGCCACTCAAAATAGTCCAGTAGTTTCAATATAGGGAGAGGATGCTGAAAAAGACCAATTAAAAAAAGTGGATTTTGGCGTGTTCATCCGACAAAACGAAAATTGTTCCGAAACGCAAAAAAACTGCTTCAAAACAAAAATTAGTACTGTTTTGGAGCAACTTTGGCGCGCCAATGAACACAATTTTTTGTTTTGAAGCATGTTCCGTTTCTCTGATGAACACGCCATTTGAAAAAATTCTCCTTGAGGGGACTGAGAAAATGATATCAGCTTCAAGCAATTTATAGACAATAGCTTTTTTTCCCTGATAAGATAAGCGCATAAGAAGTATGACTGATTCACGGCTAACTTGAGCCATCGAAAAAAGGGTCTTGACACGATAATGCACGAGATAGTGCCTAGATCGTGGAGAGCGCAGACAGGCCACGCCCCTTAGCGTTCCAAGCTAACCGTGAACCAGCTAGAATAGAATTTATTACCTTCTCGATAAACCATGAAAAAATGTAGTTTACAGCAGAATCGCTCAGTGAAACTATGCATAATTTGATCAAATCCTTGAAAAGTTGAGAATTCTTTTTTTTTAATTGACAAATTTCCATTTATAAAATCAAAAACTAATTATCATTTCAAAACGATTTAGCCTTTGTTTGAAACGTAAAACAATCGAGATTGCAGAAATGAAAAAGTAATCTATTTTTCCTATTGCCGTGTTCGACGTGATTCCGCGAATTTCGAAATAGCCGTCAAAGAAAGAAAAAGACAACTGAATTTTGGAGAGTCAGAGATGATTTTGATTTTTATTACTGAAAAAATACAAAAAAAATCAGTTTCAAAATTACCAAAATCCTTGCAAATTTGAAAACCTTTTCTCAATGAACCGAATCTTCCCCTCATCATCGATAAAAACCCAATTTGGATCGATTCCACTGTCCGAGAGTTGACATTTCAAAGGCTGATGCTTCTCGAAAAAGCCAATAACCTTTGAAAAAAATTATAATGAACTAAAAAAATAAATAAAAAAACCTCCGACCCATTGATATCCAAGTGAGGGATGTTGCACTTCTAAATAAACCAAATTTTTCACCAAAATAAAAAAATTTCTTACCGAGTCTTCCAGAGAATTGTTAGAGATACTGTCGTTATCAGTTTTCCCGTCCCCTTCGTTATCACTGTGCGTCACTATCAATTTTAGTGGTTTGGAGTTCTGAAAATAGGAGAGATAAACCACAAATGAGCATGTTTTAGTTAGAAAATGACGCAAGAAGGAATTTTTCGTTCTTAGTTGGATTGGGTTTTAAAAATTTGGGTTTCGGTTGGGTTTTTAACAGCAGAGTGGTCCCTTTAGTTGGGTTTTAAAAATCTATCAGCCTTGTAAAAAGAAAACTATTCGAAAAATTGAAATTTCGATGTTTTGAAATATTCTTCAACGTACAAAATGAAATAAAAATGATTACTCAAAATAAAATTAATGCCGTTCTCATAGTTTTTCGCGCGACTTTCGAAATAGCTGTTATAGAGAGAAAAAGACAACTAAATCTTGGTGATTCAGAGATAATTTTGAATTTCGCGGTAACTACTTCGAATACGGCATTAATATAAAACTTAAAAATAAAGCCTTTTCGTTTTAAGACCTTTAAGAATCTTTCCATGCTCCTTCAAAAAAACAAGGGTTTTTGAAAAGATCATTATAAATTCTAGTGGTTTGAAACGTGAAAAATAAGATAAATTATGTCAAAAAAATGACCATATTTCTGTTGGAAAACTTCGCAAAATGAGGAATTTTCCTGTTTTGTCTTGATTCGCAGTTTAAAGGCTCCTCAGCCTTGTAAAATTTAAAATAATACAAAGAACGGCTCTTCGTTTTAAGACCATCATGTAAATTTTCCATGCTCCTTCAAAAAGTGAGGGTTTTTGAAATCATCACTATTAGTTTCAGTGGTGTGACGCTCTGAAAACGAAAAAATAGAAGAGATAACGTCCGAAATGAGCATATTTCTGTTGGAAAATGACGCAAAATGAGGAATTTCACTGTTTTTCCTTGATTCGTTGTTCAAAGGCTCATCAGTCTCATAAAACTTAAAATAATACAAAGAATGGCTCTTCGTCTTGAGACCATTATGAAAATTTCCCATGCTCCTTCAAAAAATGGAGGTTTTTAAAAACGTCACTATCAATTTCAGTGGCGTGACGCTTTGAAAATGTGGACATGGGAGAGATAAAGTTAAAAATGAGCATCTTTTAGTTAGAAAATAAAAATCTTGTAAAACTTGACAAAAAACGCAAAACGGCTCTTCGTCTTGAGACCTACAAGAACTTTTTCCATGCTCCTTTAACAACTTTTTGATGGAATTTAGAAAAAATAACAACTTTTTTGTACAAAATACGGATGAAATTAGCTTTTCTTCATGAACTCTGCTACAGGTAAAACACGAAAACACCCCAAAGAAAAAAAAATATCCCAAAGAAAATTCTCAATTTTTTTCCGAATCCGCACCTCTGAGCCCTCAGCCTGAAGCCGTCCTTCTGTAGCCGTGGCAAAGTCCTCCTCGAGGCCGATTTTGAGGCCATTCCAAAGAAACGAGGCCGAGACGAACAAGGCGCAGACAATGACGAACTGCCTGAGGCGGTAAATCGTCGAAGCCATCGCCCCTTAAAGGAACCCTTCCGTTGGAACTCGGCCGTAGCGGCCAAAGTTCTGAAAAAGTTTTTTTCTGTTTTTCAAGGATTTTATAACAAAGAGATCGATGGAGGACGGTTTCGATGAAAAAAAGGAATGATCGGTCGAAATTTAGGTACAGTTTCAATTATTTCAAGTTTTCTTGTTAAACTAGAATTATTTTTTTCCTGTTGTTTTTTTATTTAAATCCTTGATTTTTTCTAAAAAACCAAATTTAAAGACTCAATTAATCAATCCACTCACAGATTCATTACAAAAATTGAGGATCCTGTGAGCAATATAAAAAAACTTAAATTCAAAAAAATTTCAATTAAAAAGCCAAAAAAACAATTTTTTTACATTTTACTTCGTTTTTGAAAAATTTGATTGAGAGGGAAAAATGAATCAGAGTCAAGAAAAAAAATGGTGAGAAAAAAATCTACGGAGCAATTTTTTTAGCTATACAAAGAAATTGGCTCGTGAATACTTCAGCAAAAAAATAATAGCGTTTAAAAAAATTTTCTAAAAAGAAAAAGCGAAATCGCAAGAAAAAAACGTGGCAACGCGAAGAAATAAATCGTGCCATTAGTGAAAAATCCTAAAAGCCAAAAAGCCATTTGTTGTTAGTGGAAATCGATGCCTTCCCATCTGGCCAAAACATGATTCTTTTAACACACGGAAAGAAGAGGAAGTAGAGAGGGGAAAACGCAACGAAAGTGAATAAAATATAAGACTACCGGGCAGAAAAAATGAAGAGAAACCAGTTCTCTCAAGAAATTTAAAGTTTTTCACAAAAAAAATGATAATCTTTAACAAAAAATTATCAAGAAAAAACACGTTATAAACGTTGTGAATTCGAAATTAAAAGATTGATTTGAGGCCTAACTAGAGAGGAAAAGGAAGGATTGAATAAACAAAGAGACGCAATCCAAGCGTATCGCTATTATTCCTAACGTAAATAGTCATCCAAATTTCCGTGAGCTTGCAAACACGCTAAATTCTCAGAATTTATGGTTGTATTTCTTTTTCCTCTATATTTTTTCATAAAAACAGATGAAAGTCGAAGTTTGGCAAGGCAACGTGCGGGATGAATTACATTAAGAATTTATTAAAAGAAGGTTAAAAGTCTGAGCGAAAGCATACTAACCATTGAAATAATACACATTAACGAAGAAAAAAGAAATCGAAGTTGATGGAAAAAAAAAAGTTGAATTCGTGACCTTTGCGCGTGGGTCATCGGTCAATCGTGTAAACACTGCCACGAAAAAAGCACCGAGACAGTTTTTTACGTCGAAATCTAGAAATGTAATTGTAAAAATTCAGTTATTGTCAGACTTTCGACTTTTCAAAGAAATGAGAATCAGTTTCAGATTAAAATTTAACAAAACGTCAAACATCAATTCATATGCTTTTCCTAGTTTCAGTTGACATTTCCAAAAAAAGTTCAACTTACGTGGGTGTTATTTAGCTCAAACTAATTTTGGGGCAGCTCAGAACGAACCGCTTGAATAATTGAGAAACAAGTCAAAAGAAATGGTTGCAACGGCTCAGCAGCGGTACTGACATTTGGTGATGCAAATAGGAATCGCAAAAAATTACTTTTAATGGATTTTTGGTCCCCGAAAGTGTTCAAACCAGCTGAACTTTTGAAATATGGGTAATTTGAAAAGAAAAAATGGGTAAAAAGTCTTGAAGATTTGATATATAAAATCCGATTGGAAAACTAAATTACAATTTTCAGGTTTCGAAAAACTGACAAGGAGTTTTTTTATACTTCTTCGGCTCTGTTTGAGCTTATTCCCGACTCAAAATTTTGATTTTTGAGGCATTCCTGCACTCTTTTTCTTGTGAATCAACTCGAACATCCATTGAAAAAGGAGGGAAATAAAGTGAGTGGGAAAAGACGGAGCCGATCCATCCATCAAATCCTTCAGTAGCCAAAAATGGCAATCGTCTGAGCATGACCGTCCATTGAAACGCCTGAAAAGACCTGGAAAAACGCCGCCCACATCCGGCCAGCCATAAACCTACCAGTTTCCCGTTTTCCTTTCACTTTTGACCACGTTTATCAAGTTTAAAGCTACTAAATTTGAAAAATGTCCCTTTTACTAGGCTTCTTATATTTTTATAAATTTTGAAAGCTTGAGAACTCTTGAGGGTGTTCTTTTTTTAGTTTAAAAAAATATTTTTTTCTAGCTTCATTTTTTTGAGAATTAATAAATTTCCACGATCAGAAAGCCTTTTGGTCGCACTTGGAATGGCTCGACGCAAAAAAGCTCGTTTTTAAATGTGCAACCGACCAAAAACGGCTTGCGCGCGAAGCCATTGAAAAGAAATTCATAATGTCCATATCGATGACGTGCTCTGTGCACTGAAAAAAATCAAGAGGGTCTCAAAATTGACAAGTTCCGCGTCTTTTATAAATAGAAAGTTCAAAAAAATTTAATTTTCAGCTGTTTCGACTTTTTTTAAACACTGTAAAGGTTAATCCCCGTTTTCATAGGTAGTGTTCTTTTTCATAATTGTCAAAAAAAGTTTATTTCCGGGTACCTATTTTTTTTGGTTCGAGTTTTTTTCTTACCAGTTTAAGTTTCAATTAAAAAAATTCAGTCTTCATTTTTTTAAGCTTTTTAGAATAAATACCCTTCAAATTCATAGATTATCGTGTTCAATTACAACTTCAAAACCTCAAAAATCCGCTATTAACCGCAAAATGAACCTTTTTCAGACAAAACAGTCGTTGAGGGCCCAAATTGGGTGATTCCCAACCACATGACACTATAAAAATGCATTTTTGACGTTGTATTCGCGTCATTTTTCTGGGACTTGTCCTTTTGGCTTTTTGCCATATTATAATATTTTTTAGTAACCTGGAAAAAAGGCCTTTAAAAGCTCAAGTTTTTCTTCTGGGAGTTCTATTTTTTTTGGATTTTTTTTTTCCAGTTTTAAATTTTTATTGAAAGCGTTTTGAGTTTAAATCCATGAAAAAATATGATTTTAGTCATTTCTCGAAAAAAAATGAACTTTTTTTAATCATTGAAGCTGGATATCCTTCCTATAAAGCTCTTTCCAAAAAAAAATGTTCCTCAAAAAATGCCGAAAAAAAAACCGAAACTCTCCAACTACCATACTGTATCGTCCCTCCAGCGGTCCCTCCAATGAAATTCCCTTAAGAGCCCACTTTTGCAGACAATGCTGCGCGTGACGTCTCTGCTGGGCTCCTTGCTGCTGGTAGCCGGCGTCGTGATCGGCTCGTCGACCGCCGACGACGATGACGTCATCCAGCCCCGTCAGATTCGGGTTCAACACGTTTCGTAGCTTCGTTATGGTTAATCACGTGTAGTCAACGCTTAAGTGACCACTTAGAGTTGGATTTTAGCCTAAATTTTCATGGGCCTCAGGAACACAAAAGAAAGAAAAAGAAGGAACTCAAAAGTCAATTAACCAATTTCAAAAAAAAGTAGGCTCACCGGGGTCTTTGGACGCAGTGGGACTTCTGAGTAAGACTTTTCTATATGTAGTCTTAAACGCTGATTCTAAAGCTGGTTTCAAAAATTGCCCAATACGTCTGTGAAAAAAGATAGACACTCTCAAAAGTCGGAAACTTCAGTGTCTTAAATTGAGCTTATTTTTGGAGAGTCTGTTCAGATTTTGAATGTCAAGTGAAATGACGTCATTCAAAAACACTCTGTGGATGGCTCGCTTTCTGATTGGTTTATCGCACTATTATGGGCGGAGCTTGAGCGATGACTTGACATTCAAAATTTGAACAGACACGTAGATTTTGCCAGGAAAAACGGTTGAAGCTCAAGTTTTTTGGGAAAGTTAGAACAAAAAAACAAAAAAGATCATACTTACATAGTTTTATGAACAATGGTCCCACGCGTATGGAGATCAAGGTCGTTTTAACATGTGCACCCGACTTGAAACGACTTGCGCGAGAAAAGTTTTAAGTCACAAAAGACATCGGCTGTTTTCCGTGTGCGGTTAAGTTTCAAGTCGCGGCCAAAACTTTGCAACAAAAGAAAAATTTTAATGCGTTGAGTCTTTTTTGTAGCTTCTGCCAAAAATCTCTAAAGATCCCGATTTAATTTTAAAAAGTTGTTCAGAACTTCCCGTACTCGGTCTCGCTTTATCGTATGCTCGGACATGACCGGCAACTACGGCCGTACTACGGTTCTGACGACGAGGTTCTATTTTGAAGTTACTTTTTGGCTTAAAGGCATAGGGGCATTAAAAAATGGGGTTTCAGGTGAAAGCAGTATCTTATATAGTTTTTCTTTGCGAATCGAACGGTGTACTAAAAAAAATTACAGATGTTTCAACTTTAGAAGAAAAACGCAATTTTACTTTCCCGCCTTTAATTTTGAAAAATTCTTTGGATCGGCCTACGTACAAATGTTTACAGTAGCGGTGCACGCGATGTTGCGGACGTCTCATAAGACTCGCATTTTGTGATAACCGGATATCTGCTTCAAATCAAGGGTTTCTTCTCTGAAAAATCGATTAAGAAAACAGAAAACACACATTGATAATAAAGAAAACATAATATATCGCTATCCCCATCGAAACCTGTGTAAAATCATCATTTTTCACCAGAAACGCTTTTTTGCGATCAAAGTTTGCAAATTATACATTAATAGAAAGTTTTTGTGACAAAAAGAACTTTGGTGACAACAGAAAAATTGAAAATTGAAAGAAACGAAGAAAAAAGCGAAAATCCGGAAGATGGCGAAGCCTGTTGTCCGTAGAACAACTTTACTGCAAAGCGCCCTTTTTGCGGGAACTCAAACTTTCCTCTCTCCAACTTTGAATTATTTTTTCTTCAAAACTAGGAAGTTCGGTACGTTCCCAAGTTTACCGTTCGATTCGCAATGAAAAACTCTACAAAGTAATGCTTTGAACTGAAACATCGTTTTTTACTGCCCCTATGCCTTTAAGAAACAAGATTCACTTGTTTGAAAGGTTCGGCTTCGAAAGAAAAAAAAATCAAGAGCTGAAATTTTTTTTTTGATTTTTCTAGTTCTCGAAAGGCGTCAGAAGCTCATTTCACTTTTTGTTGGAAATTTCTTAAAACTGGGCCAGAAATTTCAAATATGTACCAGAAAAAGATCCTGAAAATCTAGACCTGCAAAACTTTCTAGTTTTGTAGAAATAAGGGTTCGAAGTCCTATAATAGCCCAATTTCGATGGACTTTGAGGTGCCTTTTCTCGAAAACTAGGAAGTTTTGCAGGTTTTGGCTTTCAGGATCCTCCTCCGGTGCATCTAGGAGTCTTCTGACAAATTTTCAGGAAATTCGGAAAAAAAGAAAATCCTTTTAAGGTTAAAAAGCTCATAGTCGCGACTTGAAAGGGTGGGACTTCTCTGTGCCCTCCTTATCTCTCGACGTCTCTCTCATGTTTGCGTGCTGTTTCCATGTTTTTCTGACTTGTGAGGGAACAAAGAGACGCAGACACGCGAGAACTGTCCCTGAGGACACTGAAGTGGCCACTAAACCCACCTCCATAGTGGCTACTATTTTCTGTTTCAGTGGACATTGTAGGGGTTCTCTATTTAGTGGCCACTTCAGTAATTTTTCATCAAGTATTCCTTCTAGTAACTCTGATAATTAAAAAAAAACAGATTGAACCAGTTATGTTGATCCATTGGCCCCTAAAGTGGCCACTAAAATTTTTAGTGGTCTAGTAGTAGCACTTAGACCTCTATAGTGGCCACTAATTTTTAGCCCCTTAAGTGACCACTAATTTGATTACTATAGTGGCCATTAAAAGTATAGAAGCTTGATGTTCCGATTTTTTTTCTTAACTATTCATTTTTTGAAGGTTGCCGCACTAATCGATTCGATGAACAAAGACGTGTGGACAACGCGGTTGAGACGAAGTGAAGGGGTTAAAGGTTCATAATTTTTCCATAATTAATATATTTTTCATGTTAGCAATCAATTTATTCACAAGCGGAAGCAGAATATAATTCACAAGAAGGTAGATAAAAAAATATAAACGCGCAATAAATAGATAAAAAAATTGTTCTGCTTTTGTTATTTTTAGACTCGAGTTATTGAACGTTTGGACCAGAAATTATCTTAAAAAAATCCTTATTTTAATGAATTTTTTTCTTGCAGGATATGCGTGCCGCTTCAAATTTTGCCGCATTTTCGACGCCTGAGGCGACTAAAATTCTCCCATTTTATCATTTCTTAACACCGAAAGAACTTCAGATACTCATTTTATGATATATCAGTTCCGCAGCGTTTGTTTTTTCATTTTTTAATTTTTTTTTTTGCCTTGATTTGTGCGAATAAACGTTTTCGATGTTTTTTTGAGAGAAAATCTTGAAGAAAGGGAAGCTCATCGACATGGCTCAGTCGGTAAAGGACTAGCCCGTGATCCGAAGGTTCCTGGTTCGAATCCTCCTGGGAGAAAAAACATTTTTGCTCACACTCAATAACCTTTTATATCGTTTCCTTGAATCAAAAAAAAAATTTAAAGAAAGGGAAGCTCAATGATTAAAAATACGTGGCTCAGTCGGTAAGGGATTAGCCGGTGATCCAAAGGTTCTTGGTTCGAATCCTCCTGGGAGAAAAAAAAATTTTCTCACACTCAATAGCCTTTTATATCATTTTCTGGAATCAAAAAAAGTATATATATTAAAGAAAAGGAAGCTAATGGAAGAAAAAAACATGGCTCAGTCGGTAAAGGATTAGCCGGTGATCTGAAGGTTCCTGGTTCGAATCCTCCTGGGAGAAAAAAACATTTTTTTGCTCATATTCATAACCATTTTATATAATTCTCCCAAAATCATAAAAAAACTTGAAAGAAAGGGAGTCTCAATGATAGATGTGGCTCAGTCGGTAGAGGATTAGCGCATGATCTAAAGGTTCCTGGTTCGAATCCTCCTGGGAGAACATTTTTTGCTCATACTTATTAGTTTATCCTACCTCCTTCTATAGTCATAATGAGTTCAAAAAAATTTTTCCACTAGGCCAAATCTCGAAATTTCTCAGATCAACTGAAATATTTCTATATCCTCCACTAAAAAAACCTTTAAATTCGAAAAATTTTTGATTAAATCAACCTATAAAAAAATAATTTGAACAACTTTCTAATGACTCACGTTTATTTGAACCAATCAAGAAGAGTCATTTTCACCTTTTTCTGCAAAAAAACGTGGTTCCACCTTGTGAAATCCGCAAATCATACGAAAAAGCTGAATAAATACTGATCCAACCAGACGAAACGTTCCTCATATTTTTCCTCCTAGCCTCGATGACCTCCACCACGATATTTTACTTCATTTCATTACTTCTAAATTCAGTTATTGCTAATCCACTACCTTATTTTGCACGTGGCGGTAATGATCTTCCGTTCGGATATGGTAACTTTGAAGACTTTCCCACTTTTAGTGCCAAATAAAGTTTTTAGGGTTAACTGAACACGTCCGGGCAGAACCAGAACATCTGCAATTTGCTCCAGATCCCGTCCAGCCGAGCTTGGGCCAGCAGAACGGCTTTGGAAGTGGTCCAACTCCTCAAAACAGTGGCTCCGGAGGCTCAAATTTCGTTCCCAATGGAGGCAATCCAGTTAACGGCTTCGGAAGTCAACAAGGAGCCCAACCACCTAACAATAATCAAAATGCGATTAGACAGGTCCCGAGCTCCAATTTTGGCTCGGGAAATGGTCCAAGCAGTGGCTCACAAATCCCAAGCTTCAATTCTGCTCAGAATAACAACTTCGGAGCCCCAGGTCCTAACCCACAAGTCTCCAGCTCTCAGTTTAGCGGAGGACAAGTCCCAAGCATGCCTACTTCTGGTCAACAAGTCCCAAACTCCAACTCAGGCCAATCTGGTTTCAAAAACGGTCCCAGCTCTCAAAATACCGGCTTCGGAAATCCTAACTCCGGCCAACAAGTCCCAGGCTCTCAAGTCAACGGCGGACAAGGACCCAACTCCAACCAAAACTCTCAAGAACCTCCTGGCCTAAACCAAAACCCCGGCTGTCCTTTCAAAGACTGCGTCATTCCCGCCAACATGACTAATCAACCTCAAGTCCCAAACGTTGTCCCGAGCGGCCAACTTCAGCCTTCTAATAACTTCTGGCCAACCGCTGAAATTATTCAAAAGCTGAACATGAATGGGAATAGACAGCCACAGGAGCAACAGCAGAACCAGGAAAACCCTGGACAAGGTGGCCCAAGCTCAGGAAACGGAAATCAGAACCAAAATAGACCCGAGCAAGCAATTCTGATATCTCATGCTATATCTCCAGATGATTATAAATTTTCTCCCAGTGGCAATTTAGGAGGACAAGGCGGTCTCAACAATCAAGGAAATGGTCAAATCCCAATCAATTTCAATCAAGGACAAAACGGCCAAGTCCCAAGCAACTTCAACCAAGGACAAAACGGCCAAGTCCCAAGTAATTCCAATGAAGGGCAAGGTTTCCCAGGAAACTTAAATCAAGGCGGCCAAGTCCCAGGCAATTCCAATCAAGGACAAAATGGCCAAGTCCCAAGCAACTTCAACCAAGGACAAGGTGGCCAAATCCCAAGCAGTTTCAATCAAGGACAAGGCGGCCAAGTTCCGAGCAACTTCAATCAAGGACAAGGCGGCCAAGTCCCAAGCAATTTCAATGAAGGACAAGGTGGCCAAGTCCCGAGCAGTTTTAACCAAGGACAGAATAACCAAGTCCCAAGCAATGTCAACCCAAACTTCCCAAACTTTTTCCAACTCTCCACTTCTAGACCAACTATCCAAGAACGTGATGCTGGCTTCCCTAATGAAAATCTAGAAAACGCTGGTTCATTGGAGCAACCTTTGCAAGGAGATCTCGACGACTTTCAGCTTTTTTTGAGGTATTTTTTTTTGACAAAGTTGGAAGAAATATGGAAATTTCAGCAACGCTGAGAAAACTCTGAGAGAAGATTTCTCCAGAATTATGAGCAAAAATCAGACGGAAGACCAAAGAAGACAGGCCGTTCAAGTCTTCTTGACCAACTTCGAAGCAGATCTTATTGTACGTATAGAATTTTTTTCTATTTTCTCTTCTTTTAAAAAAATATTTTTGAGAGTTGGGACAAGAAAAAAACTAGAATTTTCAGTTTTTATTCTTTTTCAGAAAGCGATAGATTTGGCGGCGAATGAAACGCATTGGGAAATATTAGACAAACTTCGCGATTTGGTCAAAACTGGAGATTTAGTTGGCCCCGGAATGGAGCTATATATTCAAGTCGAGGTTGGTCGAGTGGCTAAAACCTTGGGGAAGGCAAAAAGGCTTCCTGGTTCGATTCCTCTCCAAAGCTTTCATGCAAAAAAAAAAATCAAGAAGCTTTCAAAAATTTGAAAAAGCGAGAGCGAGAGATCAGCGGCGGTGTGAAGAGACGCAAGAGAAAAATATTCTTTCCTTCTCTAACATCTCTTCATTTTTCGCTACTCTCTAACTCTTTTTCATTTTTCTCGTTTTTCTAAAACCGATTCACGAGGAACCAAGGGGGCGTGGCCTGTTTTTTTGCAGTTTTATGGATACTTTGGACATTCTGAGAGTTATTATTAATCAAGAGCCTTTCAGAAATTTAAAAAAATGAAAAAAAGAGATATTAGCGGCGTTCTGAAGAGACGCGAGAGAAAGAGAGAACCTTTTTTCTCTGGCGTCTCTCCGGCCTTCGCTAGTCTCTAACTCTCTTTCATATTTCTGTTTTTCTAAAACCGATTCACGTGGACCTAAAGGGGCGTGGCCTGTTTTTTGCAGTTTTATGAATAATTTGAACATTTTCAAAGCTATCATTCAAGATTTCACAAATTTGAAAAAATAGAAGAGAGAGATGAGCGGCGGTCTGAAGAGACGCGAGAGAAGGAGAGAACCTTTTTTCTCTGGCGTCTCTCCGGCCTTCGCTAGTCTCTAACTCTCTTTCATATTTCTGTTTTTCTAAAACCGATTCACGAGGAACCAAGGGGGCGTGGCCTGTTTTTTGCAGTTTTATGGATACTTTGGACATTCTGAGAGTTATTATTAATCAAGAGCCTTTCAGAAATTTAAAAAAATGAAAAAGAGATATTAGCGGCGGTGTGAAGAGACGCAAGAGAAAAATATTCTTTCCTTCTCTAACATCTCTTCATTTTTCGCTACTCTCTAACTCTTTTTCATTTTTCTCGTTTTTCTAAAACCGATTCACGAGGAACCAAGGGGGCGTGGCCTGTTTTTTGCAGTTTTATGGATACTTTGGACATTCTGAGAGTTATTATTAATCAAGAGCCTTTCAGAAATTTAAAAAAATGAAAAAGAGATATTAGCGGCGTTCTGAAGAGACGCGAGAGAAAGAGAGAACCTTTTTTCTCTGGCGTCTCTCCGGCCTTCGCTAGTCTCTAACTCTCTTTCATATTTCTGTTTTTTTCTAAAACCGATTCACGTGGACCTAAAGGGGCGTGGCCTGTTTTTTTGCAGTTTTATGAATAATTTGAACATTTTTCAAAGCTATCATTCAAGATTTCACAAATTTGAAAAAAATGGAAGAGAGAGATCAGCGGCGGTCTGAAGAGACGCGAGAGAAAGAGAGAACCTTTTTTCTCTGACATCTCTTCAGCTTTCGCTACTCTCCAACTCTCCAACTCTTTTCCATTTTTCTAAAACCGATTTAGGGATACAAAAAGGGGCGTGGCCTGTTTTTTGCAGTTTCACTAATATTTTGAGCTTTTTCAAAGCTATCATTCAAGATTTCACAAATTTGAAAAAAAGGAAGAGAGAGATCAGGGGCGGTCTGAAGAGACGCGAGAGAAAGAGAGGATTTTTTTTTCTCTGGCGTCTCTCCGGCCTTCGCTAGTCTCTAACTCTCTTTCATATTTCTGTTTTTCTAAAACCGATTCACGAGGAACCAAGGGGGCGTGGCCTGTTTTTTGCAGTTTTATGGATACTTTGGACATTCTGAGAGTTATTATTAATCAAGAGCCTTTCAGAAATTTAAAAAAATGAAAAAGAGATATTAGCGGCGTTCTGAAGAGACGCGAGAGAAAGAGAGAACCTTTTTTCTCTGGCGTCTCTCCGGCCTTCGCTAGTCTCTAACTCTCTTACATTTTTTTCCCATTTTTTTCACGGCTAGCAAAGAAGCGTGGCTTGTCTGCGCTCTCCACTAGACAGACACTATTTCTTTTTCTTTTTTTGAATCGTGTCAAGACCCCTTTTTTTCAGCAAATCATCAACTATCTTTCTTCGATCCCCGGCTCTTTTCTGATGAACTCTGCTGTCCAACAAATGTCCGACAACTTACAAAAGCTTTTCTAGAATCAAAAACTATTTATTTATTCTAAAATTCATGGAAAGAGATCAATAAATATGACAAATTGTATCTTCTTGTGTTACAATGATTCTAATACTTCCACTTGGCGGGATCTTCGCTCGGTTCCGGTTCGATTTGGACGGTCGTCGAAAGTTTCGGATCCGAGGAAGATCCGAATATGGCTCTGGAGTACCTTCTAGAGAAAAAGGCGTTTTGCAGGGACCATTTTGCAGCGACGAACAGCCAGGTGCCCGTGTACCAGAGGTTCTCGCTGTGGAAGTCTGAAAATGTAATTTTTTCCGGTTGCGAATGAACTAGAAAGTAATCGTGACTAGAAAATTGGGAAAAAGAATGGATTTGCGAGGCTTTGAGATATTTCACTGTAAGGCTAATGAACTTAACTTGATTTTTTTGCAGCATTTAAAAAAATTTCAAATTTTTTTTCTTATTAGTGAATAAATTTATTATAAATCAGCTGAAAAATTGCTGGATTCATGAGTTAGAGTTCTCAAAAAAATGAACGTTTGAACGGAAATTATTCGAACTTTTTTTTGCAAACTTTTTATTTCAACGAGACGTACTTCAATCAGAAGAAAAACTACAAGAAAAAAATACAGATATTTCAAAAAAATATTAGAGTTATTTTTTTAGACAGAAAGGATATTAGTAATAAAATTAGCGAAAAAAAGGTTTGAAAGAGTTCTGAAAAATGAATTTTTGAACGAAATATTGTCCAAAATTTCAGGATTTTACATGAATCAGAAAAAAAGTGGAAAAAAAATTCAAGAAATATATATAAACCATGTTCAAGAAATACAATAAAAGTAAACACGGGAAGCTTTACAGCACAAAAAAAAACCTAATTTTCTCAAAAATCGGACCAAGAAAAGTTGAAAAAAATGAAATTAATTGACGTTTCATATTGATTGACGATTCATAAATCACGGACAGTTTAGCCACCTTATTCAAATAAAAGTTCATCATCAAACCTAACGCGGATTGTTTCTGGACGCCGGCGATAACGTAGCAAGCGATACAGCCGCCGAGGTTCAACGGAAACGCGATCGCGTCTGAAATTCTTCTTTATTTCAAGTTTTCCAGACTTCTTCGCAAAAAAATTTAAAAAAAATTGATTCAAGTTTGAAATAAATGGTGGGACAACAGTTCGAAGATGAAACAAGAGAAAAAAATAACGGAAAAAAATAACTTACTCAACCAAAAAAAGAATGCTAAAAAGTTGAACGGCGCCATTCCAAAAATCGTATCCTTTTTATAACTCCAGTAGATTTTCAAAGTGACACAGGCAAACGCTACTGATAATGCGGCTGTACATGCCGCCGACCAATTCTAAAACTGATAATTCGAGAAAAAAAGAAGCTCAAAATAGCGTCTTGCAAGCATTTTTACTACTAAAAAGAGAAAAAAGAGTCATAAACCGATTAATTATGAAAAACGATATGTTTGATCTCGAAAAAACTCGCCTTGAAGGCGGGAAAAAAAATTAATTAAAAATTTTTTCATGATGTCAGTGAAACGGTTTTTTTGCCCACCACAATTTTTTTAATCCAAAATCTATTTTTTTCGTGAAACTTCGTTTTTTTTAAAGTTTCATGTCTAAAAATTGTGTTTTATTCATTAATTTATGTAAATGCGATCTATAATCTAGTATTTGTAGCAGCGCCAATTATTTTTTTCTGTTGAAAAAAATCTTTTTAATCGAAACAAAATGGAAAAATAATCACGTATTCGGAAAAAAATGGATTCAACTCACTTGTTGTCTCCTTTTTTCTCATTTTTTTAAGCTTATTTTAAAATATTTTTTTATATATTTTTTTTTCTTCCTTTCTTCATCATGTATTGATATCCTAACCAACCTGAAACTCAATAGCATATGTCAAAGTGGCAAGCGTGCCCAGTACAATTCCAATAATAACCATGGCGATCCGGGTATTTATATGGCAAACCGCCTTCCAAAAAGATTTCAAACAAGACATTTCGCAGCAAATATTAGCGAATTTTTCAGTGGAAAGGCCCAGCAGACGAATCGACAATTGAAAAACCCTTATCACTTTTTTGAGACATTCGAATTTTTATCACAGAAACCCCAAGAAGTCACCTTACATCACATAGTTGTGTTCCGAACGTTTTTTGAACCAGGAGACTAGACCAAAATGTTCAATTTATAGGAGAAAAACCTCGATAATAATTAGCATTACAGTTGGAATTCAACCAAGAAGTTTATTTCATTTTCAATCAAAACTTTTTTAGGCCTCTTTAATTATTACGCTTTAACTCTAACTAAAAAAATAGCATTTACCTTTTTTTGAGCATAAATGTATTAAATAATTATAGAAGTGAACGAAAGAGAAAAAAATCGAAAAAAATCATTTTGCAACAATTTTCATGCTGAAACGTGCGCTCCAGTGAAGAAATTATGACAAACTTTAAGTCTAGTGCTATTTTTTTGTAAGACTCAACTTTTTTTTTACAAAAAAAGGAAAAAAATAAGATGAAAAGTTACCGAATCAAAATTCAGAATAAAAAAATAATCAAATATTGCGAATTTTTTTAAAGGCGCAAAAGCTTTTTGGTCTAACAGGCAGTGGCTCCTCGCCACGAGACCTTTAAGAATTTCGCCACTATTTTTCTTTTTTTTCGTCCATAAAGAGCTAGTTTAAATTTGAAAAGAAAGACGTTTAATTACTCGAAAAAAATTCTCACTGGTCCGCCAAAGTTGCAGTACTTTTTTTATTGAACCATTTCGTTGCGTTTTATAATTACTTTTTCTTCGACAGACACGCCACGAAATTTTTTTCTTTTTCTAATTATTGTGCTCAATAATATGATTGGGTTCCATATTATTAGGTTCTTAACCCTGTAGTAATGTCAGCTACTTCATCATAAAAAAAGTAGTTTTTCAGAACAAAGAGGTATTTTTTTTATGAAAACATCATGACTCACGTCTGCTTTTCTGAAAAACGTTGTCGTTTCTTTGCACAGTCATTTTATTTTCCTTCTTTCGAAAATTTTCAGTTTATTTTCCTTTTTCAAATACCCTTAGACCCGCTTTTTTGTTTTCATTTTTTACAAACTAATTTCCTTTAGAAGAAAAATAGTCATGAGAGAACTTTTTTTTGTTTTTCAAAAAAAGGAAAAAAATTTGAAAAAGCGAACGCCACAGCTTCAGGAAATTTACCGTAAGACTGGAGTCATGCGCGCTCCTTTAACAGACATGCGAGGGTCGTTTTCGCTCTGGCGCCAATGATGACAAGCAGGTTTTCTCGTGTTCCCCGTTCAAAAATTCGGTTTTCTGTCGTTTTCCGGAGAAAACAACGTTGCCGTCGGTTTCGGAAACTACAGTTACAACATAAAATGTTCAACACGAGACCAAGAAACCCAGTGGGCCCAACTTTGAATTTCGAAAGTTTTTTGTTTTGATCTCGCTTGAAAAAACAAGTTTTTATCGATCACGCTTTTTCATTTCTAAGTGGCGTTTTGAGTTTTCTCAAGCGAGCTCAGTCATATGTTTTCTCGAGAACTTTGCTCTAATCTACGGTTTCCTCGCAGTATCGATTTTGTTCCCCTCGTCCACGCTCACCCACCTGCTCCTTTTAATCGCCGTTTTGCAGAAACTACGAGTAATCGCCTCCAACAAGTCAACTAGTGATATTGGACTATCTGTATTATATATTAAACCAAACCATACGGGACCTTTTTACCGCATTTCGCAGAATGAAGATTGAAGAAGAGTGTGGGGTTATCAACCCCAACTGTACAGAAATGGTTCGTTTCAAACTTGCCTTTTTTGGAATTTTGCGATGGGTTTCAGCCTCGCTCATGCGTACAACTTATTCTCGCAGTTAAAAATGCGAAAACGACAGAACAGTTCATCCGAGAAATCGATAAAGGACGAGAAACTCATGCGGTCATGGGAAAGGTTTCATTCGAAAAGTTTTTTAGACATACAACTTATTGATTTTTAGACCGAACTGTGTCGCTGGGTTGTAGTTCTGAATCGTTGCGATGAAGTTCTAGAAAAAGCTGTTGTAAAGGTGAATTTTTCAAGTTGTAATTTGGAGGAACAATTGGGATTATTTTCAGGATGAAGTGGGGCAAATGCTCTGTGATCGAGACATGGAAATGCGCAAATTCACGATCTCAGTTCTTCGATTCACAGTCCTTTTGTTTGAATCAACATCTTCGCGTCGAGTTTATCGCAGCATGGATGTCAGTTTTCAAATTTTTCACTTCAATTTTGATTTCAATTCTTTCAAATTAATTTTCATTTTGAATGCTTTAGTTTTGACATGAAAAAGGGGTCTATTTATCGAAGTTTTTCGAGTTTTTTATTTTCATTTCGTACAGTTTTTCGAGATGTTTTTTACAATATTTGATTTTTTCTTTGTTTCCATTGATTCTGATCCTCATTAAATGCTTTGTTTTGTCAACCGAGAAAAATCACTTCGATTCTTGTTCTGCATTTCGTCTACTGAACCTAGCAAAAAAAAGAATAGGGGTTTTTGTTGAACTTCATTTTTTTGTAGTAAAAAAATTGTTACAGGGTATTTTTCAAATTTATCATTTTAATTTCGTAAAGTTGATCTTTTTTTTTCATTTTTTCAATGAATCTAATTGTCCTTCCTAAACCTCTTCTTTCTTGAATTTTTTTCAGTGCCAAGATTCCTTCAATTTCATTTTTTAAAAAATTGCGAAAGCGAGTTTAAAAGCACACAGGAAATGATTTTTAGCCTCGAAACTTTTGAAAGTTTTTCTATCCTTTAAAAGTCTCAGCAAGTTTTTAAACTTGAACATTTTATCTTGCAATATTTCTGAAGATGATTTTGGTTGGTCCCTTTTGAACTTTTTTTACAATTCTGATTCCAAGCCAATTTTCTTCATTTTCCAGCGAGTTCTCGCTTTGCTCGAAACCCAAGACATGGAAATGCTGGCCGATGTCCTTCGACTCCTCCAAACAATGGGAAAAAGATCGAAATATTTGAATCAAAGACTCTGCCCAAGTGATCAATCAACGCTTGTGCACAGTTTGACCGCCATTGCTCAGGTTTTTTCTTTTTATTTTGATTTTAATACATTATTTTGACGTTTCAGTGCTGGGGCGGCAAACTTCGATCCGTCAAAATGGCTGAATGTGTCAAGGAGAACGTCAATTTGCCAGCTCTTTTCCCGTTCACCTACACGGATTCGTTCTCTCGGCTGATTTCCATCACAAAGCCCGTGGTTAGTTTGTGAAATCTTATGGAGTGAAAAACCAAAATTTTTTGAATGCTGGGAAAATTTTAGTGGCCACTATAGGGTTTTGACGTTTTAGTGGCCTCTATAGTAGTCAAGTTAGTGGCCACTCGAGGGGTTAAAAATTAGTGGCCCCCTATAGAGATCTAAGTGCTACTACTAGACCCCTAAAAATTTAAGTGGCCACTTTAGGGGTCAATGGATCAACATAACTGATCAGATCTGTTTTTTTTTTAATTATCAGAGTTACTGGAAGGAATACTGGGTGAAAAACTACTGAAGTGGCCACTAAAACGGAAAATACACTATAGAGGTAGGTTTAGTGGCCACTTTAGTGTCTTACGTTTTGAAAAAAAAAAATCTTATCTATGATTGCCTGCTGTTTTTTTTGTACGTGACTTGAACGATAGTAAAAGTACTTTGAAAAAAAAAACACTCGAAATGAGATATTATTTGTTGCAGGAAGGCGAATGCATCGCCGCTCTGGTGGAACGGATCAGCTCGGCGACTTCCGGAACCAACCAGACGTCGAGGGCCTCGACGCCATCGAAAGCGACGACGTCGCAGAACGAGTCGACGATCCTGGCCGGCAGCCCGCAGCAGACGTCGATGGCCGCAGAAGACCGCTACTACCTCTTGGCCGTCGTCCGGATGCTCCAGGGCTTCGAGGAACGCCAACATCGCGTCCGATGTCTCGTCGCCCGTCTGCTGGCGGTTTCTACGCTCAGTGAGTGTTCGTACTAGAATCTATTGCTTTCTGTCGTGTTTTGTGCTGAAAAAACATTCTGACTGCCTTTTTACGTTCTGGAAAATATCGATTTCAATAAACTTTATAAGAAAGCTCTATATTTCACTCATTTCCATGTAGAATTAAAGATTAATGGCAATATTTCACAATTTTTATTGATAAGGTCTTAGGCATGAACGTTCAAGTTTCAAACAGGTACTGCCGCGAAACGCAAAATTATCTCTGACTCTCCAAAATTTAGTTATCTTTCCCACTCTCTGACGCCTATTTCGAAATTCAAGGAATCCCTTTGAAAACGGCATAATCTCTAAATTTTTTCTTGGCTCTCCGGATCTTTCAGGCTGGAAAAGTTGAAAAGTCCTTTAATTTCACGCTGAGTAGACGTTCATGCATATGACTTTTGGTTATGATAAACTTTTTTAAAAGAAAATCGGAATTAAATGTATTATTTTGCAGTTTATTGCCGCTGCCAACCGGATGACACCAGCCTCGGCGCGCTCCTTTACACGGGATTCGTTGAAGAACTCGTCGCCCTGTTGAAGACCGAAAAGTGAGCTTCATTCTGTTGACAGATTTTTCGTAGCTTGAAATATCTGAAGGAAATTATTTCCAGAACTATTGTTTAGATTACATCCCGCCCCTAGAAGCTGAACCACCTTGTAAATCTTGTTTAGACAGTTATTGAGCATTGGAAACTGACGAATTCTAAGAATATTGAACTCTAAAAAAAACTCAAAAGATTTTTTTTTTGCGTTTGTGCAGGTCATTCCCCTTCAAAACTAGGATATTGAAACGTTTGCCAGAACTAATAATTTGAATTTTTATAGGAACATGAAGAGAACTATAAAATCTTACTATAATAACTATAAAAATATAAAATCATAGAAGGACTTTATTGAGAATTGTTTGAGGTATTCATGATTTAAAGCGTTCTAGAAATTTTTTTCTGAGGATTTATCATATATTTTCCCGAAATAAGGACTGCATAAGTATGAGCTATCTAATTTTTTTCACAGGTCCTCGGACACTCGCGAAGAATCGGCCATGCTCGACACGATTCACGCCGAAGCCTTGTCGACCCTTTGCGCCATCGTGACCCTCGAGAAAGAACAAAGGTAAAGATGGGCTTTGATTTTTACAAAAAAAAAACCCTCCAAGTGTGAAAAAAAATTGTATTTTCCCGTCGAAATCAAATAATTTTTTCATTTTCTAATTTCCAAATTTTTCGGCGAAACGATGAATCTACACATGATAGACGTTTTGATGGTCGCAATCAGTTGAGGTTTTTTTCCTTACAAGGCTTTCCTGAGAAAATATGGACTATACAGTTCAACTTTAGTTTTTCTTTCACTTGAACTTCTTCTATCTTCTGTAAGCAAAACTTTCAAATGCTTTATTAAAGAACCCAAATTATTTTTCTTATTTCCGACCCGTCAGCCGGATCAACCAGATCCTGGAGGCCCTGTCGGCCGGATCCTACCATGGATTCCTGTCGGTCCTGACGCGGCAGATCGTCCACGAGCTCAAGAGCAACGAACTCGGCAAGCCGGGCAAACCCTCGATCGCCCTCTCGACGGCCCTCTTCTCCTTCATCTACCACCTCGCCAGCATCGAACCCGGGGGTAGTTGGCGCGCGTCTCTCCATTATCCGAATGATCCGGTCGACTTCCAGGAGAAACTTTGGTCGCCAGCGGCCTCACCCAGACTCTCCTCAGTGTCATCGCTCATCACGATCTTCCCATCGAGCTGATCACTTTTGGAACCAGGTATGTTAATATAGCGTACGTGGGCTGAGCTCAATAAGCTCAGAAGGTTTAGGTTTAAAATAAGGAGTATAACATATCTTTGAGCCCAAGGGATAGTGCTAACAAGAATGAAAAAGGCTTCAACCCCGGGGAGGTCATGATGAATTCAGTTTAACGAAATTATTGAAAAGAAAAGTCGCATGTATGCTGTTTCCAAGGGTCTGTTTCTTCTTTTTCAGGAAAATGAAGGAAGAAAAAAAAAGGTTTTCAGTGCTTTTTGTCATTTTCTTGAGGTTTAACTACTGATAGATTTTTAAGAAATCGCGAAAGTAGGACAATTTCTCAAGTTTGAACGATTTTTAAAATAAGAAGCGTCATTTTTTCTACAAAAGCCCAGTAGAAAAAAAATGCATAGTATTGCGATTCTGCAGTCCCTTGAAATCAAAGTTCTGTCGTTTTAGAAAGTTTGAATCTTGTAGCTTCAAAAGCATTTATGCTGAATTTTTTGTTGCGAAATCGCTCTATGGTAGAAAAAAGTAGAAGTAGAATTTGAACTTGCGTACTTTCACGGTTTTTTGAGCGTTCGCAGGCCGTAAAAAAAGAGAGAAAAAAAAAAATGGTGACGGGCAGGTGGGAACGGCGCGCGGCTCTGTTTCTGAGTCACCGCGTTAGAAATTTTGCAAGACCGTGCAGTTGGAAGAGACAAGGAAAAAAAAAGGCGGCAGATGTCGAAGAGTGGTCTCGACATTGAAGGGATCGTTCTTTTTTAGAGGCTTCCTAGAGACGGGGGATGGGAAAAATTTATATATAAACTGAGACCGTAAGAGATAAAGGGGTAAATGGCTTTCTGTCATTTTTCTGACAATAGAGAGGACTTGGAATTGATTTAGACTTTTTCTGATTTATCAAGGTTTTATAAAAAGAGATTTATGTATTGAATCGTAAATTTCGACCTTTTCTGATGTAACAAGGTATTATACTGAAAAGGCTTCAGAAAATGTTTCCCTGACCTTTTCGTATTTCACAACGAGTTTTAACGTTCTTAAAAAGTCAAAAATATCTGGAAAAAAAATTCAAAAAGTTTCCTTAGATGCGCTCGAATCATCGACCTTTTTACGACAATCGACGTCGCTGCATTCCGAAACAACAATGGAATGGAGATTTGCATCAATCGCGTCGTGGTAAGGAATTTTATGAATAAAATAATCCTTTTTTTACCATTTTATGAGCACTGAGGCATTTAGAACATCCCAATTTGTATAAATTCTTTGTTCAGTACGAAGTCGACCAGTGCCGAAAAGAACAGCCTTTCATGATCGACGTCAGCGAAGATCGCTCCTTCGAAGGAGAACCTGACAGAAATCCCCCGAATCCCATCGCCGCAGGAGACGTGGCCGCCATGGAGACGTCAGAGTCTGGAACCGAGAAGAAGGAAGAAAAAGAGAAGGAGAAGGAGGAAAGAACTCCCGGAGGACCTTACATCACGGCCCCAAGGACCGGCCTCACCTGCCATCAGCAAAGATCTGGCCTCATCAAAGGCCTGCTCACTTTCGTGAAAAGAGCCATCCAGGATCCCCAGTTCCAAGACAGCATTCAGCATTGTTAGTTTTTAAGTAGTGCTTTTAGAGAAAAAGCTTTAAGAACTCTGAAAATTGAACACAAGTTGAAGCTTTTCTTTTTATACAAGGAAGTTGTCTTTGTTCCCAGTAGTGGTTAGAAGAAAGCTCTTATAATTTTTCAAATTGAACATAACTTGACGTTTTCTACTTTTTTTTTAGGAAAGGTGAGTGCATTAAAGATAGCAGTTATAATTTTTAGTTTTTGAGGTGGTTAAAAAAGTTCCGAAAATGACAAAATTGAACAGAAATTCTACATTTAAGAATAAAAAATCGCTTGGTGGACTGAAAAAAAAAACGGGTGAAATAAGAGCTTTTAGGTTAATTTATTGAGAGCGTTTTGGGTATAGAAAAAAGGAATCTTCCTTCGAATTGCCAAAAAAATAACCAAATTCTGAGTTTAGCGATATAAAAAGGATGTAAAAACAAGAAAATCGAAGGCCAATACAGAGCTGATTCCGAGTTTCAAGAAATCTGCTTTATGTGGACATTTTCAGTGATGGACGGAGGCCTGCCCGAGGCTCTCATGCACATTTTATCGAACGCCGAATATTATTCGCCTTCTCTTTTCCACCAATCGGCTCAACTGATCACCAATTTCGTCTACGACAAGCCAGAGCAGCTATCTGCTTTGCAAGAACGTCATGTGCCGTTTGTCATGCTCCAGAGTCTGTTGAGGAAGGAGGTTTAATGGAAAAAAAAGAGTGAAAGAAGAAGAAAAACGAGATTTTAGTTGCCAAACTCCCGTGATATCATCGGTCATATGGGATCCGTTTTCGCGGCCCTTTGCATCAATGAACGCGGTCTCAGACAGTTCCAGGTGATTATTAGGAGGAAAAAAATTGAATTTTCGAGTGACGTTTATGTTGAAAATAAAGGATAAGTTTGCGCGAAATTTGCCCTTTTTTTTGAAAAAAATGGGACATTTTTCTCTGCAAAAAAAGACTTATTGGTTCACTGCTCAAAAATTTTTTTTAATATTGTTAGAAAAAGAAAAAAAGATTTTTTTCTTGTTCAGCTTGTTCAATGGAAATATCAAGGTTTTTCATAAATTTCATTATCTTTCTTCTTTCTAAGAATTTAATCATTTTGACCCTTAATTTTAGTATTTTCTGACCAACTAAGCTTCATACAAGAAAGTTTCAAAAAGAGACTTCAAAAAGTTCAAGAAAAAAAACCTGTCAGTTCCTTACTAAATGAACTTTAAAACATGTTATACGCGATTTTTTTAAGCATGTGATCATTTCAAATCATTTTTCAGTCTTATGAGCCGTTCGACCAAATATTCCGCACGATGCTCAGCGTCAAGTTCCTCGTGACCATGAAAAAGAAGAGAACGGAAATGAGTAAGAGAAACAGAAGGAATATAAATGAAGACCTTTTTCTTGCAGCGGACACCGCCCAAACGATAGGAACGGCTCTGGGCGATCTGTTGAGACATCATCCGGTTTTGAAGAAACTGATGCTCAATTCGATGAATAAGGTGGGAAAAATGGTTGACGACGCTCTGAAAAATTATCTTTAAAAAAGTTTAATTTGTACAAAAAAACAAAAAAATCAAATTTCGATTTTTTTTGCAAAAATTTTTGAGGATAAATTTCCTTCATTTTAATGATTTTTTTGATCCAATTTCTGAAAAAAAGTTAGAAAAAAATTGGGTGACGATACGAGACAAAAAGGAGATTTTGAAAAAAATCAGCGAATTTCAAGATTTTTTTCAAAATTTTAAAGCCGAATCTTCAAATTGGACCTTTTCCCTGATTGCCCTCAAAATTTTTACCATCAATATGTATTTTTTTAAGTATTTTTTTTTCGAGGTGCGGCTGGAAGCGCTTTAAAAAAATTTCTGTTTCTCCATTTATTCAGAAAATTCCAAGAAGTAGTCATAGGTCATATCAATATTAAGAAGAAAAAGGATCTTAACGCTTTGAAAATTTAGAAAAAAAACAGTCATTGGCTTGAGAATCGCGAAAAAGTCCAAAAAAAAACAAGTTCAGGTTCTGGACCACCTCCTGGAGATCGGCAACGACCCTCCGGCGAACACGGAGATCGTGATGGCGTTGGCGAAGCAGACGGCGCGAAGCATGGCTCGCTGCGCGGCTCCCACTGGATGTATAAACGATCTCCCCACCAACGAGTCAACCCTTTTTCCTTCGACAGCAACGACGTCGACGTCGACGACCGGCGCCGCGACCAACGCGACGTCTTCGGCGACGGCGACCCGCGCCTCCGGTTCCTCAGGCATGCGCGCCTACACGCGCTACCAAGTCGCGAGGGGCCAGCAGCACCCCCGGCCCCAGCAGTCCCATCATCATCACCACCACAACCGAATCCATTTTGCCGCATTTTGTAAGCGCTCCTTGATGTGCAGAGCAGACGCACGCGTGGGAATGGCTTCGTTTCAAGAAAAAAAATCTCCATGTCAAAAACAAGTTGGAAATGCACGCGAGAAGCACCGCGTGGAATGGCTTTGTTTCAGAAAAATCAACGAGCCAAAAATTTTAGATTGAAAAAACTTTCTCTTAGAATGAAAAAAATTACACAAGTGGGCTTTGTTTCAAAAAAAAATCTGAAATTGCACGTGTGAAGTAAAAATTATGACTTTATTTGAAGAAAAAAATCTGAAATGCCCAGAAATAAGTTCAAAAATCTGTAAAAAAATTAAGCTTAAAATTTCAAATATTTTTTTCGTTTTAAGTTTGGCACGAATCGCCATTTTCGCGTGCACCTGCTGAAGAAGTGATGAATCGATTCTAATTGGCTTTTTTTTTATTATTAATGGAAAATAGACCTGATTAGAAAGTCAATTTAGTCGGTAACCTTTTTCTCTCGCTCCAGCTTCTCTTGAAAACTGATCCAAAATCAAAGATCTCAAAAATAATAGAAGCGAGGCTGAAATTTTGGAATTTCGAACTGTTCGCAGAGTTTTCTGTTTTCCCTATCAAAGTTCTCGAAATCAGAATTAGGTCCTGTTTGAATCGATTCATCAGTTCTCGTTTTTGCGTTTTTCGTTGTGCTGGTGGTAAGTGTCGTGCTGTGCCTTTCTCTTCTTGGTTGTGCATCAAACTCAATATTTTCTCTTTTTCTTCATTTTGACGTTTCAGTGGAACCCGTGGTCGACGAACCTCCACGGCCCGTCGTCCAGGAACCTTCTCCGAGCGCTGCCGCTGAAGTCGAAATGGTAAGAAGTTTAGGGAGTTCGAACGAAAATCAGATATTTAAAAACATTGAAATCGAATCTAGAGTTTTTATGAGTTATCAGCATCTTCAACACTAAAAAAGACAATATCATAAGATTATAAAATCAAGTTTGGTCAGTTTTTCAACTCGAATTTATTCAATTCTTCAACTTGAAGGCCCAAGAAGATAACTCCAACGCTCTGATGGAAGACGACGAGGCCTCTGACGTAGATGAAGACGAGATGAGCATGGACGAGATGACGTCAGAAGTCTCGACTGTGAATCCGCCGTCGAGAGCTGAAGAGACGTTGCCCGTCGATTCGCCAGTCGAAAAGTCCTTGGCCGAGAAGGAAAAGCGCATTCATGCGCAGCTGGTGCGTTAGAAAGTTTGAATATTATGTTCATTTTTGATCAATCAGTCGATCAATCAATTAAACAGAATTATAAGGAACAAAGCGATGCAATGAACCTTTGAGAACAATAAAAAAATAAGATTATTGGTACAAAAGTAAGATTTGATACGTTTCAATGGACTAGAGTACTTTGAAAGAAACTTATGGATAATTTTTCAACCATAGGTAAAAAGTTTTAGTCAGGTTCCTGTTTAAAAACGCCAAAATGTTTTTTTAAAAAAACTATTTGCTTTTTCAATTGGTCATTGAAATGATATTTTGAAGTCTGGTCTCATAATCACGTCAGTTTTGTTTTTTTTTTTTCTGGAAAGTGGTATCAAAACGATCTTTTTCTTGTAAGAATTTGTTTAGCTCGCCTGTATAGTGTTTTATGAGGCCTAAAAAGGCTTGAAAAAAAAATTAGAATTATTCGAGAAGTTTCCGAAAAAAGTAGAAGCCCATGATTTTTATGAAAAAGTTTTTTTTTGAGGTTTTCACTTAAGCTGTGATGATTTTTGAAAATATACTGTCAAATTTCCGATGATTTTGAAATTTCTAGGGCTTGGACATGGACTGCGACGATGAGAATGGCAAAAGAATCCTGCCGCTGGGCGATTATATGCTGATCGCTGCTAAGGTTTGTTTAAAAAGAAAAAAAATAAAATTTTATTTTTGTCAGGTAAAAAGAGATAAGGCAGTATTTTTCCATGGTGTGTATCTATAATTTTTTCGTAAAAGGGTTGTGACGTAGTTTTTCAGATTTTTCTGTCAGATGTTTATTTTTGCTTTGAAACGAGGGATCTTGAGAATAATGACATTAGAAACGACTTTGAAAAAATGAATGAAGATGCAAATTTTATTAATTTACGCGTAAAATCTTATAAAATCTGGAAAATTGAAGGCTTAGAGGGCGACCTTTTCAGAAAAAAAAGAGTTATGGAAAGATCTTATTTGTTTCTTTTTCCAGATCCTGGAGACGTTGCTCGCTCAACAGACGGCTTCCGAAATGGCCGAAGACCTAATCCAATCGTCGGGAATCGAGAAACTCCTGGCCCTCTGCCAACTGAGATGCCTGAACACGGAAATCGCGCACAGCTCCTTCTCCCAAAGCGTCGCCAACATCATCAAATCGATCGCCCTTCAGCGGAACATGAACTCGGCCGAGCAGCTGATGAAGTCCGTCATGAACTCGTTCGTCCAGACCATCTCCCCGGTCCTGAAACAACGCGCCTCTCCGACGACCTCCGACGACGCTCCCAGCGCCTCCCTCCTCGTGCATCTCAAGGAAAAGACCATCTTCGACTCCCTCAACAACCTCAACAACATCATGCCCGTCCTGATGACCATCACCAAGTGCACCCTCGGAGGACAGTTCGCCATGGAAATGCGCAACCGCGTCTGGGACACCTGGCTAACGGAAGACGGCAAGAAGCTCTACATGTGGATGCGAAGAGTGCGTTTTTTCTAGAGAATAGCGGAGTTGGGACCATTTAACCCATGAGAAGTTGTAGAAGACATTAGAATACAAAAGAAAAATGAAGAAATCAGTTTGTAGTCTCAATTTCTTTTGAAAAAAATTCAGTTTGGGTGGAAACGGCTCTTGTAGAAAAACTGTGTGGGAAGAAAAAGTGATTAAAAATTGAAAAAAAGAGCGAATTTGACTTGTTTACCATAACCTATTAGTTGGAAAAAAAGGTTGACTTCGGGTTAAAATATTCATGAAATAGAACATTTTTCCTTTTTGCACAATCGGCAATTTTTTTTTTTTTGTCAATTTTTGAAACAAATAATTTCTAAGAGTTCCTATTCGAAATTTTTTTAAATAATACAGACGCCAGAATAAGTAAATTTACAGTCTTCGAATATAATTCTGAATGTGGTTTTTGCCATGTTACTCCCGTTTGAAAACTGTTCGAGAGCTTTTTATCGGAAGTATCACTTCAATATTTTCTGTTTTATACATTATTTTAGAGTTTTTTTGTAATATAAAGAAGATGAGAAAAAAATGTTATGTAACCGAGTATTTTTTCCAGCTTTCTCGCATGTTGACCTGGGAGACGGCGTTGATCCGCGTCGTGAAACCGAGTATCAGAACGACGGCCACGCAAACCGATCCCGGAGAACTCATCACCATCGGAGATCATAATGAAGCGGCTGCCGCAACTGACACCAGCCTCGAACATGCCATGGAGTTTGTCAAATCTCCCTTTCCTTGGGAAAAAGATTTTTCAGCACCACAAACGCCGATAATGAGCCTCTGTACTTCTCGCCGTTGGTCTCCTCGACGCCCAGGGCCAAGAGCATCTCCGACACGACCTCCGTCGCCGCTGAATCCAAATCTCCAGCTTGGATCGCCGCTGGAATCTCTCCGGTATGCGTTGGAATCAACTAGAGGATACAATCAAAAAATAAAAAAATTATTTTTAACGGAGATTTTATACTTTAAATAGATTCTGAGGTTTGATAATGAGAGTGAAACAGTTGATTTTCGAGCGAAAAAATTAACACGAATATTTACGCGAAAAGGGAGAAATTGCGTAAAGAAAATGCTTGTACGTGTTCTGTAGTATTTTTGCTCCAAACTAGCTAAAAATTAAGATTCCATTTTTTCCCCCAGTTTTTCCCCCGTCAAGTGAAAAAAACACCTTTGAAAAACATGACTAAAAAACTTTTTTTGCTCCTGGTTGAACTTTCAAACACAACAAGAAAAAAAAAGTCTTGGAATAAATCGTTTTTTTGAGTTACACTTCAGAAGCTTGAAATAGCGCTTTTTTGTCATTATTTTCTTATTTTGCAAGCTTTGAAGCTTCACAATTCGAGAAAAAAAAAATGCTTTTTCTCTTGTTCTGGAATCTGGAGGTCCTGAAGTACTATTCAGAAAACAATTTCATCAAAAGATCAACTGAGGGCTCAAAAACTTTTTTCAAAGAGAATCGAATCTATTTGCCAATTTTCTCAAACCTCCCTTTCATTATTTGAATTTTCCAGGAAGAAAACGCCTTCTGGATCCAAAATAAGAACGTGGCCGACCTGGTCATCCGCACCGGAAAAACCTTGTCCGACCTTTTGAGCCTGCTCTCCCGATCGATTTTCGGCACTTCCAACCGCCGGACTCGTCGTCAAGGCGACACCACCCAGCCTGTTTTGAGCTCAAATGATCCCGCTAAGTATGAAGAAACGAATATAAACTTTTGAAAAAACCAAAATTTTCTTAGACTCCTCGCCAAGATGATCTTCACCTCGATCTACACCGATCTGAAGTGGCGCAGTCCAACGGGAGCCGGCAATAATCCGATGGAATACGCGAGATTGACCGAATTACTGGCCCAACTGTCGACTTCTTTGTTCGACGACCGCGGAAAGGCCGCCAGCGTCTCGATGATCCAGTGGTTCTACAGCAGTGGATGTCACAAAGCCTTCTACGAACTGTTGAAGGATCGATTGATTCCCGCTTTGGAGAATTCTGAGCTTCAAGGTGCGGGTTTGGACGAGAAAATGGGTGAAAAACCAGAGGGAAATCGTCTCAGAAAGCTTTATGAAATGCTGAAAATGCTCTATGGACTTTTCTTTTAGCGAGAAAAATAATTCAAACTCTGAAATTATTTTTCCAAATCGAGCTTTGAAGGGAAGGTTCAGAAGAGAAATTGAGGGAAAAACATGAAATTTTGGAGTAGAATCGGCTCAAAAATTCTTTAATTTCAAACAAGAAAAAAATAATCTTCATCTTTTCAAGCTCTTAAGGTTTTTTTCAAATATGAGCTTCATAGAATGAAAAATAGACAAGAAAAATGGGAAGAAAAACATTGAAATTTGGGAAAAAAATTTCGAAGAAATTCGGCTCAGAAAGCTTAAAAAATACGGCTTCAGTAGACGTTTTTCGAAAACTAAAATAATATTCATCATTTTAGTCTTTGAAATTCATGTTTTTTTTTCAATCTGATTTGAGGAGAAGACGAGAAAAAAAAGAAATCAGCTCGGAAAGCTTCTAAAAATATGCAGCTCCAGAAGGATTTTTAAAGCAAGGAAAATTGCCTCTCGAACTTTTTTTTCAATGCTGCTTTGAAATGAAGATACAGGAAGATTTCAATTTGTCAAAAAATGTCCCTATTTTTCAGTGTTTTCTGATGCTATTTGAGCTTCAAAGGGCTGATTTGGAGAAAAAATCTGGACTGGAATAGATTTTTTTCAACTCGGAAAAAAGATCAAGCCGTGAAATTGTTTTCAGGAGGCCTCGAAGAAGTTTTGCTGGAATGGTGCCGTTTGGCTGGAAAGCTGGCGAATCGTCAGAACATGCTCGCGGCAACAACTGAAACCGACGCGAGAAGTGCCGGATACCGCCGGAATATGTTCGGAATCAACGGAGAATTCGACGTCAACAAGTACCTGAGCTTGGTGTATTATGTGAGGCCATCGACAAGCGTGAAATCCAATTTCGGAACGGTTCCAGGACCTTTTCAACTCGTTCACTCTGCTCTTCGAGAAGTTGCTCTCGAGCGAATTGGAACTCGCCAATTATCAAAGCATCTGCGAAGTGTCCATTTCCGTCTTCAAGGAGGTTTGCAAGAGAAAGAGATTGAAAAATTGTTCAAGAGAATTCCTTCCTTTTTTCTGGGAAATTTAGAGTATTTTAGTTTTTATGAGCCTGTTTAGTTGATTTTTGAGAAGGAGCTCATTACAAGGGTTATAATTTTTGTAGGGAATAAACCGAAATTTTTGCTAGAAGTTTGGAAAAATTCAGAACTTCAATTGAACTGTAATATGGGAAAATATAAATTAAGAAAGGTTCTAAAAATTCAGAAATAGGACATTTTTGATTCGATATTTTACTAAATTTTCACGCAGAATAAGCTTTTTTTCAGATTTTTTTTATGTGTCTTCGTTTGTTTTTTCAAACCTTCTCATAATCAAAATCTCTCATAAAACCTGTAAAAGATGAATTTTCTCAGTCTTACTATTTAAAAATCGATTTCAATCTTTCTATCAAAATGAAAATTTGATGGAGAAAAAACAAATTGAGTGAGAAGTTCGCTTTTTCCATACTTTCTTCAATTCCACATTCATTTAGGTCGCTCCAAACATGGTGCCGGCCAAAAAACACGTGACGATCGAAGAAAGATCGGCCCCAACGGCTGCGGAGAACAGCGAACAACAGCAACAGCGCCAATGCCTCATCGACATGGGATTCACGGACGATGAAGCCGTCGAGGCTCTCTCCGTCGCCCGCGGAAGCGTCAGCGAAGCGACTGAGATCCTCCTTGCTGTTCGTTTTGTAGAGTGTCACTTGAAAAATGACTAGAAAAAGGAGGAAAGGTTACGAAAATCAAGAAGCGGAGGAAAATTTGAATGGATCTTCCAAGAAATCATGTTTTGTTTGACGAACAAGGGAGCTTTTCGATCTTTAAAAGCCACCCACTTGAAAAACAATGTTTATTTTTCTGAAAGCCTATGAATTTTTTTGTTCTTTTGCTCCTTCACGATAGCTAAGAATATGGTGAAGGTAATCGAAAAAAGTAATTGTAGTATTTCAAGTTTCACGTGATGCAAGGGGAAAAAAGATGAACGCCTTTTTTTGTTAGTTATATCTTGTGCAAACGCAGCGAAACAAGCCTCGGATTATATAATTTTTAAATATTATAAAATAATTATAAAATAATTATTAGGCTTTTTTTCACAAGGCACAGAAGGGTACAGTAGTCTCCTATATTATATATAATCTTAATATAAACAATTTTTTTGAAAAAAATGAGTTTCTCTAAGCCAAGAAGGATCCAGTACTACTGGGTCGCAAAAAGATGATTAAATTTATTTTTTTTATTTATTCAATTTCCAGTCACGAGATTCTGCGGCCGCCGCTTCAAGCCAAGAAGGATCCAGTCGACGTACTTTGCTCGACTTTGGTTTGAATTAATTGATTTGAAACGTGTATTTTCGAGTTTTTCAGTTCGTTCTGCGAATCCGGATGCCACTTTGCCCGACGAAGAAGAAGAAACCGTTGATGCTCCTTTGATTCCGCCACTTCGCGAACTGAGAATTGAGGTGCGGATTCTTGAAAATCACGTCTTTAACTTTTCAGTGTTTATTTTTTGGATGGCTAGAGCATTCCTCTGGAGTAAAGCTTCAAATTTCGAGATTCGTAGAAAATATCGATCGACAAAGTTTGATCTATGATGGTACAGTAAAGCTCGAAAAATTACGAATATTTTAGAACCAAGGTCCTTTCTAGAAATTCTTCTAAAACCTAACGTCTTCACAAGTTCCATTCTTCAGAACGACGTTTCGGTCCACGCGACCTGCGTCCAATTGATGCCCCTCTGCAAACGGCTCATGCAAATCACGCCCGACCTCGTCTATTCCTGCTCCGATTTGATCATCAGCGTCCTTCCTTCCCTGGACAAATCCTGGCGACGTGACCAGCTCATCGGAAAAATACTAACCCAAGAAGTACAGAAAGCGCCACAATTTCCCATCAAATATAAGCTTTTCAGATCATCGACATGACGAAACAAGTGGTCACGACGTCTTCAGAAGACGACATCCGACTTTTGGCGACACGAATCCACTTCGCCTGCCTGCTCTTCGACCACATCGCCGAAGAATACATCGAAATCGTCCACCAGCAGCCGATCATCGGCAACCTTCTGATCCTTGTCGGCGCCGTCGAGGAGAAATTCGAGACGAGCTACTTCCAAATGACGCTCCTCCCACCGATCGTCCTCTGGTTCGACCTCTACGAGAAGAACCGAAGGGCCAGGGATCGTCGCCGCTATCTCGGCCAAAGAACCGGATCAAGCCTCGAATGGTTCTACATGGGCGACGAGGAACGTCTCATCGGGTCGGCGAGGCCCAGGAAATGGATCCAGTACCCGACTCAGTCGCAGAAACTCATCAACAACGCCTTCTTCGCCGGAAAACCCAGTGTCAGCTTCAAGATGAACGGGTTAGTGGAGCGAGAAACGGAAATGCTTTTCCTTGTCTAGAAACAAAGTTCGATGGAAGCTCCAGTTTTCTTTTTAACATAGTCCAAAATTAACTTTGAATAGTTTTTTCGTGTTATTACCAGAAATAAGGACATTTTTTGAAAATTATGATGAACGGGTTAGTGGAGCGAGAAACGGAAATAGTCTTGAGAAAAATTCAACAGAACCTTCTTATTTTTTTCTTTAAATCCAGTCCAGAGTGTAACTGTTCGAATACACTGTAAGTGATTTTTTTCATGACCAGAGAATATTTTTTTGAAAATTTCTAAATCTTGAGGGCAAAGGGAAGGTCTTTTGAATGACAAAAATATTTATTTGAGGTCTTACTTAAAAATATACGTCAAAAAAATCTAGAACAAATGGTAAAAATTCTCAATCAGAGATACTTGAATTTCTTGTTGGAGGCGTCAAAGAAGCCTAGATTATTAAAAAATGTTCATAGCTTTTTTTAATAATCATTTTTTTGGTTAGGCGAAACGGCTGTCTTTAAAAAACTTCAGATAGGCTGAATTTTTCATTTTCGTAAGAAAATTATTGCGTTGAAAGATAGTCAGAATTGAAAATTGTTGTAGGAAAAATGGGTTTTTCCCAAAATTCCTTGGAAATGTTGATAAAACCGTCTTTTTTCTCACCTCTTTCCAGACTATATTTCAGACGTCACAACCGACGCGAGAAGGAAATCGAAATCGACTTCGCCACGATGCGCTTCTACGATCCTTCGTCGTCGTCCATGTCCGACCACTCCAGAAACGGCGTTCGGGCTCAACTTCCCGACAGCGACACGGACAACGATCTCGGCGCCGTCATGGAGCTGGTTCGTTTGAATATTCGAATATTGTCTTAACTAGGGTACCTAGAAAATGGGATACACATATGGTTCCGTCAGATCAATCTTTTTGAAACTCGAAAAAGCTACGTTTTTTTTCTACAGAATGTAATACCCCCACAAATAACAGTCTTTCCAACCCCAAAAAAAGGTTTCAGGAAAGATTCAACCTTTCATAAAATGAATTTGAGGTCAAAAAAAGATCTTTTTTTGGTATCTTTTTCTGACGGAGCTGTGAATAGACAGAGAGTTTTCAAGAAGAATGATTAGAATAAATTTTTAGATTTAAACAAGCCCTCTACGAACAAATTTATAAATATGAGGGAAAAAAATCTCGTTTCTCCACAGTTTCTAACAGTAATCACTTTCAGGAAAAAGCTCCGGCCTGGTCACCAGCGGAAAACGCCCGACTCTTGCAGCTGATGGTGAAAATCCTGAACAAAGGGCGTGATTCATCACGTCGCCGCCCATTCTCTTCTCTCTTTCATCGCTCGTCTCACGAGACACGTCGAAAATGCTCACAATTTCATGAAGGTCATTTTTTGAGCCTAGAAGGGTTTTCTGAAGGATTATCGAAAAATCAACAGTTCTTCATTTTTTGAAACTTTTCCTAGACAATGATAGGGTCAATACAAAAAATAAGGTGACGAAAACGAGATGGTTACAAATAAAAAGTGGTCCCTAGAGAGCAAGAGATTTTTCCCAAACTTTTTTATGACCAGAATTATCCTAAAATATCTTATTTAAATATTCTCGGATGTAGAAAACATACATATTCACCAATTTTCACTTGTTCGAATTTCTCCCTCAGATTTCACACTTCTTAAAAAGTTTTTTTATACATTTTTTTCAGGTTAATAATCGCCTCATACGGAAAAAAATGAACTGATTCTGTGTCACATAACGTGTACTTAATTTCCCAGCCTTTTTTTTCCAAATAATGCATTTTTTTATAAATCAGAAAATACCTGTCTATGGAATAGAATATAAATTAAAGAACTCAAAAAGTTTTGACCAAAAAAAGATTTCTTCACGATTTAGACAGCATTTTTCAATTAAAAAACATTCAAGTATACTTTTTTTCAGATTGGTGGTCTGGCCGCACTGGTTCAGCTGAAGTCTTCTTCCTCGACTTCTACGAAAACTTTGACGTCGATGATCATTCGGAACTGTATTGAAGACGATGCCATGCAGGCTCAGGTGAAAAAAAAAGTAAAAAGAAAACTAAAACAAGGTACCTTCAGATGTTCGAAAAGTGCATCCGATCTGCTTCCTGCACCGCAAACTCTAACTACGGCGAGTTCACTTGGCTCACCACGAACCGGCCCAAAGAGTGGCACGAGACGCTGAGCAAGCTCGCCCCGGTCGCCGCGAGAAATCCCGAAGTTTTCGCCGAAGTGATGGATCGCGTCGTCAAACTCGACAGCGGAAACATGACCCTGATCCCGGCCAAGTCCTCCACGGCCCCTGCGAGCAACGATCGCGTCGTCGAGGTCGTCAACCTGCTCCTGAACGAGACGCTCAACGGAGAATGGTCCACCGAGACGGCCAACCAGAAGAGAATGCTCTCCAGAGCCGCCATGCTCTCCTTGCTCTCCGAACTCGTCAAGTCCTACCCCGGGGTCGCTCTGATCGTCTGCGAGGCCAAGACGTCCTCCGGACAGACCTTCGTCTACTCCTTGCTCGACTCCTACGTCGACTCGGACACGGAGAGGGTACTGATTGTTTTTTATCTTGAGAATAGTTCCTTCGAACTGATATAACTTACAAAAATGACGGAAAGATTAGTATATTGCTTGAGGAAATTTGCTTTTTCGATGTAGTATATGCATACGGCGTTCTGAATTCTAAGAGGGTCTAAAAACATCGTTTTTCTTAAAAAGATTTTTTTTTCTGTGAAGGTGAAACTCTAGTGAAAGCTTGAAGAAGATCGGAACCAAGATTTTTCGAAAATTTCGCTTGATATCAAGCATTTTCTTAATTTTTTGAGCACTGTGCCGTGTAGAAGTTTTTTTCCAGATCAAAAATCGAGTTTGATAATTTCTACTTATGCTAGAACGAAAAAGTTTTTCAAAGGAAATCGAGATTTTTGTGGAAGGTGCAACCGAAAAAAATTGAAAAAAACTCGATTTTTTTGAATTTTTGAATTACAGGGTGACAAATAAATATTGAAACGCGTTTGAAACGTTATAACTTTCTCAAAAGTCAACCAAACACCACCAAACTTGGAACAAATTTTATTCATAGAATAAAGAAACAAAATTCAAGAATAGTTTTCAAAACGTCCTCCTTTAGCTTTGATAACGGCCTTCAGTCTCTTCGGATACGCATCGATCACGGCACGAAAGTAGTCGTCGTCGATTTCGTCCCATTTCTTGATGAGCGCGGTCTTCAGAGCTTTGATACTTGGGTTGTTCTTAGAAGAGACCTTCTCGGTCAGATATATCCACACGGCATAGTCCATCGGGTTGAGGTCGGGCGAGGAAGCAGGCCAATCAGCAGCCGAGATGAACTCGGAAAATTGGCGCGATACCACTCTTGAGTCCCTTTGGCACGATGAGCGGGGACGCCGTCTTGCTGGAAGGTCCATGGTCGGTTTCCGTAGTGAGAATTGGCTCATGGCAACACCCTCAACAAAATCTACTCCCTGTAGTATACTTGGTTCACTTTGACTCCAGGATCCACAAAAATCAGCGGAGTTTTGTCGTCAGCGGTAATTCCGGCAAAAACCATCACGGAAGCCGGATGCGAAGTTTTATTCAGAATTTTTTCTTTTTCACAGGCACTCTGATAGTCAGTAGCGATGATCCAATGATTTTGGCCTCCTTGTTCGCCTCCACAGTGAAGATTTTCTCGTCGGTAAATAGCGTCGTCAGATGCGAGCCATCTTTCGTGCCAGCGAGCAGCTTTCGAGCCTTTTTCATCCGGAATGTCTTGTTTTTTTGATTGAGGAAGGCTCCTTTCTGCATACGGTAGGGAATCATCTTCAGCTTGTCCTTGACAATAGTTCTCATCGATCCTTGACTCATTTCGTATTCTTTTGCCATCTTTCTCACGCTTCTTTCCGGAGTGCGTCTGATTTTCTCTCGAACGGCTTTGACTGCTTCTGGAGTCGTGACGGTGACTGGACGTCCACTTCTTTGCATGTCATCTGAAGTGCCGAGATGCCGATAGCGTTGTGCAGTTCGAAAAACGAGAACACGAGACACTTTCAGCTTTTTAACGATCTCTGAATTCGTCATTCCGTTTTTGACACAATCAATGATTGCGGTAGGGTACGGAGATGGGGCCACCATTACCTGAAAACTGAAAAGTATGAGCTGTAACTTCAAACACATGATAAGTGAGCATGAATGAACGAAATAAACATTCAAAAGACCAGTCCTTTGTGCAAAAAGCAGCGATCAAACAAAAAACGGTTTCAATATTTATTTGTCACCCTGTATAGTTGAAGTATGTGGAAATTTTTTTTAATGAAAATTATTGTCATCAGTTATCGATTATTTTCAGTCAGTGATTTGCGGAAGGAGATTTTCCTCTTTGTCATAAGAATAAGTTGCTGAAAAGTTGAATTCAGGACGTCTCGAACGCCCTGAAATGCCTGCTGACCATCATCGCGACGTGCAATCATTCGCCCAAGGCCCAGGAACTCTTGGTCGCCGAAGTCAAGGCGACGCTCGTGTCTGCTTCTGCGCCGCCACTGGCGTCGGTGAACGACCCGCCACGACCTTCGACGTCTGCTGCGGTCACGGTTCCGGCACAGACGAACTCGCTGCCGACGTGCTCCTGGCAGGAGGCGCCGGCCGGTGCTCAACGAGTTTTGGCCAAGAAGGTCAATAGAAAAGAAAGATTTCTGGTTATTCGTGATGCGAATTGTAGTTATGAGAAAGAAAAAGAAATTGGTTTTCGAATTTTAGAACGAATAGAATTTGGAGTTTCCAAAAGAAAAAAGAGACGGAAAACACTTTGCAAGCCTAGAAACTCGGAAAAATATCAAATTGTTCAGATCTACGAAATCTGCCAGCTGATATCCATGATGTGCGAATCTTGCCCAACTCATTCGTCCAACTCGTCCACAATCAATCGAAATGCTCCCACTAATGTCCCAAGCAATGTTCATTTCCTCCCAAGTAATCCTAAATCATTTGTTTCCTCCAGATCACCAAGTTGTTCAACAAGAAGAAGATCTGCAACGACCTTGTCAAGACGATCAGCTCTCTTCAGTTTTCGAGCAAGGTTAGTTTGGTGACCATTCAAGTTGGAGATTGAGGGACTTTCATTTTTTGCTCAAAAATTGTGGAAACTTTTCAATTTTTGCAGAAGAAGTAGTTCAACACAAAATCTAAGCCGGAAACGGTTTTTTGTGATTTTAAAAAGTTAAAATCTCCAAAACTAGAATTTTGCGACTGTAGCGGCTGTGAGGGATCTTCAGAAAGTTTTTGAGCAGAATTCTAAGTTTCACATAGAAATGACCGCCAACGTTAAGAGCGAAAGATTGGTTTGAATAAAATGATTAAAGGACTCGGCTGAAACGGTGAACCAAGTTCTGAAGACGTTGGACACGTTGATGAAGTCGGCCGGATACACTACGTCGTCCAACGCCGGCGGCACGACCAACGCCGACCGAACGGTTGGACAAATTGAAGTATACAACTTGAGAATGACTCCTTTTTTCCCCTGTGTGGATTGTAGCCTGTAGAGTAGAATAGTGTAGACTAGATAAAGTGGAAAAATAGCTAGAAAATGAGCATGCATGTGCGCTCTAGGGGAAAAATCGGAAAAATTTTGGATCAGTCTTCTTTTTAGCTTGAATTTAACATTTTAGGGGTTGCGTGGGTTAGTTAAAGTACAAAAACTGACATGTAGATGTTCAAAAAGTTTTTACAATTTTCTGCGACTTTCCCTCTGAGCTCACATATAGGCTTTTTTCATCTATTTTTCGTGGAAATAGAAGCATGCCGTTAAAAAAAAAATCTTTCGACCGTCTGGAAGATAATATTCAGGTTGGTGTGACTACTGACACTGAACGACGGAGAAGAACGAGTCGAAGACGAAGATGATGGGGCCAGAGAAAGGTTTTTTGGGTTGGCTGGGCATTTTTCATGTTGACTTTGAAGAAACGATGAGATCAACGTCGAGGACGGCCTTGACCTCTTCAATCGGTCTGAGGCAGATGTTCTGCAATGGGTAAGGCTGGAAATATCATTTAGAAGGCTCTTTGAAGAATACTTCATGAAAAGGGTGAAACCAAACAAGGAATTGTCAAAATTACAGCTTTTTTCGATTTTTTCATTAGATTGGCCTGTTAGAACTGAGCGTTGGCATATCGATCCATATTTCTTTTTCGAAAAAAATTTCTCCGTCTGAATTTTTTTCTGTTGAAGAGCATATTTTTTTAACTGGAAAAATACCATTCAGATCTTTTTTGTACATACCCGGAAATAAAATACAAAAATAGTGCTCAGAAGCATTTTTCAGTTGCCGCCACGAGAAGAAGACGACGTGGAAGGCTCGGAAATCGAAGATTCTTCGGAAGAATCCGGATCCGACGAGACTTTGACCGAAGAAGACGACGAAAACGCGGCGAACAACGACGTCCGCGATGACGCCGCCGAAACCGACAACCCGGAAGTCGACGTCGTCGTCATCGCGGCTCCTGTAGCCGCTGAAGACAACCAGGACGAGGAGATGCGCGAAGAGGACGACAATGTCTGAACTCTGGAAAGATCTGAATGAACTTCCGTTTCCAGGCCGCCAACGCTTCGGATGATGACGACGATGATGACGATGATGATGAGGATGGAGACGACGACGACGAGTCGCAAGATGGACGCGCTGAGGCCGACAATCAGATCGTCGACGACGAAGGGGACATCAACAACCCAGAGCCGGATGTACGGATTTCTAGATTTTTCGGGTGTTTTTGCAAAAAAGATGTTCATGCAGTGAAAAACGCCTTCCTCTTTAGAGATTCAGAACTAAAAAAAATTTCTCATCATAGGCATCAGTTACAAAAAATCTAGAAGATCAACTACCGCTTTTTTTTCTTTTTCCAGTTTTTTCATTAATTTTCAGAATCTTGAATCAACTTCAATTTCAGTAGCTCTACTATAAATTGAATCTTTGGAATTTTTTTCACTATTCTAGGATTTTCCCGCAAAAGAAGTGTGTAAAAGTGTGAAAAAAAAACCCTTTTCATGACCCGTTCGAATTAATTTTCGCGAAATCCAAAATTAGCTCTGAATCTCCAGAATTCAGTTATCTCTTCCACTCTCTGACGGCTATTTTGAATTTCGAGGAACAACTTTGAACACGTCCTGAACTACTAAGCTGAAGCCTTTCTTTTCTGATTTCTAGTTCTTGAAATTTCCAGGAAGACGCGGCTGAAGGCCAGAACCGAGAAGACGAAGACGAGGAGGAGGAAGAAGAGATGGACAGTTACGAAGGCGAAGACTACGACGACGTTCTGGACGCCTACGGGCCCTGAAGGACTTCGCGATTTCGATCGCTTCGATTTGCCTCGTGGCGGTGTTTCTGAAGAACAATGGTCCAACTACTTCCAAATGGTCCAGTATGGAGGGTTCGAAACGAAAAAAAAGTAGAAAAATAATTGGATCGATTTTCAGCCCGAATTTCCGCCGCACCGTCTCCAACAGAACCAACGTCCCCACTCATCCGCTTCTGGCACGACCTCAACCTTTGGAGGAGTCTTCTCGTTAGTTTTCGGCGTTAGATTGAACTGAAAATGACCAGAACTCATATAAAAAATTAACAAGTTTGTAGAGAAACTTTCCGAAATCGAAATTTAGTGGGGATTTGAAAAAGTCTTAATTTACTTCTTTTCTAACTGAATATTTGCAAAAAATCTGAATTTTCTAAATAATGAGAGCTCTGAGAAGCAAAAATGAATGAGAAGCTAGTTTCTGTACATATTTTGAAGGAAAAACCGGAATACTCGATTTTCAGCTGTGTTTTTTCCTGTGAATAGTTTTTCTTTGAACTGAATAGTCGATTGCCGTATTGCAAGTGATATACTAATTTTCTATGTTTGAAACTGATAGTTGTGGTATTTTGGAACTCTTAAATGAGGTGAAAAAAATAAAAAGTTGATTTTTATTGTTTTTTTAAAAAAACATGCAGTCAAGTTCAATCACGATTTTACAACAAAAATTAAATTAGTTTTTGTTTTGGTTAAAAGTTGGTACTTCCGTTTTTCAAAGCTTCATTAATTTCGGAAATAGGAGATTATCCGAAGGTGATATTTTGCTTGTAAAAAAAATTATTTTTGACTATTTTTTTCGAAAAATTTGACCGTAGTTTTCTTTATCGGATCGGTCGGAGTGTGCCCTAAATCACAGATTTCGAAAACGTGAGGAGCGAAAAAAAAAGACGTTTTCTTATTAGTTTTTATCGTCCAACTGTTGAATTTCCAACGAAAAAGGTTAGGAAAACCCATCAAAAGCCAAAAGCACGAAGAAAACATTGCTTAGAACTTTGAATTCAGGAACTCGCGCATACGAACCGTCGAGCTCCATGATCAACCACCCGCCGTCGACGTCACGCCGTCTCCTGGAATACGACGCGGTGCTGCTCTCCGCCCTGGCGCCGAGCGACATCGCCTCCCGACACCACCTCATGGAGTTCCAGAGCCATCTGCCATCGCTGCACCGCCAGAACGCCGTCCGTCGAATCGCCAACAACATCAATTTCGCCGGTTCCAACGAACAGACGGTGGGCCGTGTACGTACGCTTCTCGGCCGTCTGGGCAGCGGAAATGCCCCGATCACCGTCCAACCTAACAGCCGTTCGCTTTTCGCCACAACCGGATTGTTTGGGGTTTCCTCTTGTTGTCACTAACGGGATGTAGCGCGATTCTGCGGGAATACGGATTGTTTACCGGGAAATTTGACAAGGATGTGTGAATATTCACAAGAATTCGCTCAAACACTTCCTGAGAGTCCAAAATTTATTGTTTCGAAAAATTAAAATTTGTTCAAGTTGCCTCTATGAGGTACATCAAGCTCAAGGAGTGTTTGAGTGAATTTTTAGAAAGTTCAAAAATTTCGGTAAAAATTATTATCTTTGTGAGAAAAAAGTACAAAATTCGAAACTATAAGGTTTCCTGAAAATCTTGGAAGTACTGAACGCAAAGTTTTCGTAAAGGTCGAACGGTAGCTCCAAAAACTTCTTTTATGAGAATAACCAAAAAAAAATCAGTATTTCTAAGGTTATCTTGTCGGAAAATTAAGATCAACTGCTTTAAAAAAAGGCTCAAAATTTCCACATAGTATATTTGAAATTGTATCAGTTGATTTATAAAAAAGAACCAATTTTTTTGAGTAAAAATCAGCTTATTTTATCAGCATAGTATTTAAATCTTCGAAAGAAGGGGTCTTTATCCTTGAAGCCTGAATATTTCGACTTTTTTTAGATTTTTAATGTGTATTTTCTCTTCTAAAAATTATACGGACCCGGAAAAACCCAATGAAGTTCCTCACGGCAAATGTTTAAAAAAAGATTCTAAGAATTTTTTTATACGAGCCTCTTTGCCTTTGAACATCTGACTAAATGTTTTCCTGAAATTTTTTTATTTTTACTACTGACTTCGTCTCGCAATCGCGCTACGTCCCACTAACGCATTTTTTATTGCACTTGTCTATTTTTTTCCCTTTTGACCATATGGGTTTCGCCTGCGTGAATAGGTTTTTCTTTGGAGTGAGGGCAGTTGGTGGCAGGTTAGAAATGGAATCTTGAATTTTCAATAACCCTTATAAATTAGATGCTTAGCTTTAATGGCAAATTTTTGACCGTTGGCTTCGAATTTCGTTTTTGAAAAGTTCTAAAGCAAGGTTTTAGCTTATAACAAGCTTGAATATTCATATTTAGCTGCTAGAATAGTTTTCAATGAATCGCCTCATGTTTCCGGGTGTTTTGCTCATTTTGACGTTTTGTCGAGAAAATTGTTTCAATTTTTAGAGCTTTATAGCGGAATTTTGTGGCTTTCTTTGTTTTGATAGAAAGCTTGCACTCCACATCCATCCCTAATAGTCCGTTTCTTAACATTTTACATCTGTTCCCAACTGCCCCGCCCCTTATGGATTCTCTTCTGTTCTGAGCGCATGGCAAGACTTATTTGGTCATCAAAATGCCATTCATTTATTGGTTCGATTTTGTAGGATCCAGTGGATGAAGATCGCAGACATCGGCCGGTCGTCCTCAACACTCCGTCGGCTTTGGATCGACTCACCACTTTTGCCAACACCATGGAGCAGCTCTCCATTCAGTAAGTTATGAACAAAATTGAGCTAGAACTAAAAAAAAGTTTTTTGGAAACGGTCTTGAAACTTGTAAAAAAGAAAATCAGAAACTTACTGGTAGGACCCTTTTTCACAATGTCTTATAGCTCAAAATTTCACATTTTTCGATACTTAATGGCTCCTTGAAAATCTCGAAGAAAAGTTAAGTGAAAAATAGGAATTCTGAAAAAATTGAGTTCCCTTGAATGTGTTATGCTGTAGGTTATTTTATTATAGTGTATATTTTTGAAATTATTTGCCGTAAAGGTCTCGATTTAGAACCTTTTTGTGCAAAATTCTAGCCTTGGAGGAATTTTTGAACTTTTAAGGTAGTTTTTATAGCAACAATGTGTTTCAAAGCTTTTTATCGGTTTTTGAAAAATTCAAGATCAAAGATTGCATGAGCATTTTGGCAAATTTATGAAAAATATAAATCTGCATGCTAAAATGTCCCTTTTTTCAGACAAGGTAATTATTGAGCCATATTCTTCCAGATACGTCGCTATACTCGTGAATACCATCGTCTCGCGAGCAGCTGGAGACTGGGAAGCTCAAAGAGAAGGAAAACAACCAGAAAGCCGTCATCCGCCGATCAACTACCGCTGGAATCGTCCCGAAAGCGTCGTCACGGCGTCTCCGGCCGCCACCAACACCACGACGACCATGTCCGCCTCGACGGCCCCTGCAGCCGGATCTGGCGAAGCAACTCTGACGACGGCCTCCGGCTCCGCGGCCCCCGCTCCAGAAGAAGTCGCAGAGCCCGCTGCAGAGTCCTCGGCTGCTGCAGCTGAACCAGCGCAACCCTACGACGATCCGATGGAAGGCGGAGACGAGACTTCGATGGACGACGCTCCCCTGCCGCATTCCTCCGCCGCAACTGCCGCCTCGTCGGTCGCCGCCGCCGAAGAACTCGACGACGACAACGAAGAAGACGTTATCGCTGCCGGTGCTGGTTTGATCGTCATACCGGGTCAACCTCCGAGAATCATCACTTCTGCAGCTATGGAAGCGGCTCTTGGAGACGAACTCATGCAACGACACCTAGAGGTCCGAGCTCCCCCAGAACCTGTTGTTGATCATGCTGCCGAGTTCCGGCACATCCTTGGAGGTGAATAAAAGTAATATTACTGGAAATTTGAGGTGGAAAAGGATAGGTCGTTGAAAAAATATTATCAGAAGTGTAGTTTAGAGTTATCATTGTTCCTCTAGCCTATAAATCTTTATTTATTGATATGAAGGCTAAAAATAAAAAATTAGCGAACTCCGTAACTTTTATAGAGGCCTCAAAAAACTGATTATTTCGACCGAGATCTGAATAAGATCTTTTTGGAACTTTCAAAATTGAAAAAAAGATGAATCAACCACTTTTTCAATTTTTCAATGCGAAATCTGGAGTCTGATAGATTTTTTTTTTCCATGGAGCACAATTCAAAAACGGAAACTTTGACTTTCAGACATCGAAATTCCTGAAGGCGTCGATCCCGCGTTCTTGGCCGCTCTACCGGCCGAAATGCGTGCCGACGTCATCCGCGACTACCAACGTCAACAAAGAGCCGAACGAGCTGCTCGTCCTCCCGTTGTCGCGGCCGAACCGGCGGCTCCTGCTGCCGCTCCAGCCGACGGTGCTCCAGCTCCAGCTGCGCCCCTCGTCGAAGTTCCCGTCGTTGAGCCGATCAACCCCGAATTCCTGCAGGCTCTGCCGCCAGAGCTCCAAGAGGTCCATCTTCCTCGAATCCATCTACTTATTGATATAAAATGTTCCAGGAAGTCCTCCAACAACACGAACGTGCTGTCCGAGACGCTCAAGAAGCCCAAAGACGTGCGGCGGCTCCGCCAGCTCCAGAACCGGAGATGGACGGCGCGGCTGTGATCGCCTCCCTGCCGGCCAACGAAAGACTCCAAGTTCTGGCCGAAATGGACGAAGCCGAACTTGCTGGACTGCCTCCGGCCATGCAGGAGGAGGCCAGAAGGGCCAGAATCAACCACTTCGATCCCAGTGGAATGCGATTCCAGAGACTCCTTTTCCGAGGACCCACTCGGGCTGGAAGAACTGCCCAAGGTGATTGAGGCGAAAAGTATAATGGCGCAATTGTAGAGAGAATCATTTTGATCCATACATCGGCTGGATCGCACCCAAGGCCGCAGTTTAAGGGAGTATCCCGCACCCCGGGTGGGATCTAGCCGACGTCTGTTTTGATTTTTCTAAAAAAAAAAAAATCGAAAAACCGAAGCTCTTGCCTCTTTGAACAACCCAGCAATCTGTTTTTAAAAAAAAATTTAAAAAGAAACATGAGATAATCTACTGTTTTCAGCCCCGACCGGTCCGGTAGTTGGTCAGAATGCCGGCAACGCCGTCGCCGCCAGTTCGTCGGCCCCTCAAATCCTCGATCGCGACTCCATCATGACCCTCTGCATGCTCTACCTGGCTGACAGCAGCAAAATCGCCTACATTCGTCTCCAAAGAGTCCTCAAGAACGCCTGTTCCAACGCGGCTTCCTGCGATTTCGTCATCTGGTGTCTCTTGGCTCTCCTCGAAAAAGCAGCCGAAGCGAGTTCGGACGACGAAGAGGTGCTTCTGAACCGGAAACCTTGAAAAAATGATCGTTTTTTAAAGATTGTCTCGATTGTTCCGTCTTGGCTAGAGTCGATCACTGTCAGCGGCGTCGGACACAACGAGAAGGCGTTGAGAATCAGCAAGAATGCCAGTAGAGGTGAATAAATGGGTTGGAGAACTGAAGGATGAGAACAAGAAAAAAATGTTAAAAAAATGGTTCTTGGATCGAAAAAAAGTACAGAAATTCTAAAGTCAATTTAAAAACAGAAATTGAATGAGAAAATGACAAAAAAATCGTTAATAATACTAAAAATAAAGTTATTGACTGTCAAAAGAATAGTAAAAAACATAGGACTATAAATTTGATTCAAGAAAGAAATTTTCCCTATCCATCCCCCAATAAATCGGAGAAAAGATTGTTATAAAAATTTCTAAACCTCTTCTTTTTGAAATATAACTTGCTAATCGTGTGAAGAGCCTTATTAGGAAACAAATTTTTTTTATTTGATTTGAGATAAAGTAATTATGAAGTTAGAGAAAAGATTTTGAGAAGTTAATGTGAAATTCTCAAACTTCATGCGTAATTCCACTTAAAACCATCCTTTCAATTTTGAATACCGAAATTTATTCAGTATCGATCAACTCGATGCTCTGCGTGCCGCTCTGTCGGAATATCCTTGATTTGTTGGCCGTCATCGCCAAGGCCTACCCGGGACACTTTTTGCCCTCGAAACTCCGCAAAGACAAGACCGAATTCACTAAACAACTGCCGTCTTACGAGCATTTCTGGCACATGGTTCAGGTTGGTTTTGGTGGGCAATTATTGAAAAATTAGTTTTTGAGTGAGAAAAATGAAATGAAAATGACGCCGCTTATAATTTTTTCCAGAACATGTCGGCCAAAGTTCTGCCGCCGTTGAGAGAGTGCCCGGCCACCGTGCAAATCGAAGAGAGTCCCGTCGCGCAGCTTCTCCTGTACCTCGAAAAGTCGAGCATCGAGAAAACTTCGGTCCTTCAAGATCGCGTCATGAAAGTCGCCAGCACGGTAATCAGAAGAAAATGCAGAATTTTCGAGAAATATCCTCCTCCAGATCTTCCAAACGCTGCCCAACAAGTCCCTGGACCTTCTCGGAATCCCCGAAACTCACACGCCGATGCAGAAACATCTGCGGCTGGTCGTCGAGATCCTCACCAAGGGATCTTGTTCGTCGGAAGGCCTCAGCGATGGATTGTCCGTTTTTTTAGATTGGAATGGAAATATGTGAATAATTAGGTTGCGAGTGGTTTTTTAAAATAATAATTTGGAATTTTTCCTGACCTTTATATGGTGATTTTCATGGTTTAGATGAACTGGTGAGAAAATGAGAATTTTTCCTAGAAAAGTGTTTTTCGAAGAGTTTCAGCTGTTAATCCTTCATTTGGAATCTGGAAAAAAATGATAGCTAAGTTCGGGATTTTTGAGTTTCAAAAATTGCTTTTTATATTTTTTTGCTTTTTCGAAAAACGCTTACTCAATGGTACTTGTCTGCAGGAAGGAGAAAATTTCGAATTTTTCCAGTTGAACATTTAGGAATTTCAGAAAATTCATAATTTTTCTTAAAGTTTTTTTCCTTCTGAAAAATAGTGATTGAAGCAGTTTTTTTGAGGTTGCCAGAGTTATGAAATATTAGAAAATTTAATTTTTATCTCAATTTCTAGTGTTTTTTGTTACGGTATTCCTCTATCTAAAAAAATTTCATAACCAATTTTTCGGTAGCTTCGAGATTTAAACTATTGAATTTTGTTGTAAAGTTGAACTGAATTTTGTCGCAAAACAATTTCATTCCAAAATTCCTGAATTTCATTTGAATATTTTGAAAGCCAGCATTTGGAGACTTTTTTTGAAGTCCCCTTCAAAACCATCGGAAAAGGAAGATTTTTCAGAACTCTGATCGCTGAAGCCATGCGCGGGTTCTCGAGCAGTACGGCTGACATCATCTACGACCATCTATTCTCGGCCGTTGAGTCTCTCGGAAAACAGTTGAAACCACAGGTTCAACAGAGAATTTCTCTGAAATCCCATCAAAAATGCTTCCAGGTGGATCGACTCCTCGTTGAGCTGGAAGAAGCCCAGAAGAAGGAAGACGTTGATCAGCCGACGTCCTCTTCGGCGCCTCCAGTCGTCGTCACTTACTCTTCTCCAGAAGCCTCGCCGCCGTCGCAGTTTTTCGTCGCCGGCGGACGTGTCGTTCGTGGAAGAATGGACGGCGATCAGCTGGTCATCGACGGAGAGCAGAATAATCGACTGGTGAGGATTGGAGGCTCACAGAGACGTGTAGAAAATGAAGTAGAACTTGTAAAGTTTGAATGAAAGTCAGATTTGTTTGAAAATTATTCAAGGAATTCTTGAATAATAGATTATTTATAACAGTTTTCAAAGGGTCAAGTAATTCTTAGAATCCAAGAAGGCATGAAAAAGAAGAAGCTTAGCCGGAAGGAAAGCTTCAAGAGTTTGGATTTGAATTTTTCTGCGACTTGAAGATTGTATTCATAAAAATGATTCTTGAGAGATAGGACCTGAAAAAGTTGAAAAAGTACAGTTTCTTGTCTGCAGATCATGGGCGCCAGCTCGTGCAAGGAGCTCCAACTTCCAGCCGTCAACGTGCTGACGGACAAGTCCGGACCACAATACACGCTTCTCAGCTCTTTGCAGACCCTTGTCAAGGTCCCATCAACCCTCATTCTCCAAAAATCCCGATTTTCCAGGTCCGCAATCACATGAAGCAGATCCGCGACGACAAGAAGAAACGGGAACGCGACGAAAGAGAAGGACGACCGCCAGCGGCCCCAAGGAACCCCGCCCGCGAAGACATGGCGGCCGAGAGGATTTTCAGGGCCCTCGAGGAAGAAGGAATCGACGAGAACGATACCATCGAAGCGGTTAGCGTGCACTTGCACAGAATGGAAGAACGCTTGCGACAGGAGATCACCCGACGCGGCTGGGCCCCCGTCGAGCCGCCTGCTCCAGCTCCAGCCCCGCCTGCTCCGGCTCCAGCCCCAGAAGCTGCCCCAGCTCCTCCCGCAGATGCCGCTCCAGCCCCTCCACCGACCGAAGGCGAAGCCCCACCTGCTGCTCCAGAACCCGAGGAGGAAGAGTTCGTCGAGCCTCGCCTCAGCGAACGACTCGCCGGCTTGGAGAGCCTCTGGGAGTCCCTCTCTGAGTGCCTCCTCCGCCTCGGCCGTGCTTCCGATCCCCACGCCGTCCTCGTCCTTCAACCTGCCGCTGAAGCCTTCTTCTTGGTCCATGCCTCGGCTCAGAAGTCCAAGCCGGATTCTGACAAGAAAACGACGAGTTTGGCTCCGGCTCCTGCCGCCGTCGCTCCATCGACGTCGACGGATACGGCGCCACGTGAAGATCTCGACCCCGACGCGGTCAAACTCATCGCTTTTGCTGGTCTCTTTTATATTCTTTCGTTTTTTTTTCTCATCGATGTTTCGAAATTCTAACCTAGTTTCTGAAATTTGAAGTTGAAAGCTTTTCCTTCTCTAGGGGACCTTTTTTACCCCCGGTTGAACTTTTGATGAAAATTCGTAACTTTTCAGAGAAACACCGTCAAGTACTCAACCAGGCCCTTCGCCAGAACAACGCCGTCCTCTCGACGGGTCCTTTCGCCATTCTCACCCAATACCCGAAGCTCCTCGACTTTGACGTCAAACGCAAGTACTTCCGCAAAGAGCTCGTCAAGATGGAGTCCAACTACCGCCGAAACGACGTCTCCGTCCAAGTCCGCCGCTCGCAGGTCTTCTCCGACTCGTACCGCGAGCTGTTCCGTCTGAGGCCCAGCGACTGGAAGAACCGCTTCTACATCATCTTCCAAGGTCCGCAAATGAATTTTTCTTAGGAAAAGTTTTGAGTTTTTGAGTAAAAAATGCATGTCTTAGAACTTTCTAAAAATTGATTTCGAGATTTCATTTTACCAAAAAAACCTCTAGAATGATCTCTGGAGCGAAATCGTTGAATAGAAATTCATGAATTTCAATTTATCTGAAATTTAATTAAAGTTCCCTCAGTTTCTTTAAAAATCTAACATTCGCTCATTTTCTCAGGCGAAGAAGGACAAGACGCGGGTGGACTGCTCCGCGAATGGTTCTCCGTGATAACCAGAGAGATCTTCAACCCCAACTACGCCCTGTTCATCACGGCTCCCGGCGACATGGTCACCTACATGATCAACAAGGCGTCCTACATCAACCCCGAACATTTGGAGTACTTCAAGGTTTGATTTGTGTGGGGATGGGATGGATACAGGAGGAAAAAGTCACGGGAATTAAGAAATTTTCAGTAGCAGATGTTTTTGATAGAGATTATATGGATTTATTGAGCTTTTTCACTTCGTATAATTGAATGACTGTATAATTTCAAAATTTTTGACTATATTTTTTCTTTTTTGAAAGATCATTTTATTTGAAAAGATGTATTCCCGGAAACTAGATATTGTGATAAAAGAAAGACGCAGAAACTTCGGAGTCCATTTTTTTTTTTATAAGAACGTTTCCATACTATCGATGTTTGGAGGAAAAAAATTTTTTCTTGATTTTTCTCATTTTCGGCCCAATTGAGTTTCTAACCAATTTTTCCTTTCCGAACCTCTCTATTTCGCTATTTTCCAGTTCGTTGGACGGCTCATCGCGAAGTCAGTGTTCGAGCACAAATACCTGGACTGTTACTTCACTCGAGCCTTCTACAAACACATTCTGAACCTCCCGGTTCGCTATCAAGACCTCGAAAGCGAAGACCCCGCCTTCTTCAACAGTCTCGAGTTCATGCTCAAGAACGACATCGACGACCTCAGCCTGGACCTCACTTTCAGCACTGAAGTATGCAGAAATGATATATATTTTCATGATGATGAAATGGTCAGGTGGAAGAATTCGGCGTGAGAAGCGTCCGCGACCTGATTCCCAATGGACGGCAGATCGAGGTGACCGACGCGAACAAGGAGGAGTACGTGAAGCTCGTCTGTCAGATGAAAATGACCGGTTCGTTTTGGGAGAGATTCGGAAGATCTTTGTTGGAAAGGGATATTCGGAGGAAAACTTAAGAGAATGTCAATTGTTAGATTTCTGAATTTGAATTCAGAGAATTGAGGGTATCTCATAGAAAAACTAAAGGAAAAGCTCGTTTTTATAGATTCGCGATATTTGTGTTGAAAAATTTTGTTAGAAATCTAATGAGAAATTGAGAAAATTTGAAGAATTTCATGGAAAAGAGTTCAAAGAAAATGACTCAAGAGATTCCAAAAATAAATTGAGGGAAAGGGAAAAATTCATACAGAAGGAAGCTCATTTAGGATCATTTTTTTCTTCATTTTTTTACATTTTTTTAATTTTATAGAGCTCCCATTGAAGGCTGGTCTCTTTTTAATTTGAGATGTTTATAAGGTTTTTTTAAGTCTTTTAAGCTCTGTTAGCATCAACTCAATTCTTATATTCGAAGAATATAAAAGAGCCTGGAATCGTATCATTTCCGAGTTTAAAAAGGTCAAGAATACACGCTCATTTTGAATTTTTTTTAACTTTTTCAGCTCTCATACAGATTTCATTGATTGAAAAAAGGGTTGTGTAGAAGTTATTCTGTGAATTTTTCAGTGGTGAAGCAAATTTTCAGTACTTTTTAGTCAGCGAATTTCTCAAACACTTTTTCGCAACACATTAAGTTACCTTAAACTCGAGTTTCTAGGATCGATCCGCCAGCAACTCGACGCCTTCCTGACCGGCTTCTACGAGATAATCCCCAAGAACTTGATCTCCATGTTCAACGAACAAGAGCTGGAACTCTTGATCTCTGGCCTTCCCACTGTGGACATCGATGACATGGCTGCGAACACCGAGTACAAGTCCTACAGCAAACAGAGCGTTCAGGTTGTTATTTGAGACTTTATTCAAGAAATAAGCTGGAAACTTGAAAAACCTTAATGAAAATCACTTTAAAAAATGTGTATTTATTTGTCTTTTCAGCTACTTGAACGACTTTCAGAGCGTTCAGGTTAATATTTGAGTTTTCTCAATGATTTTTCAGAATGTTATGAAAGAACTAATACCTGAGAAATCAAAAAATTCGATAAAAATCGATAAAATCGGTCCTTTCACTGATCTCCTTTCAGTTTTCCGTTTTGAGCAAATCGGCTATGAAATTCTATTTTCATGACTTCTGCACCTGAAACTACATTTTTCGAAAATACTTGGATTTAAAAAAAAAAAAGATAGAGACGATGAAGACGTTTCGGAATCTAGAATTTTCGATTTACCTTCAAATTTCAAAAATGTATTTTTTCAGATCCAATGGTTCTGGAGAGCCCTCCGATCGTTCGAGAAAGAAGACAAGGCGAAATTCCTGCAATTCGTCACTGGAACTTCAAAAGTAATCGACTGTTTTCAAAAATGGAAACAAATTTCAATTTTTTCAGGTCCCTCTGCAAGGATTCTCGTCCCTTGAGGGCATGAATGGCGTCCAGAAGTTCAGCATTCACATGGATAGCCGAGGCGGCGACCGTCTTCCAGCGGCGCACACTTGGTTCGTTTTTCGAAAATGCGGTTTAGAAAAAAGTTGGCAGAGATTTAAGAGTACTTTCAAAGAAGTAGTGCTTGTTTTTCGTTGGAAAGAATTAACATAGAAAAACAAATTGTTCTCTATAAAAATTCCCAAAAAAATCTCCAGGAGCATCACTAGAAGCGTGTAAACGCTATTGAAGGAAATTAAAAATGAGTTTTCAGGTTTGATTAGGAGAAAAAAGGTCAAAATTATTTATTCTGCGTGTAATTTTTCACATTTTGAATGTATTCTCCAAGAGAAAATTACCAAAAAAGAGAGTTTCCTTGAGAAAAAATCGTTAAAAGGAGCTAAAAATATTGAATTTGAGCTTGAAACTTGTACTGTCAGAAACAAGAGTTTTCTTCCCAAAAAAACCCCTAGTTTCAGGGCAATGACCTTTATTTAATTCAAATCAAGCTTCAAAATATGAATTTGTTTTATTTTTTCATTTTTCTCGAAGCTTGAGCGACATTTTCAAAAGAAGGTCAGTGAAACTCCATAAAAATGACTGTAAAAAGACTGATCTTTCAATTAAAAAAAGTATAAAAAGAAACATATAGTATAGTTGCTAAATTTTGATGAGTGGACTTTTTCAAATATTCAAAAAAATAATCCGTTTCTTCAGCTTCAACCAACTGGACCTCCCGCAGTACGATTCCTACGAAAAAGCTGCGCCAATCCCTCCTTTTGGCCATCCGAGAATGCACCGAAGGCTTTGGATTCGCCTAAATTTCCCCATTTCTTTTTGTATAAATTTTCCCAAGGAAAGTTCAATCCAATTGCATCAATTCATTATGCGGTGTATTTCGATGGCACTTTTGTTCTCACTCATTTATCCCTCTCTCCTTTTTTTTCGCCCTTTTCGTGCCCTTTTTTCAGTAAATTTTCATCGAAGGGTTTTTTTTCTTCTTTTTTGTACCTTGGCCTTTTTTTTCACGCATATTATTTTGTATGTATTTGAAAATTTCCTTGATTTCGGTCGGAATTTGATCTTCCAGAAACCCCTCTTGAGCTTTTCCTTTTTTCAATTGATTTCGAAATAAATAAGCTTTCGACGACGCAATTCATTGTTCATTGCAATTATTTCGGTAACTTTTTCTCGCCGGTATTTTTTTCCATCCCCTCCAATCAACATGTTGAAACCAAAAAGAAAGAAGCTTTTTTGCATCCTTTTTTCGTGAATTCCTTCTCGATTCCATCACGAATTGAAGTATTTATGGTATGTAACATGCGAATAAATGTTGTTGTATATATACTTTTTTTGTTTTTTTTAGTGGTTGAACGTCGTGAAGCAGTCTTTTTCAAAGTACTTTTTGAAGGAAAATCGTGAAAAATTGAGAAAAAAACACGAAGGAATTTGGATAATTAGGAAGGAATTTATTTTCCTTAAAGAATTTTAGTCAGGAAAAAAAGGATTGAGTCCTTTTTCCTCTTTCTAATCTCATTTTAGGGTTTTTTTCTTGATAATAATGTTTAAAAAAAGGTTTTTAAAAAATCAATTTTGAGGAAAAAAATTTTTTTCACTCAAAAAAATTGAGCTAAATTGTTAACAAAAAAAGTTTATCATTGAAATTTTTTTAATTTAGTTTTTTTGATTTTTTTAAAAGCCTTCAAATTAACCAACAGTTACTTTTTTTCGTTCAAAATAATGGTTCTCGTTTTCTGAAATATTTTAAATTGGAATATTTTTCCTGTTTGACGGTTTTTGAGTAACATTTTCGAGAATAAAATGAATGGAAAGGTTTTTTTCTTTTTTTCTATTGGACGACAAAAAAAGAAAAAAATAAATATATTTCTGTTAATTTTTTTCCTTGTTTCAATGATTTCTCGAATTTAAGGATGAAGCTCGCCTCGCGGGATTTTTTTGAACCGTCTGGCGAATTTTTTTCCGTTTCTGGGGTTCGGACCCGGCAACTTCATTTCGTCGTTTTTTTGCCGACAAAAAAATGGATGTCTCAAAGGATTCCGTTCAGTGCAAAGGTTTATTTTCATAATATCTGAAAGTTTAAATTATTGATCGGAAATTTGAAGAGAATCATGCCAAATTCTATAAAAAAATCGAATATAAAGAGAAGAGATTTTTTTCAGTTTTTTTTTTATTTTTCGAAAAAAATTCTGTTTAAATAAGTTATATTGAAGATAAAAGAGCAAATATTCATTGTTTCATCTTTTTTTTTAACTTCAAGAAAGGGTTTTTGCCCATTTAAAAAAATTATAAAAAAATTCCGACAGTATGCAATTTTCCGTCGGGGGTGCATGCACGGAAAAACATTATATTTGACGACTTTTTTTGGGCGTGGCCTTTTTTTTGTTTTATTAACCAAATTAACAGTAAAATCAGAGATGATCCCAGTAAAAAAAAACCAAAAAATCGTTGAGTATTGTTTTTTTACCATAATTTTTTTCGTTTGTTCTAAGTTTCCAAAGAAGCCGAGAATACTAACTTCAAAATCAAAAAGATAAAATTGAATGGTTCATTTTATGATCTTGCTTTCAATTTTTTTTCCTGGAAATTTTTGAAATGTGTTAGAAAAAAACGGAGAAACCAAACACTTTATCTGAATTGATTTTCTCATTGGAAAATGATTTTACATCTCCGTTCTGGATCCAGATTATCACCGGAACTCCACAGAAGGCTGGCAATTTCTGCGATTTCTTTCGAAACGAAAAAGCCGGTCCCAGCGAAGCCAACTACCAGAGAAGAAGGAGCTTTGGACAGATCGATTCTGGAAGATGTCCTTATCAGGGACAAGAAAAAGCCGACCACTTTTACTGGAAAGGTAAATGATGTTGTGTACCTTCAGATGAAGATTCGTTAGTAAAAATAGATGGTAGGAATTTAAATTATATCCCGTTATAAATGAAAAGTTGGTGGTATGAAAAAAACACCAGCGAAAAATTCAAACGGCGACTTTTTCCAATTTTTTTCATATCGCTAAGGAACTTTCCGACGGCCACCTTTCCGACGAATCTTTTTTTCCGACTTTTTTTCTCTCGATAAACTCTTCGTTTTCAAATCTTCCTATATAAAGTAGGTGGTTGATTCATGATTAAAACACAAAAAAATGGGAAAAAAATGTTTATAGATGTTTTAAAAAAACTGAAAACTATAAGGGAAAAAAGTCGGAAAAGTTTCGTAGGAAAGGTGGCCGTCGGAAAGTTCCATAGCGATACGAAAAAATCGGAAAAGTCGCCGTTTGAATTTTCGCTGGCCTTTTTTTCATACCACCGAAAAGTTATGAAACTAATTGGAAGTGTAGTATTGCGCCTGTAGAATAGCCTGGAAATCCCAGTAGGCCAGAATTTTCCGTTATATTGATATACTTTTTTATATTTTCTCAGGCTGCCGAAGCAGCTTCGAACACGTTCATGTACACGGCGGTTCTTGTCGGCGTCGGCCTGATCGGCGCCTTCATCTACGTCCTCTGCGGCGAGTTCTTCGCCGAGGACAGTCCCCAGACCATCTTCAACAAGTTTCCGCCCACAATAGGGATATTGAACCAACTAAAACGATAATCAGAGCGTTGTCCCTCGTGCGGGACGACGGGCGCTGCCAGGACCTCTTCGGGCCGACGATCGCCGGATACGGGGAGGAGACCTCCCGGGGCCGAAGACGTCACGTCGCCCATCACAAGTACGAGAAAGACGGTCATCAGCGGATCCGCGTCCTTTTCCATGTCAAGGTAGAGATTTAGGGTCTGAATAAAAATAAATCTCAATTCCTGTTCAAAATAATTCACACGATCTTAGGAACTCCAGATATGGGCCCCTCTAGGGACCACTTTACCAACCCTTATTGAGGCCACTAAAGCTTGCAGAAATGGTCCCTAGGGGTTCTAGTTATTAATGGCCCCTGTAGGGAATATTTTAACCGATAATTGTTATAAACTCAATGCGAAGAAGCGTTTCCATGCGAAAAACTGAATAAAGTTAAAAGATCCCTATAGGGACCACTTGAGCGTTAGGGGCTATGGGCCAGACGGGGAACCCCTATAGGAACCACCTTAATTCACCTCTACAGGGGCAGTTTTTTGTCCCCTATAGGGGCTGTTTGTTCCCCTAACCCCTATAGGGACCACTCTGGAATTCCTTATATCAAGAGTTGTCTGACCGATTTTCAAAAAAATCCTCAACCTCAAAGGAAAATAACTTTCCTTTTGAAATTTTTGAAATTTTTGCATCGGAGTGCAGCGTCATGTGGAGCGCCTACCATTACTTTCACACGACTTGTCGATTTTTCAATAATATTTTTCAGGGCGATCGAGACCAAGGAATCGCCCAGGCTGAAATGGAACAACGTGATGGCGAATGGGTTTGGAGGTATCGATTTTTTGATTTTTAGCTTCAAATTATTCTTAAAAGCTCGAATTTAAGAAATAATCAACGAAAATTCAGTTATTACTACGCCTATTCATTAAAAAAGCATTTCGGAAAGAAAATTGGGAGAATCGTTTCACAAAAAAATAGTGTATGATCTTAAAAATCAACCTACTTTTTGTATTTTTATTTTTGTGAAAAATTGTATTTTCTTTTACTGTTTTCCGCCCTAATAATTCTGTCTATTGGTCACTCTTGTTAGGGCACCGTTAGGATGAGTACAAAAATTGGAATTTTTGAAAATTAGTTTTTTTTTTGATCAACCTGAATCTTGACAGGAATGATTTTTGAGCCTTTTTATTGTTTTTAATTTTTTTTTTGAAGCAACTCTGTAGTGAATTTTCATTGATACAATTTTTTTAAATTTAATATTTATTTTTTTCCAGATTCCTCTACGTGGAAACGAAAGCCCGGCCGAAAACCACCCATGTTCTCATCGATAATCGATAATTTTCCTCTTTTTTCTCTTTTTGCTTATATTTTATAGTGTTGAAATAGTCATTTTCCTAGATCCTGTGAAAAAAAAATAGTTCCCAGTGCATTTTTCTGTCGCTCATGTTATAGGCCAACTATTTTCCGTTTTCAACCAGGTTTTTTAAACGTGTTGAGTACCGTTATTTCCTTATTTTGTTGATTTCCTAGCCTCAGATTCCTTAATTTTTCAAATTTTGCCTTTTTTATGTGAGAATTTTATTTGTTAAATGCTTTTGTGCGAAATGAGCTTTCTATAAACTTTCGAAAATATTGATTGATGAAAGGAAGAGGTTTCATACCTAATTAACATCTTTATATATCGTTTTCTGTGATTATTTGAAAAAAAGCGGTTTTTAGCTTTCGATGGAAGAGGATGGCTTCAAATTGGTGGCCACGAAAAGGGCCAGAAAAGCCAAGGTTTTTTTGAAATTCTTTTCAGATCTTTCATTAAAAAACCGGGTCTTTCAGAAAAAAAAAATGCAGGGAACGTTTGAATTTACAGTAGTTCATTAACCACCGCCTCATTAAAAAACTGCCAAACTTCCAAAAAGGCTTTTGAAACGATTAGGGAAACATTGTGCAAAAACTGGAGATTCAGAGAAAAATTTAGTTTTTCGCGAGTTGGGAGTGATGAATAGAGTATCAGCTGCTTCACGGCTCGCTTGAGGACGCTAAGGGGCGTGGCCTGTCTGCGCTCTCCACGAGCCAGGCGCTATCTCGTGCATTATCGTGTCAGGACCCTTTTTTTCGATGACTCAAGCCAGCCGTGAATCAGATATACAAAAAAATTTTTTTGATATCAACGATGTTTTCTCTATGAAAGGCCTGAGAAAATGGGCTTTAACCTTCTCGGAAACATTTCTTAATAAAAATTTTTCCCCTCCAGAAACTTTTGAAAATCTTCAGACGATCAACGGAAATTCAAAGCAGCCAATAATCTTGCAAGGAACTCTGGAAGACGTTGAAAAGGCGATGAAAAGAACGAAAGAAGCTTGGGAAAAATGTCAGTTTAGGTAAATGGATAATTTATTATAAGATTTGTTTCGAAGTTGTACATCGTTAATGCCGTGTTCAATTTGATTCCGCGAAATGCAAAATGATCTCTGACTCTCCAAAATTTAGTGATCTTTTCCCTTTCTCTAACGGGTATTTTGCATTTCGCGGAATCAAAGTTGAACACGACATAAAAACGTGATTCCTTGTAACATTGGTTCTGATTTTCAGCAAAAGATTCCTGGAAATCATTTCCCATAACGTCTTATTAGACGGGAAACTCAAGCTAACGGCGGTTTATGCCATCGGAAATGGAAATTTCGACAATTTCTACCGGGCCGGATCTCATCAACTGACCGCCTGTGTTGCTGTTGCCGAGAAATTCAGGGAGTTCCGCTCATTTTCCAGGTTTTATCTTCAATATTCATATTTTTGAAGGTCTCGTTATAAATAATAATCTTTTTTTAATGATGAGTTTGAACTGAATACGTGGAATAGAAGACCTCATAGCCGAATCACGGCTAACTTGGAACGCCGAGAGGCGTGGCGTGTCTGCGCTCTCCACTAACCAGGCACTATCTCTTTTATTATCGTGTCAGGACCCTTTTTTTGATGTCTCAAGCCAGCCGTTTAAAATTGTCTTTTTTTCGTGTAAAATGATTATAGTTCATTCCGCGGCAGCTTGTCGCGGTTTTTTTTTCTCTCCGAGCGACAGAACTCTTCCCTCAAATTGGCTCTCTGCATGCGCCTTTAATTTAGCCGAGAATTTTCATTTTATTAAAGGCGCATGCGCAGAAACAGACCACGCGCATCGAACGGAAGAGTTCTGTAGCTCTTACGATTCTCTTACGACAAATTAATCCATTTTCGGAAAAAATTGGGGGGTTCTTTTTTTCGAAACACAACATGATCACTAATTTAAAAAGCTTAGGATCCAAGTGCCCAAAAATTCAAAAAAATATCAAAAGTTTTCTTTTCTAAAAAAAGGACATAATAAATCGAAAATTTTGAATTCGCGCTTGAAAGCTGCCATCGTTGTAGGTACCAGTATATTGAAAATTCCCGAAATACGAATTTCAAACAAAAGAAGCGTCAATTTTGAAATCGGTGAAGTGACTTTGAATACGACGTTATTTTCTTTCAGTTATTTTCGGAAAAAAAAAGAACTCTTTAAGAGGCCCCTGTACAGCTTTTCCAGTAATATATTGCACCAACGCTGCTAATTCCAAAATCAAGGACCCAACACTGACGGAACCTGAGAGGGAATGGCTCACCGCACGAGGTTACGGTATCCGCGACCGACTCGACACTGAAATCGACTTTTCAACGTTGAATCCTGGAGAAATCGCTCTGGTTGTGATGATTCATGGTGGGTCAGAAATGGGAATTTGGAGTTTCGAAGCATTTTTGTGCAACTTTGTGAGTCATTTTGATAGAATTTTTCTTAAGTTTTAGGGATCATTTCAGGAAAACCTCCCTCCTTCGGACGTGGGGGATCGGATGCGGAGCTATTCTGGAATTTCCCCGAAGTTCATCCTTTTTCATCTATAAGGGAAATGTTAGTAGGGTTTTCCAGAGAGACCGAAAATATTCAGAAATTCAGGGTTAAAGTAAATATTTTTCTGAGTTCTCGTAAAAAAATTTATTCGAATTTCAGCTCCCCACGAGATCCGAGCCGAATTGTTGAGTTTCAACTGGAGCAGAGAAGCTCTGTCGAAAAATCGCTCTTGTCGGGAATTTCTACTCGGATGAGATGAATCTCATTTTTGAAAGGGTTTGTTTTGAAAAAAGAAGAAAATCTTTGGAAAAGGAGTTGATAGAAATTAATGCCAAAAAAAAAAGAGTACCATGAATTTTTAAATGATCCTTAATATCATTTTTAAAAAGTTTACTTGCTTCAAAAAGATGGCCATAGTAGATTATTCATCTTCTCATGTCCTAATTCGTCTCTCCGACAATCTGGGAAATTTTTAAGTGGCCACTATAGAGGCTCGCCAAGGACTACTTGGAGAAGACACTAACAGTAGTTTTTCATCCAGCATTCCTTCCAGTAACTCTGATAATTTTAAAACAAACAGACAGTTATGTTAATTTATTGACCCCTAAAGTGGCCAATTAAATTTTTAGTGGTTCACTAGTAGCACTTAGACCTCTATAGTGGCAACTAATTCTCAACCCCTTAAGTGGCCACTAACAATTTTCCAAGATATTTGTGAAAAATCCACAAAATTTTCAAGCCCTATTGCAGGACGGGACAACAATAAAACCCTTGGATCTTCAACGGATGTTCGATTTTTCAAAGTTTTCAACGACCATCCCGATTCCCAGTGAACTATATGAAACTGATAAGACCGCCTTTGCTGGGACTGTAATTGCTTTAGTTAGAAGCGATGATTTGAGTGTTTTCAGTGATTTAGGAGTGGAAATAGGTTGAAATAATGACGTTTCGTAGGAAAAATAGGTAATTTCAGGTTCACTTTGATTTTTTTGTGCGTGGAATTAATGCTAGAACTGATCGTTTCTGATTTTTCTGTAAAGACAAAAAATATTTTTTTCAAAATTCAAGCCCTTTTGGGAGGCACTCCGAGAATCGTTATGAAGGTTGATTATTAGATTTATGAATTTGAAAGTTCTTGAATTTTATTAGGAAAATTTTTATTTTTTTTTCACGATAAAAAGTTATTAAATTCATCTCAAATTGAACTCCAAAAATCGCCCAAAAGCACTGAGCCATTCCAAATGCGACCAATTCTCACGATTGTTGTCATTTCTTGTACATTTTTTTGTTGAATTTTTCCCACTTCAGGTTTAAAAAAAGACAGATATATTTATTAATTAGCCATATTGAAATGAAAGTTTCGATGATTTTGTTGAACAATTTTAATCCCCATCGACAAGTTTTTTTGAGAGGCCTCAATGGCAAGTTTCCCGGCTGCTGTCCTGAAAAAAGGTTTTTTTTCAAATTTCAGTTATATTCAAAAAAATTTCATTGACAATTTTGATTTAATGAAAAAAATATTTTTTTCAAACGAAATTGTGACTTTTTTTGAAGGCCAGGGTCTCAAAAAAATGGAGAAAGCAGAGGCTTTAGAGAAATAGAGCACTCTAGTTTCTCTGGCGTCTCTTCAGGCGTCGCCTATCTATCTCGCTTTTCCGCAGGTAGACTAGGAACCGCGACGCGACCGCCGCGCAGCCGACGAAACTCACTTCATGAAGCCCAACAAAAAACGGTTTGGGCTGTTTTGAAGCGTACGGCGGCGAGCGCGTGAACCATAAACCGCCTGAACTTGTTTCCAATCATTTTTCAAGTCAATCATTCATTTTTACGTTCAACTTCGACTGGTGTTGTGTCCTGAACGTGATGGAACCACTCAAACTCCTCAATTTTGCATTTTAAACTGTTTTTCCTCTAGAAAGTTACAATGTAAAAGGCGAGGGCCAACATGTTGAGCTTCGTGGCGACGCCGAGCCCTTGCAAAACTAAGATGTGCAGGCTTTAAGTTACTGTAAGCCTGGCATGACTTACAGGAGCAACCGAAAGTCGTTTGCGTCGTGAAGGGATACTTGCCCAGTGTGGAGACTTTCCGGTGGATCTCGCCGACGAAATTGTGCCTCGGATCGGTCACCTGAATGTGTGGGTTAGATGTGCAGGTGGATGCTCAGGGAATGGTTTCAACGGGTTGCGGCTACAGAGAGCTAGATGGAACTGCAACGCGACCGCAACGCACTGTTACTGTAGTGAGACCTCGAACCGCGAAACGGCGTCACAGTAACGAGCAGTCAAGATGACGTCACCATGGTCGGCTCGAACTGATATTCGCCTCGCCGGGGAGCACCAGAACTCGGGGCTGCTCGTGATGACGCCGGACTCCAATATGACGTCATAATACACTTTGCTATGACGTCATCTTACCAGCGCTTTTGGCGGATGATACACGAAAAGCTGATCCGAAGGGCCGTAACAGGGCGCTCTCCATTGGGGCTTTATAACTCGGTCGAGAGTCGCGATTTGCTGAATATTCTAGGTTTTTTTTTCGATTTTTCCACCGAACCTTTCTCTTTGAGTCGAAAATTGACAAGGAAAATGGTAGGCCCTGGCCTTTTGTCTCGTTTTCCGCGTTGTCGACCACTTGTAATATCTGGGAATTGGATTTTAAATTACAAATGGAGCTTTCGAATTGATCGTAAGATTATTCAGGTAGAAACTGAATTTAAGTTCAAACGAATAATTAAAATGGAAGTCGTTATTATCAAAAATCTGAAAAAGGTTTATTTTACGAACCATTCGATCTTGCGGATCTTTAACGATGTAAGCAAACCGTGGCGATTCTTCATTTTTATCATCCGTTATTTGGTTTTCCTGTAAATCAATCACCAAGATTATTTTTGAACAAATGATAAAACCTTTGAAATGTTTAGTAAAGTGATATTACTTAAAATTTCCAAGCCATGGAAGTCAAAAGGCAACATCGGCTTAAAATTAGTTGAAACTTTTCCTTTTTGATTCAAATACCTGAACATTGTTATACGAAGAATTGGATCCTTCCGACTCGTTCATTCACTTGCTCGAACCATATAATGAAATGAAGAGCATAGAAAAAGCAGGTTACGTATTTTTATGACATTTTTTTCTACAAATAAATGATAAAATGATTCATTTACTACAAGAAAAAGAGGATTTGAAAAAATTTCTAATTTTTTTTTGTTCCGATCGCAACTATTAACAAGCTAATTATTGTAATAAAGTTTTGAAATGACTGTTCCAAAACTCCTCTTTAACCAGGGAACGTTTTTTACCCCCCGGTTGAACTTTTGCTGAAACTTTGCTAAAGTGTACTTTAGGACCCTCTGATTGCAGATCAAGAAAAAAATTTCTCGCAATAGATCTTGTTTCCGAGTTATGGAGCTTCAAAGTGTGCGAAATACGCAAATTAAGCCAAAAAAGCGCTATTTCGGGCTTTTGAAGTGTCCTAACTCGAAAACGAGATCTATTGCGAGAAATTTTCTTTCTGTTCTGGAATCAGGGGGTCCTAAAGTACACTTCAGCAAAGTTTCAGCAAAAGTTCAACCGGGGGGTAAAAAACGTTCCCTAGTAATCTAAATTTTCGCTTAAAAAAAAAGGGAAAACTAAAAACTGTAGATGCATTTTCTCTTCGTTACAATACCTATTCCCAAAGTTTTGAACGCTCCTTTTTGCATTTTTTCGATTTCAATATCTCTTACAAAATGCGATCGCTTTTTTGTGCACAAGGCAATTTCAGCACGTTTTCTTATAATTTCAACTTGTTTTGAATTTTTTTTTTCCTCTTCGAACCTCAATACTCTCCCAATCAGTGATAGAAGCGTGGCGCTTTGATAAAATTTAGTTCGAACAAGAGAATTTTCGAGAAAAAACTAAAGTTTTACAAAAACCAAGATAAAAATTGACTCTTCCGGAAAGTTCAGCGTTTTCAAAAGATTTTTTTTTCAAAATAAAGTATTTATAACGTAACAAAAAAACACGAACACGGAAATGGGTAAAAATAAGATGCATGACAAATAAAAATAATATGAGCAGGATAACAAATTTGAGCTGAGCTCCATTTTTTAACGAAGAACAAGAAATCAAAGAGTAGGGAAGCTTAAGTTAACAGAAATGTTGCAGTTGAGGTTGAACATCCTTTCCAGAAGCGACGCCTTTTCCTCATGGCCCAAGGTCGACCAAACGGGGCTGTCGCGGACCGCAAAAATCTTCTCAGCCGTATCGAATGATTCAAGGATAAATCCCTCAAAAATACAACTTGAAAAAATTTTTTTTTCGGTAGAACCTGAAGATCAGGGAGCTCGTAGAAAACAGCCCAACGGAGCAGTCCGTTTCTATCCATTGCTGCAGCTTCCGGAGAACGCAAGAAGCAATCGCATTTGATCAAAACCGAGGGAATCCCGTAGAGCTTGCCGAGTTTCAACAAAGTTTCCACGTTCGATTCTCAAATACACCTTTTCGTGATGAAAGGATTGTTAGGGAATTTTATTATAGGAGAATATCTTTTCGAAACCAAACGAGTCAGTTGTAATGCCGCGTTCAAATCTATACTTCGGTAATCCAGAGTGGTCCCTATAGGTTTTAAAGTTAAAAACAGCCCCCATAGGTAGGGTCCGCAAGCCATTTCTTCAAAACGATCCAAAAAATATGCTTTTTACACTGTTCGATAGAGGAGACTGTCCATTTTCATAATCCGTTTAGTTTTTGAAAAAAGCTCCACTAAGAAAAAAGTTATGGCCAAAAAACGAGCGCCCGCGGCGTACAACTGGAGGCAAAATCTCACGGTTTACCCGCTGCCGCACGCTTTCTTTTTAAATGTTTTTGCGCATTTCTGAACCGTTTTCGAATCGGTTTTCTGTTCTGAGAGGTTGTCCGAACTGAGCTTAACGTTTTGGCATAAATCTTTTGTACAATCCTCATAAGAATTTTTGATAAAATATCAAAAAAACTATTTAGAAAAAAGGTCAGAAGGAATTTTCAGCTTTATTCTCTTTTTTCTAATCAGAAAAATTATTATCATTTGGTTTGGAAAAAGAAAAAATGAAAAATAATGTTATTTCGAAATAAAACAGGAAAATGTGTAATTTGACTCCAAAAAACGGCTCCTGCAACATTTAAAAGTGCGAATCGGTGTGTTTGACGCAAACACAGCTACGAACGCTTGCACGAATTCTTCCAAAATTTCAAAAAAAATTGCCATTTTTTCGAGGTTTTCGAAGCCGTTATTTTTTTCGCGTCGTTTGATTTTTTTCATAATTTTTTCATTGATAGAGTTTTGAACGCTCAATAACATAATCAAAAAGTATAGACGCGATCCTATTCTCTCATGCGTCAACGAGGCAGACGAAAAAAATGGAGGTTTTGGTAAAATCCAAATATAATTTGATTCACTGTCCCAATAATTATTTGGAATTTTTGTTTGTGAGCACATTGTGAGTTTTTAAATCAAATAAAAAGTATACCATGTCGCTGAAATTTTTTCGCATTTCAGCTTCAAAGTTTGGTGTCACTTTACAAGCTTCGATTTTTTTTTCGCGTCGTTAGATTTTTTTAAATTTTTATTCAAAAAATAAAGGAAGTGTTAATGTATAACATACTTAAAGTTTAGAAGCGTTCCTCACTTGGTTTTCAGAAACGCGACGATTTTGTGAAACTTGTCAGTTTTTTTCGTGTTAAATCTTACTTTTTCGCTTATTTTTGAAAAATACATAGGTTAAAAGTTTTTCAGCCCTGTAGAGCGTTGTCGATTACATAGATTAACAGAGACAGTTTATTTTTAAAGTGGAACTTTAGCCAGTATAAACGCCTCAAAACCGTTTTTGCAACAAAAAAATCGTCATTTTGGTGGCGTGAAGGGGCGGGGCTTTGCGCCCCCTACCCATAGGGGTAAAATCAAGGTTGTTCCTATGGGGTTTCGGATCTGACCCCTTTACCCATAAGCTCAAGTGGTCCCTAAAGGGATCTTTCAATTTCATTCAAAAAACGCTTAAACCTCCTAGAGTGGTCCATATGGGGAAAACGCCAAAAAAAACCTTATTTATGAAAATACTTCTTCGCAAAAGGCTTCATAAAATTTTTCGACTAGCCTAAGAGGCAGGAAAAAAGACAGGACGCGTAGCGTGTGCGTACGCGGTTCTCGGCACGAGTTCAATTCAACCGCAGCGTGATTGGTCGGCTCCGCCCATTCGATAAGACAAATTTGAATATAAAAATAACTGTTCCGCTGCGCACGGCGTTTCAAAACGGTTGAGGCGCGTGGCCTATGTCGCGTGAATCTACGCGAGTCTCGCGGCTCCGACTGTGAATTTATATCGTTAATCTGATAAATGACGTTTTTCAAGTTTTTTCGACTCGAGAATCCTTTCTACATGATTCATTCAGCAACAGAATAGTTCCTTCATACGCTTGTATATTTTTAACGCGTAAAAACTTTCGTTTTATTTTTTTGCGACAATTGAGAAAATACGGAGCTGCGCGAGTCAAACTAGCTTTGAACGTGGCACAAAAAAAAACACAGAAAAATTCAGAAAATCTCTGATTCCACTCTCACCATTGATCTTCAGCGGGGTCGGATACACCGCCTGAAGAAGTGTGCTCATTTCGTCGTAAGAAACGTTTTCCAACTCAACGGTTTGCTCTTCTTTGGTTGCGGTCAACATGCCGTAGAAGTAAGACGAGAAAACTCTCATAATCTTCAAAAATCAAAAATTATTGATTACTGGAGATTTCAACCGCTTTGTTGGCGTAGAGCCGCTTTCCCTCAACGATTATTTTGAGGTCTGAATCGGGGCTATTTTCCGTGAATTCGAAAGGTGAGTTCTTGTTCAAAGTTCTGAAGGATTTTGAAACAGTCCAGCTAAGAAAATTTTGTTACCTCAAATTAGACGTGGAAAATACTTCGATTTCGACGACAGCTTTTGCGCTCGAAGCAGAGCAATCGGCAACATGTCATCATCATCATTTATTCAATACGAATAATAATACAGTTCAAGGGCCGAAAAGACCTCTAACAGAACCAATTTTTAAAAAGGGAAATTTAAACATTGAAAAACAGCAACAAACCGTTTAAAAGTTAGAAGATATTTTAAGAAAGTCAGCGAGAAGATGAGGGTTGTTTTCTAAATAGATTTTGAATCGCATAGAATCATTACATAGATCAAATACAACATCGGGAAGGGAGTTCCAAACATTAATTATTCTGATACTAAAAAACGAGGCAACGATGTTACTATTATGTCTTATATTTGAACGTAAATAATAGCGATGGCGACGCAGCGCACGGACACGGGGGAAAAAGAAGAGACTATCGAAATCAATGGGGACTTCTCTAAGTACAATTTTATAAACAAGAGACATGTCAAAGATGAGGCGTCTTGTCTCAAGAGTTTTGAGACTATTTTCAGATAAACAAGTGAAATAAGAGTGGTAGGGCAAGCCGCAACGATGGTAAGCTCGGAAAAAGGAAACTTTTTCTGAACACCTTCAATCAAACAAATATTGTGAGAGTCAATTGGAGCATAGACTACAGAACAATAATCAATAATAGGACGAATATACACTTCAAAGCATTTTTAAATACAATGAAAGCTCAGTGGATCGAAACACGTTAAACATAACATTTATGCGACATTTACACCGTCTGCAGATTTCAGATATATGATCATTGAACTTAAGGTTATTTGAGAAAGCTACACCAAGATCTCGAACTGAAAGTTTAGGCTGTAAAGCCATGTTTGAAATTTTATAAGAAATATTTGAAAATGAAAATTTTTGAAACAAACTTTTATTCTAAAAATACCAAAGCGGAATCCATGGGTTGATGCTCGGTACCTCTCAAGGTGAGCTGAAGAGGTTTCTTGCTCGAATTGAAAATCGATCGTTCCTGCGAAAATGAGTGATAAGGCATTTGCTCATCGGGCCTAACTCTACTATATACACTGCGTTCAATAAGGATAGGACCCCCCTCGATTTTGGACTTACTGGCAAAATACGGAAAGATATCAAAAATCTGTGAGTGCCATTCGATTCAGAGTACAAAATAACCCCCAGAGCCAAACTTTCATTATCGTAGAACTTTTCCTACGAAAATGCCATCGAAAAAACGGTTTTTTGACCGTTCAATAAGGATAGGACCACCTGGAAATTTTGACTTTCATTGGTAGTTTTTGGTCAATTTCTCTTTTTGATGAGTGGTTTTTTTGTTTATATATTATTTGTTTCCAAGTTTTCTACGGTTTTCCTTTCGTATCTTCCAGGTTTAAAAAATATTTTATATCGAAAATAGGGAAAAATGACGTTTTTTGAGCTTGCATCAAGATATTTCAGCGAGTGATTTTTTCCAGTACTTTGAATGAACTTATCTTATTAATAGAGACATTTTAAACATTCAAAAAAACAAAAAGAAGTTTGTGAAACATTAGTTTAAAAGTTAGAAAACCAGTTACAAGATGGTGTATCATGACCGAATTTCAGACTATCGTCGTTTTCGACCGTTTTTCTTTCTGTACGTAGTCGGAATGGCGGTGTACTTTTTTTAAAGGATTTGTGAAGGTGCTCCCATCACAAAAAGACATTTAGTTGGATTGGATAAAAAATATCGATCTTCGGAAATCGAAGGGATAAACACCCTTCCGACTGCTACTCGAACTTTTTGCGGTACATGTAAATAAATCATATAAAAAGTTTTAATTCTAATGAAAATTGTTTTATTGCACGTTTTTATTTTTGTTTTATTTAGTTGACAAACTAAAAACCCGCCAAACGCTCTATTTGAAACAATACCTTCGATGAGCGCGAGTAACAATTTCTCCGCACATTTTCTCGGCATTGTACGTAGTAAATGAAATTTTTTTAGATTATCTTGTTGATGAATTATGTTCATAGCACCTTCGCGAGTTCTCAAAAAAAAAGTACACCGCCATTCCGACTACGTACAGAAAGAAAAACGGGCGAAAACGACGACAGTCTGAAATTCGGTCATGATACACCATCTTGTAACTGGTATTCTAACTTTTAAACTAATGTTTCACAAACTTCTTTTTGTTTTTTTGAATGTTAAAATGTCTCTATTAATAAGATAAGTTCATTCAAAGTACTGGAAAAAATCACTCGCTCAAATATCTTGATGCAAGCTCAAAAAACGTCATCCCTATTTTCGATATAAAATATTTTTTAAACCTGGAAGATACGAAAGGAAAACCGTAGAAAACTTGGAAACAAATAATATAAAAACAAAAAAACCGCTCATCAAAAAGAGAAATTGACCAAAAACTACCAATGAAAGTCAAAATTTCCAGGTGGTCCTATCCTTATTGAACGGTCAAAAAACCGTTTTTTCGATGGCATTTTCGTAGGAAAAGTGCTAGGATAATGAAAGTTTGGCTCTGGGGGTTATTTTGTACTCTGAATCGAATGGCACTCACAGATTTTTGATATCTTTCCGTATTTTGCCAGAAAGTCCAAAATCGAGGGGGGTCCTATCCTTATTGAACGCAGTGTATAAAAAAAAACTGTACTGGCCATAAAAGTTGTTCAGTAGTCTTGAAACTTCACACAGATTTCAAATAACTGTGCAAAAACTGAATCCCATGCGTAAAACCTTCCTGCTCAACATAGAATAGAGATGTGAGCAAAAAACCAAAAATTCAAAAATCTAAAAATTTTCTCTTGAGATTGCGAAAATCATATTTTCTATGAAACTTCGTAACTCCTCCTGGAACCTTTCCGTGTTAAATAAGTCTTTTACTCACGGAAAAATCAAAAAATCCCTCTCCCAGTTGAATATTAAAAGCGCACATTGTACTTTGATGCCTTTCATTTACATGGAATATACGTGGGGTCGATTCTGTTTGGGATTTCCACTTTCCAAAAGTTTTAAAACATCTCCAAAAATCATTTGACACTGCTTTCTCTCACTTTTTGCTTCATCCATGTTGACACTTTCAGATAAGTTATGCCCAAAGAACCATTTTGAAAAAAATTTATAGCCAATACTTTCTTTTGTTATTATTCTTTCTTATCCATTTTCTTAATTTCTTATCAAAAACAGTACCGTGATCACAGGCGTTAAAATTTCGTCTTTCTTGAGCCAAAATCGAACTTCGGCTTCGACCTGCCACATGGTCGAAGGCGTTCCAGGATCGCACGCAACTACTGCCACCACGTTGTCTTCATAGCCACGAACCTTCACCAACCTTGAATTTGATTGTGTGACATATCTTCTCAAGTCTATTATGTGGCGTTTGAATTTGAAAGATCCTGGTTGGGTTCAAATCACGGCATTCCTAATGGGGGTGAGGGAAGGTGAGCGAGGCGTCAAAGTTTCTGAATTTACAGAAAAAATTTAGTGCGCGCTACGGATAAAATTACGTCACAATTACACTGAATATTCAACGTTAATAACTTGTTTGTTCGATCGCCTTCGGCTGAAGTACTGTAGATTTCAAATTTCGCGCCAAAATTTTTTTGACGTCTTGCCACCCCGTTTGGGAACGCCGTGAAATGCAATATATCTTATCACTATAGCTCAGTACAAACGTCAAAGACGAAAATATCTTTTTTCGCTATTCCTACCAAAACCATTGATTGATTTTGTTCACCAAACATAATTGCCTATATCGCAGCGGGCCGCAGGCGGTATAGCCAAGGCTTCTTGCTGCGATCTCGTCAATGTCTAGCTGCCATATCGCTCCCTCTCAAAAAATTGAAATTCGAAAAAAATTTTTTTTTTCTTTATTTTTGACGTTTATGGTGAAATGAATCAAATTAACGAAAAAAAATTTTTTGAAGAAAAATATAGTCCACATTATTGGGGTGTTTGTGCATTAATGTGAAGAGGAAGTGATGCCGTGTTCAAAGTAATTTCCGCGAAATGCAAAACACCCGTTAGAGAAAGGAAAAGATCACTAAATTTTGGAGAGTCAGAGATCATTTTGCATTTCGCGGAAATTACTTTGAACACGGCATGAGTTTTTTTTCCATTCAAAAAAAAAAACAATTTTACCATTTCAAATCTTTCGTAGTGATGGTATTCTCATCTTTATATTCTTCATAGATCTGCAAATAAAAAAAACCAGATTGAATTATTTTTCGTTAAATAAACCGTTAATTCAATTTGTTCGCTTACTTCGCTGTCCGGCATACTTATCAATCACTGAAATTAATGCCGTGTTCAATTTGATTCCGCGAAATGCGAAATGATCTCTGACTCTCCAAAATCTAGTGATATTTTCCTTTATCTAACGGGTGTTTTGCGTTTCGCGGAATCAAATTGAACACGGTATAAAACATCGATGAAACGATAATTTTGCTTATAAATTGTTCCGTCGAAGTTTCCCTTATTTTAATGCATAGAATACCAGAAAATTTCTGAACGTAATGAGAGACAAATATTCAGCTGAACAAAAAAATCAGTGATATCTTAAAAAAACCGCAGAAAAAAATAATATTCATTGAAAAAAGCAACACAGCCAAATAAATGCGAAAAAAAAAGAGAGAAAAAGACAACAAAATGTACAAGTTAAAATGAAAGAGCAATCGATTTACCGCTGGTTCCAAAGGAAGTTCAACAAAGCTGTTGAAAGGACGAAAAGAAATCTTGAATCTCGAAAAATTCGTCTTTACAAGAACCTAAGAAAAGCTAGTGGTAAATCGACAAACGCCAAAAAAATTCAAATAGTTTTTTTAATCGTAGGAGGGCTGTTGAACTGGAAATTGAAAACAGGTTTCTTCTTCGAAATTTCGAGCATTTTCTCCAGAATGATGACTTTCTCTTCGTCTTCCATGAGATCCCAGGCGGGGCTGTCCTGGACGGCGCAAAATGATTCCATTTTATCGAAAGAAGAGAAAATCTTGTGCTGAAAAAATAAATTTTAACTGAAACCGAAAAGCTGGGAACCTGGATGTCGGGAAACTTGTAAAGGAAAGACCAATGCAAAAGAAGGAATTTATCGATTTTCTTGGCTTCTTCCGAGTTGAGGAATCTTTCGCAGTCAATCAAGATCGAAGAAACGCCGTATTGGTGGCCGACTTTCAAGAGTTGTTCCACGTTTGTCACTGATAAAAATGACATTTTTTGAGAAAAATTAGAGTGAGTTTTTTCGTCACTTTAATGGATGTGAAACATTTTTGGGCGGGAAAGAATTCAAACTTGAATTGCGGTTCGGCAAGTTCCACCTTCACCTTTTAAATTATTAGGCGTGACAAACCAATCAAAGAACGTTTTCGAATGACAAAAATATGGTTTTCGCTATAGCGATTATTAAAAAAGGGTCCAATAAAACTTTCACAAAAAAAAAAAAATTGAACAACTATGTTTTTCAAACCAAAACTAACGGTTAACTCGCTGCATGGAAGGATAAATTGCGCGCAGAAGGAATTCGATCTCCTCATAAGTTCCAGTTTCCAATTGAATCTCTCTTTCTTTTTTTCTTCGCGCTAAAGATATCTCGGAAAAAAAGATGAGAACACTTTCAGAATCTATAAAAAAATATTCATCGAAATTTTTCGATATATTGTCGACCGTTTCATGAGCATGAAGGTGTTTTCCTTCGACGACGATGGTCAGATCAGATTTGTTGTGAGGAGCCGTGAAATTGATGTGCGCGATATTATCATGAGACCTAAGGTTTCGAAAATTAAATAATAAGATTTTTTTCTTGAAATTTTATGAAACTTTACATATGTACAAAATGAACAGTGAAGCATTTTTCATTATTGTCAAGTCTAGTCATCGCTAAAGCTCCGCCCCTATTGGCGCGATAAACCAATCAGAAAGCGAACCATCCACAGGGCTTTTCCGAATGACGTCATTGTACTTGACATTCAAAAATCTGATCAGATTACAACATGAAAAAAATATTTGAAACAAGTTGATTGAAAAACATTAAATAATGAGCTTTTTTTCATACTGCACTAAAAAAACTAGTTTTTTTCCAACTCGCCTCAAAAAAAGATGTCGAAAAATACAACCACTTCAACGACGGCCTTGGCAGACGAGGCCATTTTCAGGATCGGAAAATCCAAAATTGTAACGAATAATTTTTTGATTCCATGGAAATAAAAAAACTAGTAGATTTTTATATAACTAATTGAAAAAAATGGCTTTTTCTAAACAATATTTTGAGTGATATTGCAACAAACTCCAATAATTTCTCAAAATAGAATTTTTTTCGGCAAGGGACCCGCAAGTTATCTCGATTAGAAAAAAACGGAAAAAGAATAAATATTAAAAAAATTACTTCGCGGCAGTCGAAAGGTTCATGTTCAGCCCCAATGTACTCCAAAAGCAGGGGCTTCATTTTTGCGGAGAAAACTCGCCGTTCCTAGGAAAAAAGAGTCTGTGAATTAGTAGAGGAAAGAAAGTTGAAAAGTTGAACTACATTTTTCGCAATTTACTGTAATAATAATTTTCATATTTCTATAACTATAGCTGATTCACGGTTAGCTTGAGACGCTAAGGGGCGTGGTCTCTCTGCACTCTCCACGATCCAGGCACTGTCTCGTGCACTATCGTGTCAGGACCCTTTTTTTCGATGGCTCAAGCAAGCCGTGAATAAGCTATATGATGCGTGATCTTTCATCAAAAGTCACGGAATTTTTAATTAACTATTGAGGTTTCGTTTAGCAAAAATATTGTTAATTATTGTTTTAATACGAAATAAGTAAATTAAAAAAACAAGTTTGAAACATATTATTAACGGATTTTTTTCATAATTAAACCTTTTTAAAAAAATTATTCTAAGTCACATTTTTTTCTAAAAAAATCTGGCGAGTATGATTGTAGATCGCTGCAAAAATATTTTTAAATAAATTTTGTCCTCTCAAAGTTTTCATTGTTCATCTATCTAATTTTTTCAAGTGTTCATAATTTTTTTTTTCGACTCGGATATTTTGTGTACTAAATTGAGTCCAAAAGGCTGATAAATTTTAATAAAAACCCTCTACAAATTTTTGCGAAAGAAGGGAAAAGATAACCATTACAGCGGCAGAAGCAAGATTATCAGATTTTTTGATCCACAAGCGGATTTCGGCGTCGATATTCCAAAAAGTAGATGTCGTTCCAGGATCACAGACAACTTCCAATTCAACTTTGCCTACATGGCCACGCACTTTAACATTCCTGAATCAGAAAAATAGTAAAGAACAACGTTCAATTCTCAAATTAACATTCAGAACAATTTTTTCAAGATGATTCAAGCACTGCCAAAGTCGGAAGAGCGGAAAACGGGTGCAAAAAGGGAGTGACTGCAAAATGGCCGCTAAAAGGGTCCCTTTTTACGGCCTTTATTGAGCCTTTCATTCTTGTTGGACTAAAAAGGGTCATAAAAGGGCGAAAAAAGGGAGAGGCCGCAAAAAGGGTGAAGAAAGGGTGAGGGTGCAAAAAGGTTCTGAAATTCTCTGCTATTGATGATTTCCGATTTTATTACTGTAGATTATTTTGGTTCATACACAGTCACTTGTAAAGATTATTCTTATTTCAAAAAAAAAAATTTATTTCTCAAAAGGGTCCAAAAAGGGTAGATGAAGGCCGATGAAAGGACGCAAAAAGGCAGTAAAAAGGAAACCTTTGCCACCCGTTTAGGAACAATTAATGGAAACAGACGGATCCGTAACGAACGCTTAAAGGGCGCGTGAAGGGTCCTTCCGACTTTGCCTATGAGCATTTTTTTTAGAAAAACTTCATCAATTTGTTTGAAGTCTTGACATGGAATTCACCATTTCATTTTCTCCATTTCAATGACTCTCTGATCTAACCCGTCTTGGTAAATCTGCAAAAAAAAACGATGTGAAATTTTGCGTTCACGAAAGGAACCTTCATCTCGAGAGGAACGCTGGAAATTTTCTCCGGAGGCATTTTTTTCGGACTCTGAAAAACAAAAAAAATTGTGTTTTTTTTTTCTGAATTAACATAAAAAAGTGACTTGAAAAGAAAAAATTGTCAAAAAAATTTTTCCTTCATAGGAATACCACAAAAAAAGCCAAATATTGATTCGACAGCACGCTTTAAAAAAACGAATTTTTTTTTGGAAGACGTAGATTTATTCGATAAAGATATAAAAATTCAACAAAAAAACAACAAAATATACAGTTTTTCAAAAAAATAGGTAAGTTTTGTTAGGGGAAACGGGGATTGGAAAAATATTTCTTCCTCAAAAAGATTCCACAGGATTTGAAAGGAGATTTAAAAAACACATAGCAGTGAAAAATATTTGATAAATTTGGAAAGTAAAAAATTTGATGGGGAAAATGCGAAAATAAATTAAAAGTCGGGAAAGTCAAGATTAGTCTTACGGCCATTGGACAAAGAAATCATCTTCTCGAAAAGAATAATCTTCGCTTTGTCGTCCATTTCGTCCCAAATAGGGCTCCTCCTAACGGGGTAAAAATAACTCTTATGGGTCAAGGTGTTCATGACAAAGTCCTGAAAAAATTCTTTAAAATGAGAATTTATACAGTCAAACAGAACCTGAAGATCCGGAAGATTGTACTGAACAGACCAATTCAACAGTTTGAACTTGTCTATTTTGTTGGCCTCACCAGAACGAAGAAAACGATCGCAGCTGATAAGAACGGACGGGACTCCGAAACGTTTACCAAGTTTCAGAAGAGTTTCCACGTTGCTTTCTAAAACTCTGCTGAACCTTCTGAAGAAAATTGTTTTTTTTCGGGTCTTCTGAACGCAGGATAATTCTATATGTATTAACATTGAGAAATGAATGTGGTCAATTACAGCATCCGATAAAGCAAAAAAAAAATAATTGGAAGGGTGTTTTCAAGCCACATTTCAGAAGGTGACAAGGCGGGAACTGGTCTACTGAAATCTTGCAAAAAGCAGTGCCTTTTTGCAAAAAAAGTTTCATACATCCTGAAAATCAGAACTTTGCCTTTTGCACAGAAGTTCCTCGCATTTTACATTTCTTTTTGGGCTCGCATAGGGTCAAGAAACCTGGAAAGAAGGCCGAATTAGCCAATTTCAGACCAAATACATATAAGTTGATTAAAAAAACGCCGTGCAAATACAAAAAACTGAAAAACCGGAGCATTTCACTATTTCAAAAAGGGACGGGACTTTGCGGCCTCTGCGTATACTTTTACGTGTTGAATGAACTAACCGTCGACTTGTTGCTTCGTGGGGTGAATGGCTCGAATGAGCGTCAGTATCTCATCCGCGGTCGCATTTTCCAGTTCGATTTCGATTCTCCCCTTTTCGTCATCTTCGTCAGAGTCATGGTTTTCTTTTTCATACTCTTTCTTTTCAATCAAAACACGAAAGTGGGAAGAGAAAACTCGAAACAACTATAAAGAACTTGGAATCGATTTGAAAAATAGTCCAACCTCTCTATTGACGTAGAACCGCTTTGATTCCACAGTAATCGTCAAGTTGTTGGTGCGGGTCAAAACTTCAAAATTATCAGGTTCCATGTGATCCAAAGTACTAAAAACCCCTAGATCATGTTTGAAAATGGAAAAAGTGAGGATTACCTCGCAACCGATATTGAGAACACTTCGATTTCGACCAGAGCTTGCGCCGAATTGTCGTTGGAGAAATGGAAAAAAATTGTGCTTACCGATTTCGACTTTTTACATATACTTAATTAACCGTAGACTCGTAAAGTCATTCATAGACTAACTCAATGGAAAATCACTGGTTAAAAAAATGAATCCTGCTGAAATCGACTATAATCGGTGTGATTAAAACAAAAAAATTGCGTGATTAACAAGAGAGAGAATTTGATCATTTATTAAAAATATAACTATTGATTTTTCGATATCGCATGTTCATAGAATTTGACTGATGCTGTGAAATCTTTCCATATAGTCTGTTCAGATTTTGAATGTCAAGCAGCTAACTCCACCCCCACGGCTACAATATCTTTCGCGTCAATGTTTTATCTACAGATGACGATGGCCCTTTAATAAGGCTGCTTTTTTGACTTCTTTGTCTATCTTTTAGATCAAAAAAGATCAAAATTAGTCCCGCGCGAAAAAAACATCGACGCGAAAAGGTACCGTCTCAGCAGGGCGGAGTTAGCTGGTTGACATTCGAAATCTGAACAGACTATAGCTTCCAATCAACTAGTTTTTACCAAAATTTTTAGAATTAAGAGAATTACCAGCTTATACGAGAAAGGATTGCTTTCCGTTCCAGAATATACAATTTTAGCTGGTTTGTCCCTCGCGGTGAAAAGCAAACGTTTCTGAAAAGTGTCAACTAAATAAATGAAGCAAAGAGTTCTTGTTGTAAAATAACTGTAAAAAATAGGATCGCAAAGAAAAAAAAAACCGAATCCCCAATCTATCGCTCTTTTTTTAAATGAAGATTCTAATAATTAATAAATTGCCTCAATCGTTCCCAAAATTTCGTCGCCGTTTTTCACATGAAGACGGACTTCAGCGTCTACCTTCCAATTCGTGGACGACATCCCAGGATCGCAACCCACCATCAAAGCGACTTCTTTATCATTTGCAAATGTTCTTACTTGCCTTAAAAAAGTAAAATTGATTTTTAGATCCCTATAACTTTTTGCTACTAATTTCGGCAATTTCCACGCGGGCATATTTCTCTTTTTTTTGGACATTCTACAACTGTTCAGCCCGTCCGATTTGGCACACTGTAGGCTTCAATTGTGCATACACCGAGCGCGGTTTTCGGGCGATATCTTTGTTAATGACGATTTCTTTGTGCGGAAAAATAGACGAATTTAAAAAAAAACAATGAAAACATGCAAAGATAGAGATTTAGTTTTAAAATTAGGTTGCTGCAAACGTCAGGAAGTCTCAAAAAATGACTTACAAAAACGTTAATCTGAGAAATCCGTCTTTAGCTTAAACCTTAAAAGCATTATTATTCATGGCTCCGAAGATTTTTTATATAAAGCGTTCATTTTGAACAATCGCGTTTTAAGGATTTTGAACGGAGACATACCATTTCAATTGGTTCGTATCAATATTGCCGGAATCGACTCGATTCTGGGGCAACTGGAAAATGAAATACTATTTACTCTGAAAAAATATTTATAGTTCATTTAGGTTATCTAATCTGCTTGAAATCTCTGAGTACTTATTGGAAAATGGAATGATGGAAAAATGAATAATTACATTCAACAGCTTCGAACCGACGTCTCCCTGCGACATGATGGCCGCTCTCTGAAAATTGTGTCTCTGAACTGGGGCGCGCCTTGGTGCTTCTCTACAAGGAGCTTGCATGGTGCGAGCACTGATTTTGCACTATTTTGCTGCACAGTGCATGTTGTCGTTTTGCACTTCGCAATTTTGGGTATTTTTCAGTGCGCATGAGGTGCAACACCGCACGGTGCTGACACTCCGAATCAGAAAATTGGGTATTCGAAATCCTGTCAATTCAGTCCATTTCTATCAGTTCTACATGTTATTTATACTTTTTTTTCGTTAGAAAAGTCGGATGATGGAGAAAGAAAAGGCCTAAATTGAATAGCAAAACATGTTTAGTTTTGTGGTCCAAAGTGTCAGCACCGTGAGGTGTTGCACCTCATGCGCACTGAAAAAGACCCAAAATTGCGAGGTGCAAAACGACAACATGCACCGTGCAGCAAAATAGTGCAAAATCAGTGCTCGCACCGTGCACGCTTCTTGTAGAGTTCTCTTCCGCATGATATTACTACATATGATGGACGAACAGAAAGTAAAAATAGTGAACTCATAAAAATTGTGCCGGGTTCACAGTAATTTTGGCGATTTCAAAACTGACGCGTTATTCGTTTAAAACGATTTTGGCACTCAGGCACTGACGTGTTTGTTGCCAAAAAATTTTTTTCCAAGAATAAAA